TTAAAAATCCGGATCTGAATAATCGTCCTCGTCATCCCATCCTGATTCTATTTTGCCCTCGTTAAATTCCACCTCCTTATCATAAACATAATCTGCATCTCCCGGTCTTAGTCTGTTTTTCTCAAAATCCTCATCCATGGCCGCTTTTCTCTTATCAAGTTCATAATCGTCCAGTTTATTCAGGTCTTCTTCTTCACTGCCGTTCGCCCGTGGTCCAGAAGAAATATTCTTGATTTGATTTGACTCCATTCCTTTCATTTTGTTCTGAATCATTGTTAATAGTTTCTCAAGCTAAAGAGAATCGAAATAAAAGTAAACTTTTCACTTCCTATGTCATTTATGAGGTAACAAAAATCTCAAGGTACACAATTCACATCGAACACATTTCATAGAACTCTTTCTTTTGAGTGAAATTAATGGAAACATGCTTCCTACTTATGTTTACTTCTACAGATAAAATTTTTTTTTTTGAAATTCTTTATTAACGTTGAAGTCAAGGGTAAAAAATACTGACAAATTTTATAAGAGAACGATACCATAAAGAACTCCCTCAAACAGTTTTCGTTAGTTTTCATCAAATCTAAGTTACAGTGTGACAACAATAACCAAGGCGACTTAAACAAAACGTAACAATCAAATCACAGAACAGGACCAATGCAGACCAATGCAGTATTTTTGAAGACTCCAGCCTCTTTTTGACTCAAGTGGAATGGAATGGAATCTTGTGGCATGTGCAGTGGTCTTTATAATTATGTTTAGTGCTCGATGTACTCAGAGGTCTGTGTTTGAGCCAGCCCTTCCTGGGTCATTAGGCAAAACACTCGGAAACACATGGAAGCTTGTGTCTGATGAGCCACTTGCCCCAAATAAAAAGTAGATTTAACCTTTACTTTACCCTTCCAGTAATCTGATTGGTTTATTTTGTTTAAGTAGTCCCAGTTACTGCAGTCTTATAAACGATGTCGACCAATGTATCGGTTGACATCTCGGTCACCTGTTGGTCAACATATCAGTCGGTATGTACATGTATAGGCTGAGTGTTGGTTGATATATTGGCTAAGTGCTGGTCGAGAGACGGTTGAGTATTGGATGAGTGAATTATCACTCAACTGTTAATAAAACAGATCAACCAAATGTCAGACATAGTTGACTGATCAACCAACACTCAATCGCAGTAGTATCAGTAGTCTAGTTTCAATAACCTCTTGGTATTTTAGCATTCAACGATTGGCAAAGCCTGTAAAACTCTGTTACCAACCTCACCCCACAGCTTATCCAGTTGCATATTGCCTGTTGACATCGACCAAGACTTGACTGAGACTTGACCAACACTTGGCCGATATGTCAGCCAATATGTTGACTTATACATTGCTCAACACCCCTTATAAGACTCAAGATCTTTAGTGATTAGATGATTGGCATTGTAGCAATGACCCATGAAAGAGAGCCATTTACATGTATAATGTGCATGCAGCTTCAGAACAACGTTACAGAACAAGTGAACATGATTTTCTCAGGCTACAAAACAGCCCTGACATAATAGTATTATCCAGGAAAATTACAAGAAATATGTAATGAAGTGTAAGGATAATTTATATTTTAATACCAGGGTAATGAGTTTAGTTAATTATTTATGCAAGAAGTACCTGTGAGTAAGAGATGTTTTCCAAGTATTTTCCATGTCGGGAGCTATTCTTTAATTCATCGACTGCATCTGATACACTGTAAAACAGGCAGAAAGTATTTGGTGAACAAATGCTATCTGTAATAACAGAAAAGTTAATAACCTTAATATCTTAAAATATGGCCTGGCCATTTAACATATAAACACCAATGAAACACCAGGTGAGGTTTGGCACAAAAACATGATATCTTCACACATGAAAATAACATGATATCTTCACACATGAAAATAACATGATATCTTCACACATGAAAATAACATGATATTGTCACACGTGAAAATAACATGGTATCTTCACAAATGAAAAGATAACTGTTGCCATCTTTACATAATATTTCACACCTTTAGCAGCATAAAATGTTAAAACACTTTGGTATTTCATTGGTCTTACATAATATTATTAACACAACATTACTTGGCTGCATGCTTGGAGATACCAAATTTCTATTCTCCTGTTGAAAAACACTAAAAGAGAAATTTCGTATCCCTGTGCAGCCATGTAATATCCTCTATATCTTTAAGTAAAATTTGCAGTTTGAGTATAAAATATCCCTTTAACCTGGCTAGATTGAGGATTTCAATAATACTACATAACTACAAAGATTGACCATTACAAACTGGATAACCAACAAACTGTTTCCTTCTTTCTTGACTTATTTACATTCAAGGTTGCCATCAACACTTTGCTTTATTTGCTGGCTTTTTATCATTACCCATTAAGTTACCAGCTTGTCTCATCTTATAAGAAACGTGCACTCTACTTTCTTTTTAGTATTTGCTATTACCTTGAATCTTTCCGCAGCATTCTTATTGGCATTGATCGTTTGTGTAGTTTTCCTAAAGAAAAATTTTTTTCATTACTGATTTTTTCGTGAATTTACGACGAAATTTCACAGTCTTCAAAGGTTATGATTAAGGCTTGATCAAACATATGATGGAAGAAATCTGGTGAGCTGTATGACTAAATATGAACACACCTGGCCATTCATCAGTGGAATACAAGTACCAGTATGTTAGCACAGTACCCCATGGATTAAAAACAATAAAATTTTTAGTGCGCACATGGCTCTATACGCAGCCCAATTATGAAATTTAATTTGGAGTCAAGCCTGTGTGGGTGACGGGTGCCAAGTTGGAAGATCGGATGCACCACCAGGACATTCTGTTGCACATTAATATCCCCACAGAGCACAATTCCAAAAAGAACAGCCTTGTTAATGGAGTGACTGACTGTTTTAAAATGATCTTGCGACTTTGCCGTCTATGCTTCAATGAGAGGTGGTGAAATGGTGTCTTTTTTTAACAACACGGATCCTTTCTGCTTTGTTGCAGCACAATCTTCAAGCCTCCTGACGGTTTGACCATAGTGATGTTAGACTGCACTTTTGCTCGTATTACTTTTTATTCATGAACATTTCCTTAACTTACAATGATTCAATACGGTATAATATAAGCCACTTTTTCATTTCTTTAATATGCTAAATAGATGGCTTATATTTAACTCCATTACAACTAACTAAAATTTCCAAATGTACAGGAGGGATCCTGACATACCACGCAGCCTCTATGGCTTCTCTGAGAGTTCCTCACTTTTCTTTTTGTTTTGACAAAAGTAATGCTTAAAGGTTTTTTGGAGGAACATTACTTAAAGAGAGAATAACAAACTAGCTCTGATGCTGAAAAGAAACCAATTGTGTGGATAACTTACATTTCAATTATTGTGATGTTTCTGGTTGAATTTTATCCACACTAATTCTTTATAACCAGCTTGTGCAGACCATATTTGGAAGATTAGGGCAATACATAATCATTGACATCAGTCTCTGACATCAGTGACTGCATATTGTTGACATACATAGTCAATAAGTTATTGATGCCACACAAGACTACCACCCAGTAGCTACCTTGTCTGGCATGAGTGCAGAAATCAAGAAAATACAGCCATAAAAAGGCAACATAGCTGATGACTAAAACTAAACAGCACAAATGCAACAATGCACAAGAAATATTGCTTGATGGGTGTCATCTGCTTTTTGAGAAGTATCTTTTAGGACAGTACCAAGAAACAGGCATTTTTTCTTCTGAGCACCCTGTGTCACTGACTGAAAAAAACAATCTTTCAAAAGGCTTGAAATTCACTTTCACATTTCTATCAAAGAGGCAAATGTTTTGAGGAGAGACTACAAGGAGGTAAGGATGTTAATAAGAACATTTTGAGTGAATAATATAACAATGTTATTGAATTTGGCTTTCATATTATGATATATAACAATTATTCACCAAAGTGGAGGTGGCTAGTGGTGTTATTTACTTGGCCGCAAAGCCTACAAATAAAACTTTTAAAGGCATTTGTTTTGCTCTTTTGGGGAAATTTTGTCTAAAGGAACTGTGAATTGTCTTTGTATTCAAAACCATTCTGTAAAAAAAACTATTAAATTTAGTTTTAAGCTTACTTATGACCAATTCTGCTAAATAAAGTAATGCAAACCTTTTCACCAGTTTCATCGCTAAATTCAAGTCAAACAGACAAACATATACCTGTTAAAACTTCCCAACCAAATTTTGTAACCTTCTTCGTGTGTTTCGGGAACAGCTTGTTTGATTATTTGTGAATTTTTTTTGTTTGTTATGGCAGCAAACCGGGAAGCCATTTGGCTTGTAACTTAGGCAAGTTTGGCATTGCTCGCTCAGAGGAACTGGAGGTGAATCAGTGAATAATGGAGGATATTCCAAGATTAAGCAGCAAATGAAAGCGCGCGAAGAACACTATCCACCATTTTAGTATATACTGAAGAGAATTATTCAGATCTCAACAGCTGTGATTCCATCTCAGCCTTCAGCCTCTGTGGATAACATGTTCCTCATTCTGCATAATTCTCCATATCAAACTCAGCTTCATTCAATAAGCTTAACTGACAATCTTTGACATCTGAATGACTGATGTGAATGATTCAATCTAAGCTTCTTTGAAATTTGGTCAGCAGTGGCTGGTTATGATGAAGAATTAGCTGAGGGATTATAGCCAATCAGAAATGGAGAAATACTTCAATGATGTAAAATAATAATATTAGGGACACATCATTTTCATTCTGATCCCCCCTATGGAGGGGTATCCTCGGCAGCTAACTGGTGGGAATCTGTTTTCAAAGGGAACAAAAAAATTGAGGAGGTGGGAAAGATTTTTTGTAAGGGTTTCAACAAAAAAGTGAGGTGGTAACTATCTGCTTATATCCACAGGGGGTGGGGGATCGGAATAAAAATGGGACATTCCATAGCGCCCGTCTGCAGAGTATGGCAGAACTCGATGAGATCTCAAGCATGCAAGGCTGTTTTTATGCCTTATTTTTTATATATTGTTAAAAAACTCACGCGTGCATCTGCCATACTCTGCAGACTGGCCATAGCATAGCTGAGCATAGGCCCTAATGAATCATGTGTACACTGTGGCTAACCTGAGATCAGACCCAATCTTAGCGGTTCTCATACTTTCTCTCTAATGGCTACCGCTAAAATTGGGCCTGATACAAACTCTCTCACGTTTGTGCTTGTTACGGCCAGATTTTCGCCGTAACGCTGATTGGCTGTCGGAAACACCGGAAGTTGAAAGCGCTTATTCCTCCCGTGGCTGTTTTCATGAATGATCCGTCGTCAGCGGAGAGAAGGATCGATTTTGCTGTCTTTTTTATTGTTTTATGGTCTTATGGTAGGAAAATATGCCTTAATATGTGCCATGGCAATTCAGAAAATTCTTATGGTTGTTCATAACTTCTCAGGATTTGCTTTATTTACGGAACTAATGTTAGTGTATTGCAGAGTTGAATCCCTCTGCAAGTTGTTGACCGCTAACAAGGTGCCTTTTGATTAACCGACAAACGAGTGCAAATCAAACTACTGTCAACCTTAAAACTGTTTTCAACTGAAAGTTTAGCCAGGAATGACTTCTCTGAACGGGGTACGCAAGCTGAGGCTCACTGTGAAAGAAAACTCAATCGCCAACTGTGAAGTATTAGATGAAGAATATCGCATCGCTGTTCAAGGAATTTTTGTAGGCATTATTATAAAAGCTGGTGGGTTAAGGTAACAGACTGGTTGTTTGCCTTCGCTTTTTGTAAAATATAAACCAGGAAAACTGGTGTCCTCGCTCATTGGCTGTTTACTATTGTTTTTAAAGATTTATGTACTGAAAATTGGGGAAAATTACCGAGGAAAATATAAAGGTAACAGAAAACTAAGTATTTTAAATTCGAGCACGCCTAGACAAAATAATAAAACTAGTAGAACATCGTGTTGCCGTCTTTTCGAAAACTTTTTACCTTCTGCGCCAACAGAAACAACGTTCGAGATCTCCCTTAGTCTTGCAAGAAGTTAAATGTGATTGTGCTGACTGTTTTATTTTTAGCTGAAAAAATTAACAGATAAAAGCTACTTTTTAAGTCAGCCGGTCTGCATTTTTCCTATGCGTAAAAAATTTGCATACTAGAAAAACAAGCAACGGAAGTAATTTTGGTTGGCTGATTCGGCAAATGTCAATCAATCAAAAAAGTGGGCGGCAGACGTTTTGTAGAAGGTTTGTATCAGGCTCTCTTTTCGTTTCGCCTTGCCCGCCGGAATGTAATTTTCAAAGCGAAACGAAAATAGAGCCTGATCTCAGGTTACTGTGGCTTACTTGAGAAGACAGCAGTAATAATAAATTATTAGGGCAGTGTAAAATGCACACTGTGGAATATTGTTTTTAGGGCTAGAAAACAATGGGACTATTGTTGTCACGTCCTCATTTGCATGGTGAAAACAATAGTCCGCAGTCTGCGTTTTACACGGACCGATAAATTTTCAGAAACAACAAGATTTCTGTATAACTGATGTAAGTGCTCTGAGACGTTTTCACGAGGGCAGCTCCCATCATTTTTTGCCATGAACTGCATTAAGCATAAAGTTTTGCAAACTAATAGTAGAACATTGCAATATCTTACACTTAAGTATAAACTCATCAAGAAATATACCTGTCAGGTTTACTTCGTAGAAGACAACAAGAGTCGGAGGGTCGAATTTAACCCCACATTTACGAGGAGTAAACATGTTGAGGTTATTTAACAAAATGACATCGCAAAAGAGCCCAAGAAAGTCGAAAAATCAATCCATGTTTACAATAACGACTCCTTATGCGCTCTTTTCGTTTCTCGTTAGCTCTCCATAGCAATCTCGACCCCAGTGCTTACGCTTCTCACTCGGCTCGCGCGGAAGAGCTCTGGGGTCGAGGCTTAGCTCGGCTGTTAGGTAAGCTGTAAGGCTGTAAGCGTTTCTGTTTTCTTTTGTTTTCGTGTGTACATGCCAAAAGGGGGTCATTGTGAAAACTGGGGATAATAATCGCGAAGTTTCACAGCCCCATACTTTGTTTTGTGAAGAAAGCTCAGGGAAGATTGATGCGTGGAACGAGTGAATGCTTCAGTGAAAACTTCGATGGTGAGGGTAATATATAGATTTAGCCAGGGCTAAAAGCGAAGCTCTCGTTGATATCTATAGTTTAATCTAACAAAATATAAAATCGTGCAATGCTAAGGGGCGATGGCAACGGGATAAACTAACATCAAAGCAAGGATTCAAGCCAGGACTCCAGTTAAGACTTTTCTAATCATTCTGTAAGCAAACTCTACCCTAACCCTAACCCTAACTCGTGCTTTCCTTCCATGATTGCCACGAAAACCGTCCTCTTAATGGTCATGGGACTTGCAGGACGTGAAAATGGCGGAAAAGCGAAAAATTGTCGAGTCCTGCGTCGAGTCCTGGCTCGAAGTCCTGGCTCGAGTCCTGGCTTATAGGCGGTTTTATAGGCGGTTTTTTTTTTACGTCATCGCCACCATGCTGGTGGACGGTAAACAAAAGATCGCTCATTAGATCGTTTTGTTTGTCCACCAGCATTTGTTCATTTCCTCATTTTTGTCTCCCGAGACTGCATGAAAACCACCCTTAGGCATCCTCAACAAAAACAGCCAATAAAGTCGGTAGGTCTATAATTATTAGCAAAAAAACAAAAACTTTGCACGTGCAGCACACTTTTTTTGTACATTTCCTTGCCGTTGTTTTGCACGACTACAACGTGAAACTTCCAGAAACGTCCTAGTTACACATTTTACAGAGGACTTGTTGTATGTGTTCCTGTTCACTTTTTTTCTCTGCCACTCATTTTCACCTTGGAGGCCGCTAGCATTTCTCATTTTCTCACCGTCACTATAAAATTTTCAAGAAATTGTTGCAACAAAACAAGAAGTGGGTCAAAGAGATTTTCTAGCATGCCGATGGCCAGGCACATGAGCAGAACAATGTCATCCTTAAAGGATTTGCTAGAATTCTTGGTCTTGGCGAAAACTCAGAGGCGGTAAGGCCTTGGATGGTAGCAGGGCCAGAGGTGGCGGGCTGCTTAAGGAATTTGAAGATGACATTTGTTCCCTGCTCCACAAAAGAAAGGAGCAAGGAAAGCACCACGACCAAGATTATTCCAAACAGAAAGCCTTCCAGAATGACGCCACTGGGGAATCTTGCTAAAATCATCGCTGATTTTGGGATTTCTTAGAAGTTTGTCCTGAATTGATTGCCTTAGATACGGGCAATTGTGTTTATGAATCTGTTGTGCGCACTGTTCGAACCAGGGTTCGAACTATCGAGGAAATCGGAGCTAGGTAGTGAAAGAGATACGTGTCATCATCGACAATAGAACTGCACCTATCCATGACACAACATCCATACGGCAACAGGCAAAGCAGGTATGCAAAAGGACACAGAGGCTTACAGCCATGACAAGTGACCGCTTCTTGTTCAACCGTCTTTACATCGGAAGCCAGCAGCGAGATGGAGACCTTGGTGAGTTCTTTTTTGCACGAGAACCAGTCGTACCCACCGTATTCGTCCCAGTATGGCAATTTACGTTATACTAAAAAGTTTGACCTAATTGAATGCTTGACCAAACGGATAACAGAGACATCTCCACCAGAATCGTGTGACGTCACGGTGGTTGACGGAGCCGCATTGGTGCATGCACTACAAATGGTATCCGTTTCAACGGTTGATGAGTATGCAAAGGCCAGGTATTCATACCAGTTGTTACCGGCGCGCTAAGGAGCACTTTAAGGACGGACATTGCATGGGGTGACTACCGGCCAGAGAGCTTGAAAGAAAATACTCGTCAAAAGAGAAAGACAGGAGTAAGAAACGAGGTGGCCGAACACGTCAAGATGCCTCGTAACTGGAAGTCATTTCTTGGCGGTGCAGGCTGAACAAGAAAGAGTTGTTACAGTTCCTCACTCCTCATGTTAGCAGATACTCCTTCTCTTCCGACAAGCAAGTAGTTATCATACCAGGCAATGACTAGTACACATCACACGAACACGTGACGAAATACGCGTTCTTAATGATTAAGGCGAGCGTCTCATTTCATCAAACTCTTCCCGAAATATGCAAGTTTCATTGTAACCACGAGGAGGCGGACACGAGAGTATTTGTAACATGCTGTGGAACACGGTGCGCAGAAAGTTCTGATCACAACCGTGTACTTAGACACAGATGTAGTCAGGGGCACCCAACGACGGTTTCCTTCTAATATTTGCAATATTTGTTTCTCCGAACAGATATTCAACAAAGAAAACATTATCGATTGCAATAATATTAATCGCTGGAGCGACTTCGCTCGCAGAAAAAACTCATACTTGTGGCATCTAATCACCTGATCTTTTACGTCATCTCACACATACACTGTATTCAGCAATGTTTTATAATCCTACAACTAACATGTTTTGTCAAGCTGAAAGCGATAAAAATGGATAGAATAACAACTGGACAATTCAGTGTGAACAGTAAAACTGAGAATGAATTTTATGAAACAGATAAAAACACGTGAAGAACAACCTAAAATGGATAAAGGGATGCACAGGCCATCAAAGGAGGCAGGCATGACCATACGTTCATTACATGAGGAGGCGGGAAAGCTAATACGGGTACCAGTTCAGTCAACTTAAATACCCCCTCCCCCCATCTCTAATGCCTAAATATTGTTGTTGTTGTTGTATTTGTAATGTTTCTCGTCTCTAATCTTCGTTGTCTCAAATCCTCCTTCCCATTTCCTCCCGGCCTCTCGCTTTGTTTTTTGTGGTTGCTTCATTTCTCTATGGTTTTCCTGGTAAAAACAATAAGGAAAATACGAATTATGTACACAGATCAACACAGAGAAACAGATACATCAACAGCAGACGGTACAAACGGACGAATAACTTTAATAGATGAATTTGAACAGAGAAAAATCCTTGTAGATATATAAACAACTTAAGCTAGTTGTGTTTTTAAGGCCTGGCTTGAAGAATTGGACCTCCTAAAAGTCCTGAAATACTGAAGCAGTGCTCGGCTTACCAAACGAGTTATAGAGACAGCTGAGAGCTAGTTTCGTTGTGGGATTCGTAATATACTTGTAAATATATGAAACTATATTATAATCTCATATATTTCAACTGTGGTATTACCGGTTCACTGATGCGTTCTAATACCGTTCACTAACTCTAAAAATCACAACTGCTTAGGTTGGGTTGTGTACATAACTACAGAGAGTCTTTCTCTGTTGAAATATTGTTCTGCAGTTCATACATTCTCACGTGCATTCATCCGAATACTATAGCGCTGGTAATAGAAGAAATGACTTGTGCTCAACATCTGCGCGCTAGTGTAGCCCGGCGGTGCTTCAGGGAAAACACGAAACACTTGCATCGCGCATTGAAATCAGATGAGCTACATCCTGCTGATTTTCAATGGGTGGCTTTATCTGTTGCACTTTAAGCTGCTTCTTCTGGATCTTGTTGCTAATCGATTGAAAAACTAGTTGAAAGACTGTGCGAATCTTCTGGTTTTAATAGAGCTTAATAGATTCTTTGGCTATTTGCAGACCTCAGGGAATTAACACGCAGGGATTGGTCGCTGATTTTCGGGATTTGAAACCATAAAGACCCTGATAGTAGATTTGTCAAGTAACTGCGGATATTTCAGGAGGGAAAAAAATTTCTCTCAATCGATCACATTCTTCAGACGTACGCCACCAACACAGCGATAAGCGATACCGTATTTTAGCCCTAGTAAAATTATTATAATAGGATCAAACTGACTGAAGCTTGAACCTACTTGTTGCTGGACCTGCGGATCACCAAGTTCCAATTCAGCATACAGAGGCTCAAGTTCGCGGTCAGCGGCGTTTGAATTCCGGCAACAGTTGGAGGCAAAAAAAAACCGGTAGGTTTTCTGGGTGCCGTCAATATCTCCCCGTACTACGCGCCATGGATCCAGAGGACTTCCAGTAGAAATACGAGGGTACATCTCCTTAAAAGCCTTGTAAGCTTTGATATAGTGCCATTTATCACCGACTGCCCAGTTTTTTCCGTTGTAACCTGAAGAAAAAGTGAAATTAGAGTCGGTGATTTTCGGCGATTGATAAATAGAGGCAATTGCTCAAGTCTTATTGGTAAGCGCAGCAAACACGCGTAGTACAATAATACGAACATTGACAAGATTTCGCCCGTTCAAAATACGCCTGCACTGCAGGCTAGGATTTGTTCACTGTTAAACCCGTTAAAAAGAAACAGTTATCTCGTATTCTCATCATATCTCCATAAATACTAGCACAGCCTACTGCTACCAGCTAGGATACAAAAACCTTACTATAAACTCACCCTGGAATAGCTTTTCTACTGTCTTCCTTCCTATCATTTCTGGAACCCCATTATGGTACAATGTAACTCTATCTTGTTCGGTACCATATTCAGCTGTCATCGGATCGTCGTCGATATCAGCGTCTTCGCATAATTTTCCCCCAATGTGTTTTATGAATGCTATCTTAGCGCTTAAGGCCTCTCTTCTTTCAAAACTGTAATGATCTGAACAAGATGGTTAATGATAAGATGAGTGAGGTCCATAACCTTCTTATTGTGTTCTACTTTTAAATGACGATTGTGGTAACTACTTCTTTTCAGTTTACCCTGTAACAACAACTCTGATCTCAGTGGTATACTTCTTTGCCAGGATCCAACAATAGATTCTTTGGTTTTGCGTTACGGGCTAAGAAATCGAAAACCGAAAATACGAAAATGAGATCCTTAAGTGTGGCGAGCCTCATCGGTGAAACCGCTTTCCCACACAATCTATTTTGTTCTGACCTGTCTAAAGAACCGCATGGATCGAATCCTAGAAATCCAGATTAGGATTCAAAATCCAATTTTTGGATGAGATCAAAGAAACGCAAAGCGTGGTTTTAGATCTGGATTTTGATTTTCCTAAAGAAACGCTTCCTTAATTCCAGGCTATATATTTTCAGTCCAACAAGGAAGAGAAGAAAAACTCTGACAATGACCATCGCGACCAGTGCCGCTGTATTTTCTTTTTCAGTTTTTGAAGCAAGGACCAGCTTACTGAAAAGAAGCATCGGATCCTAATAAAGGATCTCATCAGTAATAAGTGAAAATATAAAACAAAAGAAGCAAGGCTGATTTTACAGTCGGGATTATATATATATTTTTACCAATATTTCGGAAAGCACGGCCTTCCTTTTTCAGGGTCTTTTTGTAGTAGTTTTAGCAGATAGTATTTTTATTAGCTGGTTATAGTTTTTTAGAAGACCGCGTATTTCATTTAGGATATCTCTTTCAATATTGTAAAGTTTTTATAATTATAATGACAATAAAAGCCTGTTTTACCAATTCAGGTTTTGCCAATTCAGACTGCGTCACTCGTTTGACCTCACAACTTGCACGCTTTCTCGACAACTCCTAGAGAAGGCTCGACTACTTAAACGGTGATCGCTTTGGTTACAAAAAGTTATCTTAACTGCCATCCATCACTTACTTTCCATCAGAAGATTATCCTTAAAGTAGCAGTTCTTCCACACTACTAATGCCGTTCCTAAAGTAACAAGACCTCCAAATATTATCCATGCCAGAACTTGCGCTTCACTTTTGCAGTGCTCGATCTTTCTTTTTCTCTCGAATATTTGTTGGTCAGTTAAAACTGTTTGGTTGTGTATTGGTGTAAATGGCCCAAGTTTGGCGCAGATATAATAATCTTCTTCCCGAAATGCAACTATCAGCCAAACTGCTGGCCCAACACAAGCCTTGAGTAAACTTGGCAAAACCCGTGCAACAATATCTCCTCGTCTTATGTACCGCTTCACAAACATTCTCGACGTAAAATTCCAGATTTCACCAACTACTAGCAAGTTTAAACAGAACAATACAAGAACAGGAGCAAATAAGAAAGTGAAGCCATATTGTTGGTAATTCTTATCCGGGCAATGGAATGCTTTGGCGTTAAGAAGTTGTTGAAGTTGGTAAGTCGATATCGCAACGATAAGATTTCGAAGCGTTTTGTTGTTGTTTTGTATGAAGTTGAAAGCTGTGCTGAGTCTGAAAGGATTTCCAGCTGGAAGTTTATATCCATTCAAAAACGTCCGAAATTTACAAAACAAAGTTTTCTTCTTCTTTTTGCCCATATCTCAAACTTAGTGCCAATGATAATCTCTTATGTTTATTAGTGCTATGATTGTTGCGGTTCATCGCCGTCAGTGCACGAGCAGGTTTTGTTATTATTATTTCATAATGTATTCAAAATAGCTTCATTTCATTTAGTTCTTTTGAATATTCAACGGTGTTTAATATTCCGAGGAGCGTTACTAGCGTTGCGTGATGAGATAACTGTAGTTTATAGACTAGGAGAGGAACGGATAGTTTGTTTTAAAAATATTTACCATCTCTCCTTTTTTATTTTTTCCTACTTTTTCTGCTTTCTAAGCTATTTCTTCCTTCCCCTCTATTTTCCCTCTTTCTCCCTTGTTTGTATAGGTAACAGCATGATTTGTAGTGATATTTGGCACAAATACCACGAGTGATATTTCGAAATTGTTATACGTAATTTCACTGGCTGTTAAGCGAGTGAAATTTGAGACAATTTTGAGATATCACAAGTGGTATTTATACCAAATATCACATGCAAATCTACAATTACACCTTATAAAGCATATTCTTCCAATCCGTCTGTTAACGTTGACGATTGTACAACTTCCTATAGTGGCACTCTATAGGAGCTTATGAAATTTGAGAGAATCACACGATAACGGGACCCAGCTGTTAAGTACAGGTAGGATTCTGACAAGCCTTTTATTTCAACCTCGTCCCCAGGGCTTTTCCCTTAAAAAGTGGGTGGGCCACCCATTTTTTAATGGAAAAGCCCTGGGGACGAGGTTGCTATAATTAACTTAATATCACAATCAGCCTCATCCTATAATATTTCCCGTATTATCTACGGTGCACGAATGAGTGGCCTCATTCGTACACCTTAGATAAGATAAGCCGTGAACTCATTCGAGTTCACGGCTTATCTTATCCCGAGGGACCACCTGTCTTCTGAACCCGTACGGAAACCGCATAAAGCTGCAATCAACTACGGACATCGTGATATTTAAGGTGTTTCCACTGGATCTTTTTTTTTAGCAACAAGTATTGAGGCGGCTATTTGAGGAACAAGTACCCTTGAATCATTTTGGAAAAAAAATTCTTGTTTCGAGAAATACTGTAGCAAGTAACATAGGCAATGGCGTCATTACGTTACTATGACAACTCTTCTGTCAATATAAAACTGCCCACAAGAAAAGCATTGAGTGATATAGTTGTGGTGGTCTTTTGTCCCGTTTCCTTATTAATGTCGCTCAAACTTGGAAGGTATTGCTCCTAAACAATTTAGTCGAGCCACCTTAAGCGCGATATATAACAAGCAACTGACAGCGGTCTTGTCGATACTAGATATGAGAAAAGCTTTTGATACAGTACTAACCACGAAATACTGCTGTCTAAACTAAGATATGTTGACAAGTCTTTCCCACTCAGTGTCCCCGGGTACCAGGTGATGATGACACTGGGACGCAAGAGACCTAGCGTTTTCTTGGGGCTCTTCTAATCCTAAAAGCCAGTTGGTTCGATACCCTAACCGTGAAACAATGGGAAATAAGAATAAAAGATGATGTGTTGTCGTGTTATTGTTTTATGCGACCAATGAGGAAACACCTTACTAGTAGCTGCTAGATTACTGTTTCTTGGACACTAACTTATTTCAAGTTCAGCTCAGTTTGATGTTTGTTATGTTTTTTAAAATTGTTTCTATAATTTACTTCCTTTATAGCTTCTAACTGTCTCCATAAAAAAATGTTTAATCAATAATTTGTTCCTTAGTTAGCTAGGTTAAACGAATTTACATATCCTAGTAATCTTAGTGATTGTAATTTTTTGTATTCGTTAGATGGTTTCTGTTTCTACAGGTCTCTTTATGACCAGCTGTTAGCTATTTAAATAGATGTCTCTGTTGAAAGATTGTACTAAATATATAACTGTGTACAAAAACGATGGAATAAAATACTCAAGAAATTATTTCGCTTTTTCCCAGGGTGAAATCTCAGCTGAGACCACTCCACAAGTATTGAGAAGGTGCATTTTAGCATTTATTTCAGGGGGCACCCAACGAGAATATAGTTCAAAACCACTTAAACATAGCATTGATGAACGTATTTTAGTTTTTAAACGGTAGATATAGGGATGTTTTTATCTTCTAAAAATTTTTCATCTGTTCGGATTTCTTAGCTGAAAGTCTAGTGATCGGAACATTATAGAGATCAAAACGAAAATTTCGAAAATTTCAGCCAGAAAAAAGGCTCCCGAACATTCTAGGTGACCTTTTTAGGGTACAAAATCGTTAAAAATGGGCAATTATACCATTTTTGATATGTTCGAAAATCGTAAGAGAAGCAGGCAAGCAAGAAATTTTACAACAAATGTTCCGAAAATTCTAGATTTCAAATCGTCTTCCGGACGGATCATTTTCCGAAAATTGACGTTGCGTGCCCCTGTTTATTTTATCACCGATGACAGACATCAGAATGAATTATTCGTGATTGCATGGAACCTTTTTGGAGGAAATCATCTTTAAGTTACGGAGCCGTTAGGTATAAACTGATTTCCAGAACTTTTTCTCTGTAAAAGTTAATGGAAGTGAAGTTCATAAAAAAGATTTGATTTAGAAGTAGCAGATTTTGATTGTTTATACTATAGATTCTTCTTCATCATCTGGCTCAGAAGGTCTTCCGATCAGTTGGGTCACCGCCGTTGGCTGTAAGGGCTTCAGTTCGTCCCTGCAGCTCACACTGTAGGTCCTTTTACCATGGTGATCTCCTTCGACCATTCTCCAAGGGTCGAATGGGCTTCCAGTGGAAATACGAGGGTACATGTTCTTGAAATCTTCGTAAGCCCTGGTGTAATACCAGCCGCCACCCTTGCTCCATTTGTCACCTTCATAACCTTTAACGAAATCATAACATGTCAGACAACACTGGCTGGAGTAGTTGGTCGATTAATACTGTTCCAATCCTTGGAGAACATTGCCCTCCTCGGGTAAATCTCTCCTTGTAACACCGAAATATAAACTTAAAACATACGGGCAAAGGGCCTTTTCTTGTGCTGCCCCTGAACTGTGGAACACTCTTCCAGAAGATCTAAGATGTTGCAATTCACTGACTGTTTTTAAATCTTAGTTGAAGACATTTCTTTTAGGCGTTATTTTATTTGGTAGCTTCAGTTTTTAATTAATTAGTTTGAATGAGAGCTTTTATTATTTTAATTGTAATATTGTAAAGTGCTGTTGAATTTCTAGAAACAGCGCTATATAAGCTTATATTATTATTATTATTATTATGATTATTATGATGATTATTATTATTAATGTGCTAACCAGAAGCGGATTGGTTCTTTTCACAGAAGATTCTTTTGTTTCACTCGTTACAAATTTGTACAACAAAAAAGGAATGTTTCTAAACAGTGCTTTATCCTATAACGTTAGCGAAAAAATTACTGGTAAACGACAAAATCACAGCTTTCTGTCCAACAAATATACCTGCCAAGTGTTTATCATTGTATTCGCTGTAATATTTATACCTTCTTTTTATATCTTCCTATTTTTATGCTTTACTCAACTTGCTGGTATCTCCTATTGTTAGAATTTTGATAAATTTCACGACTCAGCTCCCTTAACAAAGTGCTGTTAGGAGAAAAGGAGGAAACGTGGAACAAATTTTCAAAGGAAACCGATGAGGGAACAAAGAGAAAGGTTCCCACTCTACTGCCATTTTCTTTCTTTTGTCTCTGTGTGGACGTCCTCGGAAATACTTTTAGTTCTAAAAGTATGTATTAAAACGGGAAAGGTTTGACTCAAGGTTACAGCACACATGGAGGCTCCGGGTAATCGGCTCCCGGTACTGGTCAGACTGTTTCACTCTTGCCAGTGCTCAGTTATTTTCTCATTTCCTGATTAATCTGAGGGTGTAGCCATGCCAAGCTCTTTCACTCTCACCTTCAAATAATTTCTCAACTGTTTTCTTTCCTCTCTTTTCAGGAATGCCATCATCATAAAGTGTAACCTTTTCCTCTTTGCTGCCGTACTCGGACGTCTTTGGGTCGTTGTCGAGTTTAGCATCCTTTAGTGAACCACCCATATGTTCTGTGAATGTTTTCATTGCGCTTAGGGCCTCTCGTCTTTCATAGGCATAGAGATCTGGAAACCAGAAAATAAAGCATTCAGTTTTATCTAGGAAAACGTAGTTTGCTTATAAATGTTGAAATTCATAGTCATCAATATACAATGGTCACTATTTGGTTTCGATCCTTTTTTAAAGAAGGATTATGCCAATCTTCACCTCGTACAAATACCGTAAAGTTTCGATTATAAGACCCCCCCACATATAAGCCCCCCAGCTGTATGTCCTCCACTTATAAGGCCCCCACTTACAAGTCCCCCCCCCTCCCCCCCCACTTAAAAAAGTATTTTGATCAGCACTGTCACATAACTTGTTATGAAACTCTTTTTTTCGTCTGGTTGTAAGCCCCTCCCCCACCCCACTTTATTTATGAGCCTTCCTAAAACCATTTACGAAGTTATATAAGCCCAGGGCTTATAAGCGAAAGTTTACGGTATGTTAACTCGTCACTTATAAAGAATATTCTTTTCAATTTTCCGCGTTGTTCTCTGATTTAGGACATTTGTTATTTCAAAACGAAAGCTAGAATCACTTACGAAAGGCATTAACTCGAAACGCCAGCTTTTAAACATCATTTTTCATTGACCACACGATCTTGACCTTATCAAATTATCAAACCAAATTTCCTATTTAATGTTAGTATCAATTTTAGCACTTTATTTTCGAAATTTTTGTTGATTTTTATACTTACTTTCCATAAGAAGATTGTCTTTAAGATAGCAGTTCTTCAACACTATCATTGCTGTACCCAGAATGACAATCGCGACGAGAACACCCCAAGCCAAGACATGTGATTGACTTTTATATTCAACGACTTTCTGCTCGCTTGTTCTGTTGCCTCTTGAAGGTAAGGATCCAAGCTTGGCACAGAGGTAATAATCTTCTTCCAGAAATGCCACAATTAGCCATACAGCCGGCCCAACAAAAGCCTTGAGTAAACTTGGCAAAACTCGAGCGACGCGATCTCCTCTCCTTCTATAGCGTTTGATGCACATTCTGGACGACAGTTTCCAGATCTCGCCAATAACTAACAAATTCAAGCAGAAGAGAATAACAACTGGAGCGAACAAGAACGCGTAGCCATACTGTTTGTAATTCTCTTCCGGGCAGTTAAATGCTTTGGCGTTGAGAAGTCGTTCGAGGCCGTAAGTTGATACCGCCACAATAAGGTTCCTAAGTGTTACGGAGTTGCTTTGAATTAAGCCAAAAGTCTTGCTAAATCTGGTCTTTTTTTCACCCGTAAACATCCATTGCTTCCATGAATTTAAGATCTTTGATTTGTCTTGCTTTTCTTCCAGGTTTGATTTCTCTGTGTCGTCTGTAATTCTTACGACTACATCTCCCTTTTCAACAGCAGCCATAATTATCAGAAATTTACAATTGTGTCTCAAGAAAAACTACACATCCAAAGTCAAAGAGCTTGTTTTGTCCTGTTATCTTTGAACATCAACTTGTTAAATTTATACCACTTCGAATTCCCTTACGTTCTCACACTCCTCTGTCATTTGACTAAAAATGATATGCCTTTCGGTTTCTACTGAATACGTTATTGCACTGTTTATAAGAAAAAAATAGAATATATTTAATCTAACAATCACTGGATATGACGGGTCAGCGATCGATATTTGAATGTAACCTCGATACTGAATAGCTCTTGTGTTTGAAATGAGTACAACTTTGTAACGTTAACTGGACTTGCTTGATAAAGAATAAATAAAATAGGTTGCCATCAACGCAATATTTGTCGCGTCTTCTTAATAACTATTTCGAAAATTTACCCAACGTGTATATTTCTATATTTTTCACCTCGTTACTTGTAATACGTCAGCCGAGAATAACATTCCTTTTTTATGAACTAAATGTGGCTATAAAATCTCTTGTCGTTCATTTCTAAAATTGCCACATCTGTCTCGAAGTGCAATTGTCATAAATAGCTTTACTTTAAAGAAACCAGAAGTAAAACTAAGAAATTTTATTCTACCCCCCCCCCACCTTCCCCACCATTTTACACGGCCACCCCGTCATGCGGCTAAATTTTGCTGGGCCACATAAGCGGGGTTTCTGACTGTTGAATAAATGAGAGCAATTTATCAAATAAGGAGATCAGTAATTCTCTTAGGAGAGGAAGTACTGACACTCTCTCAATATTGGGACTTTTTTATGTCGGTGCTCTGATGGTAGGGAAAACCAATATCTTGTTTATATGGATATAGAACGCGTGATCAGTATTATCTTAATATTTCGGTATAACAGTCTTAAATAAGGAAAGCCTCCTGGAGAGGTAAGGAAAGTGCTGTGTTTTGAAGATTAATTTTAACAAACGAAATCTGATGTTAAAGAACTGAAATTTGATCACCTGAAAGAGTTTTTGTTAAGATTTCAAAATATATGCAAATTGCCAAATAATATAAATTCTTTGAAATTTACTTGGCCTCTATAGCTGGTTGATTCATTCCATTTATAAAATTCACTATTTTTTGTAGCTATAAACAGTGAAATAAAACTGGCGTCAATTCAATAGAGTGATAGATTAGTACTGAGTACAGGTAAAAATATTGTTGTTGTTGTTTTTTTAAATCATACCACATTTTTGCACTGATCTACATGAACTGCAATTTCTTCACAACTGTAGTCTTAAAATACAACCTAAGACATAAACCGGCTTTAAACTTTAACTCGAGTGTAGTCCAATGTCTGAAAACGTTCTCTTATTCACGAATACACTCACCCGAACAACCATATTCATCCCGCTTATGACATGACTCCAGTCCTAGATACAGTCAAACACGCTTTACTTTACGGACACTCGCTTGATATGGACACTTTTTACGGACAGTTTGCTTTGTCCCTGGGAAAAGAAAACCTTGACTTTTGCTCTAAATTCAACCCCCTTTATACGGACATCCCGTTAATACTGACACTTTCTATTGTCCGTATCAACTGGATTTGACTCGTCCTAAGTTTATTCAAACTGGTAGTTCCTACACTAGACAAGCCTTTGAGATCATCGTAACAAACAATAGGAATGTTTGAGTTGTCGCATTTCAGTTCTGTAAACTGTTCCAGTCTGTGTCAAGGATTAAAATGAGTAGTGACATTTCCAGAACATTGATCTCCACTTTTAGGGAAAATGATTCCAACCTAATTTCAGTTTCTAACCTTGAAGTTTGGAATAAGACAATGGATAGAAAACAATGAAACCCGTGCGGAAGTGAAGCCTGTGACGCTTTTATTTATAGAAGGTAACATTTGACGGTTATGATCTGAACTGATAAACTTAGGTTGTGGCCCTCTGTTAACATAAATTCAATAAAATACATATATATAATTATATAAAAAATCACAATGTCATTATAAAAAGATAAAAAATTTACTTACGTGACTGCTGTAGTAGACACAATTTAAAACCAAGCAAAAATAGTATTTGCAAACTATATAGAGTCTCATTTTAAAAATTTTAACTAGTACTTAAAAAAACTATTAACTATCAGGGTGATGGGCTCCTGTAACTATTTAAAACAAGTAAAAGTAAAATGAAAATTTTACTGACTTAATAGAAAAGGCTACATAACTATTTAAAAGATATTCAAAATTTCCTGCCTCTCTTTGCTTAGTAATTAAATTGTTTTACAATTTCTTTTTAAAGGATTTAACATTTTCAACTTTCTTTAGATCAGCGCGGACAGTTCGTTCCAATTTCTAATCGTCCTCCCTCTAAAAGCCCGGCCTCCTTCTGAGTTTTTCTTAAAAATGGGTCATTAAAAATTTATATTTGAAAAACGAGTGGATCTGTTCTGAATCTTAGAATTTGTCTTTAATATAGATTAATGTAATCTGGAGTTGTACCCTCTAGTCTCTAGAGGCTATAGAACATCTATTTATATATGCCTCAATAAAAAATGGAATCCAGTTAAGTTTACAGAACATAGTTAACAGCGAGATAGAAAATTAATGTGTGACTTTGCTTGATACGCGCACTATCATGTTGATATCAGTTTTTTTTTCTAAGACCTTTGACTCCATCGGATTAAGCACGCTGTAAACAGGTACTGTTAATGCGTTTGGCTTAAAGGCTTTCCTTTGCTGAATGATGTTTTTTGTGTTAAAAGTAAAAAAAAACTTCAAAATACTTGATACATTTAATGAATTGTTGTCAATGTTAGAGAGGCTTTCAATTAAAATCGTCCATCGTGTATTGAAAACAGTCATAACTGATTACAGAAAATAGGTATATTTCTTCGACCGGCTGAGCTGATAAATCACTTAAATCCCAACATATTTTTATGTTTCTATGTTTTTGGTCATTCCCTTTGTTGGTCTGAAAAGATATTTTGTTTAGAAGATGTGGGGATTTTGCACAGTACTAGGATGAAAATACGCATTTTCGAGCCCTTTTCCGCCTACGGCAAAGTGGGTGTAAATCAAAAATATTTATTAAATATGAGTTGCTTTTGAAGGACAATAATTGTGTACTTTACATCTTTTAAGGACCAATTTAATCCTGGGAAGTGAAAAAAATCGTTGAAAGTGAAAAACTTTGTAGTGGTAAACTCGGAAATATGCGCTATTTTTACTCTTTGTCACTGCAAAAATTGGCCGCCGGGCGCTGAAGTGATTTTCCTCCCGAAAAATTTTATTTTGAAATATTTCCAAAAACTAATACGGTTTCACTTAATTACTTTACTATCAAGATATATTCCTGGGCAAAATTTAAAGGAAACTGATTTTCCGACCCGAAACGCAGTGGACCGGTTTTAGAGAGACTCTCTCTTAAATTTCTCAAAGAATTGATTTTGGCAGGTCAGGTGTCGCAGGTCTTTAATGTGACGATTTTTTTACAATCGCAAAAAACGCGAAATTAAGTAGCAATAAGGTTATTCATCTACAGTGTGTGCTTCGAAGCTAAGATCTTTGTCAATAATTAAACAAAGTATAAACTTTTGATGCGATATTTAGTCGATATTTGTGGCGTTAAGGTGTAGTTGTAAGCTTGCTGTTTCCGCACAAAGCTTACGTTGTAACCTTTTACCCGTAGCAGGTAATGCTTTTGATGTTCATTTTGTTTTCAGTTGACCATTTCTCGATATTCTCCAAGTCATTAGAAAGAGCCCTAGTTAAAGAAGTGATATTATTCCAGTTTGCATTTAAGGACAGGGTGGTATAGTCAGAATATATATCAATGGTTGAGTTGTTCAAATGTAAAGGCATATCATCCACAAATAGGAGAAAATAAAGTGGACCGAAGATAGATCCCTGCGGTACCCCTAAAGAGTAGTGTAAAAACTTCTTAACAGAAAGGGTTGTCGTATACCCACATGCTCAGACTCAGAAGTTATTTTTGCAGTCTGACGATTGAAATTTCCGCTTTGTCACGAACTGTGTCACGAACTGTGTCACAAAATTTGTCAAAATTCAAACACCAGGCTAACAGTTTTTCAAAGGTCATTTTTGTTGCTTCAAGCAACAAAAGTGAACTTTGAACGACCTATTTTATTTATGGTTATCCGACGTGTACATTGTATTAAGAATTGTCTCACGCTATTGTATGTGAAAGGGGTTCTAAAGCCTACACCGCCACAAGCTGCTCCCTCTGATGCATTTCAAAGCGGTCCAAACGGCTTCAAATTCCTGGAGACGAACTCATTACTTCGTGCATATTTTCTAAAAAATCTCTTTTGACCGACCGTGTCAACGTCACCAAGAAGCATAGTTTCATTTCATAACAGAGAAAGGTGGTGAAGCCATACTGCTCGTAAACGCATGTCCTCGGAGGATTACTTTTGTACAGTGCTACCATTTGCTCATTATGCAAGAATTTAGACAATGATTGTTGAGAACGCACTTCTGCGGAGCAGGCTTAGAAACGTTTCGCGCGGAAGAACGTGACGTTCCTCCGTGCGAAACGTTCCCAGCGGCGAAGAGCGAGGAGAAACGGATGTTTTCGCAGGCTAGTTGAGAAACAGCCCGGACGGGAAACTAATCCCGACTGAAAAAGAAAAAAGAAAAAAGAGCAGGAGCCCATAACGGCCATTGACAAGAGAGAATACAACCTTTCATGAGAGAACTTGCATGTCTTATTTTTTCCAAATATTATTTACATAATCACGACTCATATGGAATGTCAGAGCTCACAAAAGGATAAGCACCGTTTAAACCAAAATCAAAATGCTATTCATCTATAGTTCTCACTCTATAATTGAGAGATAAACAACTGAAATTCTTAACTAATTAAACGTCTGCGTAGCAACTTTTGGCTGAGACTGAGGGCCTCTTCACATGAGCCCGGTTGAACGGGCCGGCTCGTTTACCGGGACCAATTTCGCTTTGGGTTCATATGAGAAATTTCAGCCCGGTTTCCGAGATGAAAAAAAGTTAAAGATCCTGAGGAAATTCGACGAACAAAGCAAACATGACAAAACACAAAAATTATAACTTTCACGCCTACCATAGCTTTGGCAACCCCTAAAGCTGTATCGCTGCAGTTAAATGGGATGCTTGGCTTATGATGTGAAAAACTCAGCAGGCAATGCAAGACTACGCCATCCGGGCCGCCAGAATTCATCCCGCTTTCATCCGGGTAACCGGGCTGAAGTGTTCAGATGGCAAAATCTCCAGCCCGCTTACTGAGATCCCGGTTGGAAAAACCGAGATCTCGGGAACCGAGCCTGCCCACCCTGTCATACGAACAACACATCGAAAATTTTACAAAGGATTTAGAGGAAAGGCAAGATCTCTGAAACTGGGCTCATGTGAAGAGACCTTGAGAAACCTCAAAAGGTGGATAGCGCTATGCAGTGGATAGTGCAATTAATTTCCTTAATACTTATCCGCTGGATAGTGATTTATCCGGTGGATAGCGCTATCCAACGTTCGAACAACCGGTGCCTGGCGTCTTACCGGCTTACTTGTCCAGTCTCGGCAAACTCTCTGTAACTTAACGCTACGCTCTACTCTGGCTCGTCGAACTGAGAAGGTCAGAAAGTAACTAGAAATTTCTTACGCACGATTTTCCTTCACTTAGTATCCGTTTTTCCATTACAAAATCGCTCTTGTAAGGCCATACGTCTAACGACAGCTACGTTAATTAGGAGTGAAAATATTTTAACTTTTGAAGGGGGTATATGTCACGATATTTGTTAGCTAAAGCCCTTTTTCCATTTATTGAATTCCAAAAATGGTCCAGTTTTGTTGTTAAGTCTATATTTAGCAATCACCCCCCCCCCCCCCACCCACCTCATATAATATGGCTAGTTCTCCCTGATGATAATTGTTTGATCGAGAGCCATAATGGATCTTGGTTTGATCTTCGCATCATAACTCTACAGCCTTTTGTACATGAACAAGGCACCAAGTAATGACTTCTCCTCAGAATTGACCTAAAACAGCAATAACATTTGATGTAGCCCACTTAAGTACCAGAAATGTTTCTCTCGGTTCTATTTTACTTTGAAATAAATGGAAAATGATAAACACAAAATTGGGAGACGAAAAACAATCAAAAGTGTTCAAAATATATGAAAACGTAGTTGCCTTGGCTACTTCGTCGCTCAGACTGCAAATTTCCACTCGCAGCGCGCCTGTCCGGGCGCCAGTACATACAGTTAGTAATGCATTCTTATTAAAATGACTCATCAAAGAACAATTTTTTACACGCACAGATCTAATGCAGTTTCTACGAGATTTGTAATCCCAGGAGCTGGTTTATATACATCTTCTAGCTCCAAAAAAGACGATTAGTAGCGTTAAATTAGTGACTTGCAAGACCAATACCTGATAAAAACCCGAAGGAAATAAATTGATTTCAACCCTTCTATTGTTTATAGTCTAGTTATAATCTCAGTAATAGTGAAAATAAAGAAGAGTAGGTTGTTTGATTTTTTCTTAAAGCACTATGCTTAAGAATAAGAATGGTTTATAGTTCAGTTCGCAGTGTATGATGTTCTCTGTAGTATAATCTCCTATTAGCGACCAATCATAAGTCCAGAAAATGAGGTCTTCTCCAGGATGTTTATAGGCTTGTTGGTATTATTCTCGATGTACAGCGATACATATTGTCCAGCCTAGTAGAAAATAAAATAGTCTCAATACATATTAAGGGCAAAATTGTATTATTCAGAACCAATTTTTACTTTCCAAGACGACATGATCTTCAGTTCATCGATTTTCATGTTGCTGGAAAGAAAGACTAAAAAAAAGGGCCGCAGAGAAACACGAATGTTTTCTCTTTAGCGCAGGGACAAACTAATGAATACGGACAGTCATGTGATTGACGTTGCTAGTTTTTAAAACCGAAACCTCGGACTCGGTTTCTGTTGCAAGTTATGTTGATTTTGAAATTAACACAAAGGCCCTAGTTTCCTTTGCTGCCCCGCAAACAGCTTCGGAGGAGACTACAAAGGCCCAAATTCACGCTGAAAATCCACGAAAAACATCGTGCTAAACTACTGACGGAAAGTTCAATTCACACGAAAAAATACTGAATTCTAGGTACTGCCTAGGAAGCAATTATACCTTACTTTGGCCCCTTACTTAATATTAAGAAAAGCGCAAATGACTCCAAAACTTGTTTTAACTGAAATAAAATATTAACTACAAGATATACATCCTAAGCGTAGCCATTCAAGGGCAATATGTCTTCTTTTACCTTCAGCATCAACATGCCACTGACTGTTACTGTGAACCGGAGACTGTTGCTTTCCATTCCTGTTATTGTTGTTAGAGCTCTGAAACAATTAATGGAAATGCCTTAATTCCTGTTGTTCCTGTAGGTGCCAATTTTTTCACTGAATATTCAAGTACTATAGGTATTCCCATGGCACGAGTGAAATTAAACTTCTACGGGGCTGGGACAGTAATTTTGTGAACACAGACCGAGGAATGTTCAACTAAATCAATTTTAAGTCCAAAGAACGTTTGATACGAGAATATCCAGTTTTAGATAATCGTATCAAAACCCCCGATTCCCACTTGTGCGCATCATAGTGAATTTCAAAAATGATGAATCAGAATGCTCACTCACGTGTTCAATTCACACAGTGAACTGATGCAGATGCTGACTTTCACGTGATCACGTGGCCGCAGATTTGCTTCCCTGTCACGTGATATTAGTAGGTTGGCTGTGAGTTGGTACACACCGCTGTACCGGACGACATATCGTCCGGAGCGCACATTAAAATCATTTCCGCGTACGAACGTGCCAGAATGGTCGCCCTGCGTAAAAACAAAGAATCCAACAAAAAGTCGGGGTGGTCAATGAGCACGTTAAATGAACTAAAAGCTAAGGAAGCGTAATTGAGTGGTGGGGGTGCAGAGTCGGCTAAAACAGGGACCTCTCTGACCACCAGCTAGTCAACAGTTGTTTCTCAATAAAATTTCTGGCGTCTTATCCACGCTAAAAGATATCTAGTTTATTAATTATTCTCCTAACACTATCAGAAATTTCTGTTGCCAACATTTGTTTTTCGCAATAACACGGTGTCCTCGTTAAACTGAAACGGACTGTTAGGTCAACTGAAAGTAGTAAAACAATAATAATAATAATACTAATAAACTTTATTTTTATAGCGTCTATATCATCAACTGTTCTAGGCGCTTTACAATATCACAAAAAATGCATTAAAACTCTAAAAAATCTAACAACTACATATATTAGTATGAAAAATGAATAAAAATCTATTTATAAATTAAGAAAAAGCTTGGTGAAATAAATATGTCTTTTAAGTGTTTTTTGAAAGAATCCAAGGAATCGGTATTCCTTAAAGATGCGGGTATGCTGTTCCATAATTTAGGTCCTGCAATAGAAAATCTTCGATCATCATAAGACTTTAGCTTAGATCTCGGGACTTAAAGTAACTCATTCGAGCAAGAACGCAAAGAGTAGGAGCTGCAAAGCTTGCTGTTAAAGCCTGCCTTCTCTACACGAGCAGTATTTGATCCGGAAATCAGCGAACAAACAATTTCCACTTACAGGCAGTTTGTAGTTTTTCAGTTCCTGGTGGGATTTCTTCGCAATGGTGACGTCATGTCGAAGTTCAACATGATGCGCTGAGAGGAGATCAGGTATTCCTGCTGCCATAAGACTGATGTTCTGTTGGAAAATACACTTTCTACTTTAAAAATCTTGAAAGCCATATACTCGTTTTTAATTTATAAGCCATGTTGAGTTACAATTGAACGCTCGGGAGGGAAGGCTCCAATTACAACTACGAGTTATTACAAGTTAAAGGAGTAATACCTGTAGAACATAAAAAAGTTCGCTACCTACAACCCTGGTCAAAACTCTTGGGACACTAATGCAATAGCTCGTCAAATTGATGCATCTTCCTTCCCCCCTTCCCCCCGGAGTAGTGTTGACGTTATGCATTCAAGTTTTAATTCAACACAATCAACACAGCTTGGGGGAGAGGAGGAAGGGAGGGGGGGGGGAAGCAGAAATAGCCCCTTATAACAACATCCCCAAGCTTTTTTAAGAGGTAGATTACAAGTTAATTTCGCAAAGTGCGTCTTTGTGCCTAATTTCCTCAAGTGTCCCAAGACGTTTTGACTAGGGTTGTAGAGTTCCACTCTATGAAGTAATACTGTCTCGTTGAGTGATCATAGCCCGCTTAACAGATAATTTGTACGCTGTGTACAGGTCATGGGAGCAGGAGGTCACTGAAAAGCGTCTGTGAACTAGGGTGCGAGAAAAGAATAAATGTTTCTTCATACCTGGTCTGCAATACGTCTTGATCGACGATTTGCACTTTCTGTATAAAAACAAAAGAGCCAGATTACAAAATGTCGTCATTCTTCATGTTTCAATGCCTGAATATTCTCTAACTGTTCTGCCTGTCTCTCTTTCTCTATCTTTGCACTCCCACCCCACCCCCCATCTTACAGCGTCGACTTTCTTTTATCCTGGGTAGTAATTTGCGTTGAGAAAGTCGCGAGCTCTCGTGGATGTAGTTGTGGGTATAACCTTTATATTTTCAGGGAGGAAATTACTTTAATTGTTTTGGACAAAGGTGAGAAACTGTCATCCAGCACCAGGAGCATTTTTCATTTTAGCATACCCCGCCCCCCGCCCTCCGATTTTAGTTTACACAGAATTTTTTTTCCCAAGTTATTCTTCCTCGTGACAAAAAAGCAGGGAAGGTAAGAACGTTTACGCATAGATTTCAAGACTGTGTGAAAGCATTATGCAGCTGGATGTGTTGTTAATCAGAAGCGAGTAGTTTCCTTGAACAGTAGCACTGAACCCATAAAATAAGCCATCTTAGCAAGAAATAAACAGCGTGATAAAACCAGCGCTCACCCTGCACCATGCTCCTGAATTCCGCCATCATGGTGGCCTCGGTGATCTGTGCTCCAGGTGGACCAGCAGGTCCAGGTGGACCGGGAGGGCCTGGGGGACCGGGACTAGGTTCACACTGATTCTGCAAGTTATTTTAAACGTAAATAGATGAAGACGTAAGATCTTGTTATTTTGGAAAACTAAATATTAAATTAAATATTTTCCTAAATTTTCCTAACTCCAGCTGAAAAAAGATAAATCTTATAACAAAGACCCCAAGTCGGTTTTTTTGTCAATCTGAAAAAGGGTTCACATTCCTTTGTCAACGACACCATATCAGTAACTTCTGTTAACCTTCTCCTATTGAGAAAACTGTTGATTAACCCGGAACCATGCATTAGCTTGAACTATTAATTATAGCCGTATCTTCTTCCACCAGAAAATAAAAATAAATTCATGAGAAAATTAAAAAAATAATTTTCTGTTTGGAGAGAGTTTTTAATTTACCTTGGATGATTCTCTGTTGTGTTTCTTATCCTTTCCCTTCTTTCCTTTGCCGCCTTGCTTTCTGAAGAAGTTCCAACTTTCCGCAGGGTTTAAAGCATTCGAGCCATTATCAGCTCCCTGCAGCTTGGAGGATAATAAAAACAGTTCATCACTTATAAACTGAACAATCAGGAATCCAGCGTCACATTCCTAGCATCCTTTATTCGAGTAAACCCACCCTACCCCCAGCGCTGAGGCAAGCACCTGTACTAAAATGTCTCTTTTTTGACAATGGCAGGTTTTGTATCATGTTGGGAGTTGATCGTACGTAATTACCTCCTTATGTTTTCGGTGGAATGTTGAGAGCTATTTTAAGCAACAGTTCTCAGCAGACGCTCCCTTAAAGCTAACACCTTTTCTAAAGTATCTTCCATCAAACCAGCAGAAATGTCCGTAAAACAGTTGTTGGAAATATAGATGGTATCAAAATGCTCTTAAGTCTTTGCAAGAAAAGAAAGGAATCGAGTTTGTGTAGGCTTGATAGTGTCATTCCGACACTGTGTTGATAATTTTCACAGAGTCACAGTAGTAGTTTGTAGCAATTAAACACGCGCCATTCATCAACGAGCAGACGCAAGTGAAGGTCGGAAAACAACCTCTTATACCTCCTGACAGTGTAGAAGAACATTTATTTGAATGTCCTTATTATTGTAAGTTTTTTTTTATCAGTGTATAATTAAAGTTGCTTTTTTACCCTAAATTGTCATTTTTAGTCCACGTTGTAAGACACCAAGGTTGGCCTTTGTAATTTCAGTTAGCCCAGTTTAGATATATTTAGACTTTAATGAAAAGAAAAGGAGGGTCATGATCGGTTTTAACTGCACTTGTGTAGTGTGAAAAACCGACATATACCAGTGGGCAAGAAATTCCTTCTTGCATGCGAAGCGTCTGATCAAAGACCTTCAAGTCTAGAGGCTAGAAAATACAGTAACATAAGCATTAGCTTGTAAATAGATCAGCAGAAAGCCTCACGAAATGAGTGGTTATTTATTGAGTTTGCATACCATACCAACCATAATTATTGCCAGTAACTATTTTATTTAGAATACTCTCTGAAAAAGATCGGCTTTTCAGTTTCTCTATAAATACATGTACAATTTATTTTTTAAACGACTTCTGCAAGACGAACGTAGATATTTACATTGTCTATCAAAGGTTATCGGAGGCAAATACCGTCCTTTTTTTCTGCCGCTGTTGATTAAAAGGACCGCTTCACGTTAATTTCAAAATATCCTAAGCATTACGAATGCAGCGGCATTAAAGGATCATCTAACTTCCGAAGTGCTTGTGTTAAACATCATACTGTATCTGGTACCGTGAACTGAACAGACTGACAATTACAGTGAAATCTAAACAAAAATACCTAAACATAACTTTAAAACTTAACTGCCCATGATACAGAATTTTTTGGGAAAAGAAAAACATATCAATTAGTTTTCTTATCTTTGCGCGGCTTTTTCAGAATAGGAGGCAAAGTTGTTGCAAGCCAAAAATAGAAGACTGCAGGCTCTACGTGAAAACATCTCAAGCTCATCTCTGCCGCCAAGTGATATCTAAGATCGAAAAAGAAGCCCCGTTGACAAAATCTCCGCGACGCAATGGCTTTCCTTTCGACAAAATTTACGTTTAGTAGACGCAACGGATTGGATACGCTAAGTTCACCTGGGCGTGGGAACAAGGTGGAACAAGACTCGTGTAGAGCATGACTGACACGACGCGTTCTGCACGTTCACCATCAGTTAATACTTCGGCAAAATAATAGATCTTGACCAAACTTCCTTCATGAAATAGAAAACAAAAAAAAGGCTTACTTTGGAATTCTCGAGGCTAGATGAAGGTTGGTCGGTAGAATCTTTGGAGGAACTTTGGCTTCTCTGTTTTCTATCGATTTCCTGTGGACTCTCGGTGGGGGAAACATTTGTAATTTGAAAGAGAAACACTGTCAAGACTGCAATCAATACAACAGAGTGAAAAATCCCCAGACACTGTTGCACAGCCATGTTGTGAAGGGAGCGCGAATAAAAATTGACCGAAAACTCGACCCGCAGCGTAATTTATTTTCTTTCCAAAGTTATGGGAGGTCTTTAAAAATGGGAAATATAGTATTAAATTTCCCTTTCGGGTGAAGGTCGTGATAATACAGCTATCGACTTATCGAGTAAAGATGGGCCAAAAGATCTTGAAAAGGCTGAAACCAGGGGCGTTGAAAGGGCAACCAACGTGCTGGTGCACATCTGTGCGACACCTTCTAAATTTTTTATCCTAAAAAACGACACACGTGCCACTTTCGTCGAAAACTCAATTATTTTTCCTAAGGAAGCCGCAAAATAAGATGACTAAATACTGGAAGCGTGGCCAACGTGTACTTGTTACATCGTCGTGGGGCCCCATCGGTTCTTTTAAGTACCGCCCAACAAATTAGCGATAACAGTTAACTTAAAGATGGTTGTTAGCTTAGTAATTGGCTGGGAGGAGTCAGAAATGTATGATTTGCCAACATTTTTGTGTTTGTCATCATGCCAAACTGTGCATGGATGTTTTTCACAACAGTCTCTCGAGTCTGTGAATTTCGTGTAAATTTAAAAAGGAAAACCATACAGGAAATCATGTTCCCGGAAACAATTTTTTTCTCTGACACCTTTTTGCACACACAAGATATCGTGGCATAGTTACGCATAAACCCGCGATGTTAACTATAATTTTAATCTACTTTTTAAAGTACAAGTGGTTTCCGCATTTCAATGTTAATTTTTGTTGAATGAGTAAACATTCAATAACTTGTTTGTTGACTTTGTTGATAATATCCTTACTTGGACTAAAAAGGAAGTATGTGACTGGTTTATATCACACAGACGCAGAGGTTAGATACGACGCTTGGGGCAAATAGCCAGGGTGAAGATAATAGTTTGTGTGTTTTACATCTTCATCAACAAAATTACTAGAGAAAGGTTTTGTGCCTTAATGTTTTGTTTTTGTTGGGTGATTTGAAAAACGTAAATATAACTGAAAACGTTTCTTACCACAGAAAAAGCATTTCGTCGGCGAGCGACTGATAACTTCTTGCCCGACGAGGCCATCTTGGTTAAATCCAACACCACAAAAAACACGTACAGGATGGCGGCGAATCGCATTTCTTTCTTTCGTCGCAAACCTCCGCTACCTACCAACAGGTGTGGAACACAAGGTTTAGCTTCGCTTGGATGTTTGCGCAACACGCACGTTCTAATAAAACTCGTGCACCTCAAGCGGAGCTCGAAAATTGAAAAACTGGGAAGACTTACCTTAGGTTAAAGATTCTTGAAATATTCAGTAATTTTTTTTGTCTGGCCTTGCACTGACAGCGATCCGTTTATAACTACAATAGGGTAGGGCAAACAGGATCACTGGTCTTCTGTAACGTTAACACCTACGAGATAAATTACTTCACAAATGGATACAAATGACCTTCTGATAGGGGAATACGAAGATTTATACACCGGCCGACCTGATGATATCGCGCTTATTAAAACCTGGAATCGAGTCAAGGGATAGCCAATGAGAACGTTGCAATTTGGCTGAATGTCATTTACAAAGGAGCGTTTCGATAATTGTACTGATTATCTTGAAGGGTTGTTGAGAGACAAAGTAAGAGCGCTTAATTTGCGGCCCCTTTGCAATCAAATCCAGTCTTACCCTGGAGGAAATTCCCGTGGCAGAAAAAAAATTTCTCGTCAATGTTCTATTGTTTGCAAATATTCTGGAATTTTTCCCGTGAATGTTATGGGATTTTAAGGACTCTACAAAAAGTTTCCGGCTCAGAAGAGGAATAATCGCTGTTATATGGTTAATTGACCTTGTTATACTCTCAACAGCACATAAATCATGGCATAGAGGATTAACCTCTGTAAAGGCATTTCTGCCAAATATCTCCAAGGCTGAGACAAAATTACATCGTTTTAGATGACTTATCATAATCAGGTAGCCTTTTCGTCTAGTATCGCAGGTTTTTTATGCAATCTTTCCCGTTCTTCAAGCTTCAAACTTCACTTATCGTCAACAGCTACGGAGCACTGTAAACAGCACCACAGGGAAGCTTGCTGCGTACTAGCTTTCATCTGAAGGGTCACACTTCAGAATTCAGTCATCCACACATACTTCAAAAACTAAAACATCCTGTGCAATTGCAAAGCATTTCTTAATCGCTTTCATTTACCTTCATTTGACTGGTCATACCTTTTAGAATTTCCTCACGGTATCAAAGTAAGAGTCATCTTGTAAAGAAGAAGAACGAAGTTATTTTTGTAGTAGACTACGAGTAGTCCCCCATTTTTCCTCAGGGCTCTACTATCCCTGAGGAAAAATAGGGGACTACTCGTAGTCTATTTCTGAAGCAATTTCTTTTGAGAAAGCTCACATCACACTTGAGAAAAGGCTTGCCAGTCCTTGCTTGTTACGCCGAGCGCTTTTAATACATTGTAGTAGACCAGTTACTCTTCAAGTCTCATCATGTTATTCGTCTATCGCCGTCTAGTCCACCACAAAGACCACAAAAAGAGCACAATTAAGTGTAGGAATAAACTAATTGGGTTAAGGATTTTTTTGTGCAACTCTTTAAAATTCACCAAAAAAACTAGCGACGGTAGATTTTTAACTTAGGATGTTGCACTGTGCAAAGCAAAGCCGGATGCGTCCAATAGCCTGATCGAAGGACATGTACATTTTGATGGGAGTTCTTTTGCGCAGCTACCCATAGTAGGTTTCAACAAAACGTACAAAATGGGTATCAAAGATCTGTCGATGACCAGTTGATGTTACAGTGCCATGACTCTTAATGGGTGTGGTTGTTATTCCTCGACTAGTATCTCATCTTCCAAGCCTACAAGCTTATGCATCTTCGAGTACCCATTGCACACTTCACACGCCATAACCAAATTTGTTCAATGGAGCTCTTGAAAATGCCAGTGTACAACAGCGTTATACAAAACGGTTCACCGTGTCGCCACTTGGTTTATCAATTCAATATTTGACCTTCGAGAGTACTTAACAGCTGACTTAAGCCTAATATTGACAGACCATTCGAAGTATTATCCTTATAGCTATTTAGGACGAAGTGAGCTTTAGTCCTTACTTAAAAGAATTTCTCTTATTTTTGCGGTCCGACATGTTTATCTCCAGAGTGACATTGGGCGCTTAGGACGTTTCTTAATTTCCGTCAGAAAACATTCCACATTAATCGCCTTGACTTGGGCCGAATGGTACAGTTTGTAAAAAAATAAAGAAAAAGAGACTGATTTTCCCTCACAACTCTAACGTTCGAGGAGCAACGCGCATAACCTCCCCTGAACCTGTAAGAGAATAAAAAACACAATTATGAGACCTGGTGAGGAAATTGGTGAGGAGTTCATTTTTACGGCCTGATATGCCGGGTTTCGGCGTAAGCACGTGGTCCTTCCTCGTGAGGTAAACCAGGAAAATTTTAATGGCGATCAGGTATGTCGCTGCTAGCCTGAGCGAGAAACGGTAGTGCGAAACGTATGAAAGTGACTGAGTAGTTAAGTCTCGCGGGAATAAAAAAAAAACTTGAACACGGATATAAGCTAGCCTCTTCAAAGAGAGAAGCAGTAGAACATAACACCCGCTATCTAGTTCTCTGTCAGTTTCCAGTCTGAGTCTAGCTGACTGAAATGATTCGTTAGACCGTGATCTCGCCTCACCTCGATCTTCTTTGTGCAACTAATACAAAGTGTTCTGGAGGGCTGTTGAAAGTAAACAAGTTCAGCAACATTATCGTCTATTTGTGTGAATCTCAGGTGTATCGTCAAATTTTAAGTCTAGATATCGACAGTATCGAATAAGGTGGCTCCTATCAAAAGATTAGTCCTAGCTCGAGGACCGATACTACCGTGCCTGCAAGGGTAGCTTGAAGTGATACGGACCTCGAAACCTGCAATAATATAAAACAGAAATATAAATGAAATTAAATGATTTTGACACTGAAAGCTGAAACTGGTTGTACGAACTCCTTTTTTATGCCCTTGATCGATTTTTCAGTGCATAAAATTATGTTAAAAAAATTGCCATCTCTAAAATATTAATTTGTTCACTTTAGTTGTAACATAACGTCAACAACAAGGCCTCAGTTCATGGAGAAACATTGCTATCGATTGCAAACGACTAGAATTAAGGCTAAATCTCGAATAACGGAAACTGTCATCAAGCTCTTAAATACTTTCACAAATAATACTATCATTCCAAGCCTTTTTCAGGCGTTCAGATAGATAAGTGCAGGCGAAAAATAGAGCGAGCAAACAAACAAACTAACAAACAAACAAAAAAGACGGGAGATTCGTTCGGTTTATCTTTCGCCTGCTCTCCACTATCAACAAACGTCTGTAAACGGGTTATTTCTTATTTCATTTCAAACACGTGGACAAAGTAGAAATTCGCATAACTTTACAAAAGTCTTAAAAAAGTACGGTACAACGCAAAACTACTGCTAGACTGAGGCTTTTTTTAAATGGTAACACCATGGTATTTCGTCCAAAAATTCCGGCAAAGGTAGAATGTAACTAAGCTTCATTAAATCCCAACTCGGTCTGTTCTCATATCCTCAGTGGCCAGCGTGTTCCTTTTCATCCTTCCACATACTTCAGCAGCCGATGAGACATACAAAAACAAACCTAAAAAGATATCTTCTCGGGGCGATCGACAGTTTTTAGCTGAGCTGGGAATAGTATTTGTTTGTTTGCTACTTCTTTGGACGGGTCGTTGGTATTTACACTTCACAGTTTTCATCAAAAAAACACTCGAAAACAAACCCAATGGCGCAGTTTCTGATCATAAGATTATAAATCAAAGGAACGATAATTGATACAAGCAACTCTGAAGAAACCAGTAGTATAAACTGTGTCATGCACAAGCTTTATGAACTGAAAAACGTAACCTTTGAAAAGTCTCTAGCAAACAAGGAGAAGCACTCCATCGACAATGACATACTTCTGCTAATTTACAGCCAAGCTAGAGTATGTCACTAACTCTTTTGATTTCGATTAAGCAGCAAAAACACATGTGAACCGAAAATTTCGTGTTCCAGCGTTTATCTTATCAACAACTCGTTAGCAATGGCGACAACAGTTTTCCTGTTTGTCTGGCCACCGTTTTATCTAGCTTTTAATATCTAGGAGGATAAAACAGGAGATTCTAGCTCAGATTTGCTATCTGATTTTTCAAAGAAAGGCATTCATTTTGCCGAATTATGAAGTTGCCGGTTTAATTTACAGTGGTTTACAATTTGTCTATTGGTGCGCTAAGCAAGAATGGAACTAGGAATCTTTGTTACCATCTGTCCTTATCCGAGACACTTGTAGTCCGCGGGGCTTATATAAAGGTCTTAAAGCACTGCCGAGAATGCTGCGGGTATGCAAGTATTAAGTAAAGTATTGTTGCCATTTTACCCCGGCATTTCACATGACATAACCTCTTACATCATTGTACAAATTCTACAAAACAAGTAAAATCTGGTTTCGGTCTCACTCATGTTCACTGTTGCCGACGAAACGGGAATTTAATCCTTAGATTAATTCCAGTGGCCAGTTTCTTCAGACTCACTATTTTGATGTTTTCTGTATCTGGGCAGGGGGAGGGGAGGGTGGAAAGCCATATAATAGAGGTGTAGCCTCCCACTGCTCAGAGGTCAAGGCGTAGTCCAGGCTTAATTTGACCCTGTAAAGTGGACCATATTCCAACTTAGTATGACGGCTTTTGGTTTTTTATATATCTATAGCCGTATTTTTGAACGCATTATTGGTTAAAGACCTCTTGAATCGAATTTTTTTATTCAGAAACTATCCAAAGCAGCCATTATAAAAACTACGTTTGCAACCACGGTTTTTGTTCTCTTGTCCTCCATTTTTCACTCCTCATCCTTTCTATTTTTTTCCTTTTCCTTAATTCTTGGCTCGATTAATAACCAGCGGTTTAAGACAAAGCGGCGGCAATTTTATCTTACCTTTGCTACTGTGAGTTCGGGCTTACTGATCGGATCCACTCGAAAGGCCTGCAAATTTCGCTTGGTTCGTTTTCAAACGTCCGGCTATAGATATACAGATTTTTCTTTCTACACAACCCCAAATTCAGCGATACTTTACCACTCCAACAGCTCGCGAAGGCAAAAGATCTGTATACTCTGTATACTGTTACCTCAGATTTTAGGTTGTGTCAGTGAGTTAAAACTCTAAGAGTCTTGTACTGCGGAGAGCTTTCATTCCGGCTTTGTTCAGTCATATTTGGAGAGCTGGTCGTGATAATTCAGTGTTAGGTGGAGTCAGTGTTACCGCGAAGGCTGAGTTCGAACTGTAACCCTAAAATCTTTTCGATTTGCCGTTATCCTGTTTAAGAGGACAATCCAAATCACCAGAAATACATTCCACTGAAGAGACTAAAATTGGAAAACTTGCAGAAATTACCTCAGACGAAGTCTCCGGAAAAATGTGAGAAATTGGGAGTCATCTGTCCTGTAACTAACCACTTATGAGACTAAAGCAAATACGATTCTTTCAGGAAATGCTACTTTCGATATCTTAATGCACTAAAGTACGCTAGGTATTAACAAAAGTCGCGAATAGTAATCCTTTGATCATGATTTGTAGAGTATTTGTTATTTTTTATCACATCTCCATTCTGTTTATACTAGTTTATGTCGCCTCTTTCGACTCTTTCTACATCTCATTCAATGTGAAACTTCAGGTCATTGCTTTCGTTATCTCAATTCAGTAAAACCTCGATGAAACGAAGGCCAAGGGAATGACATAATGTTTTCACTATAACAAGGTTTTGTTATTTTCCATTTATTTTGCCATTACTGGGGTAAAGAAATCATTCGTTATACCGATCAAGGACGCCGTTATACAGAGGTTCGACTTTTACATCGAGTGACTCCAGTCTAAACATTAAAAAAGCTAAAAAGTTTCAACTTGTATACAACAGTATAACTATATAAAAACGGTACTTCCCCAAAATAAAAACCTAATGCAACTGAAAGAAATGTGTGTTTATTAACCCCTGATTTTTTATCCTTTTATTACATTATCGCCTAGTAAAATCCCTCTTTCCCCTCTAGTCATTAGCTGTGCACGCATTGCTAATAACTTGAGATTAGAATCTATTGACTATTTTCTTTCATTTATCTTCATTTCCTTTCAGTGGTTCTTTGAAACCTTTCATTTGGAAGACATCTCGTTTGTTACATGTTTGTTGACCCTTTCTTTCGGTTACCACTAATGACAAAGTTAAAGTAATATCAGGTCCTTAAGTTTCTTCAAGGTTTACGGGCTCTAGGAAATCGCTATCTTTTCTGAAAGTCACCGCAAGCGCCGGGTCAACATACAATGCCTCATTACCCTAGTTAAGAAGTTAAAATGCTTTGTATGAACTTCCTAGCTTTTTTTTCTCGGTAGGATAAAACAAGTCGTAGGTTTTTACTAACCAGAGCCCGTCAAACCAATTATTGCCTGGCGTGGAATGCCGCCGCATGAATTTGTACTTGCCGTTCCTGTTCATTGGGTAGAAGCCTTGGGAAAGGCCCTACGTTCTTTTTCGTTTTCCACAATTTATTTTCCAAGAAGATTTTTAACTACAATAGGATTTAGAAATACACCTGTATACGTATAATAGCAATTTGTTCTTTATGGGAACATACTTCGGAAGGTGGTGCGTTTTACCCTCTTCTGAACTGAGTGCGAAGAGAATTTTTGCCGTCTCGTGAATATCGAATCTCACTTGACCACCCGTGGGGAGATTTTTATGCTGTGTAAAAGAAGTTCCGTTGTGACACTTTTTCGCTTCCTTTTTAAATTTAAAAGTGTACTCTATCATACCTGGCGATCGATCAACTCTTCATTCAGGACAGTGCTGCGATATCTGATCGACGGAAATGGTGAGGAGTTTAATGAATTCGTACGGGCGCAGTTTTAAAGTCACCAAGGGGGAGATGGAAAAAGTTTACCGCCAGACTTGGCAGTTAAGTTTATTGAGAGTGAAGCGGTAAATAAGTTACCATTTGTAATATTAGTAGATGATGCAAGCGAAAGGTTTACGCCTTGCTTTACTGAGTTCACCTTACAAAGATCTCGCCATTATATCATTTTGAAAGTATTTGCCTCTCTTTCCAAAAGTAAAAAGAGACTTTCCTCACCTAACTGTTCCCGCCTCACAAAATTTTGAATCGAATTATTTCTTGTTGCTGACTTGCTTCACAAAGAACGGTAGAAAAATCCACCAGTCGGCGAACATGCATAGGCTTTGTCTATTACCCGACAATTAAGTTCGTGTTGGTATTTTAAGCTTATTTAATTGCGTTTTGCTCAGTTGCAGGCAATGAACCCCGGCTTGTGACTCTATTTAAAATTTAAACAGATGGTGTACCCGGTAAAGAGCAAGAAAGCTAAATTGTGAAGTCAATCAGTCCTGGTAAGCGAGACTGGATCATCCTTATTCGACTCTTGCACTATTTTTCCTTAGAAACAAATTAATTTCCTATCCATCTTCCTGACATCTCAAGCCACAAAAATTTACGACAATCGACTCCTCGATCGCTTCTGCCGAGCACGAGTTGCAAGAGTAGTACTTGAAATGAAAGGAAATGACTTCAAGTGCCAAAATTGGCCACACCTTCAAACACGCGCAAACTTGAGTCCTGCTCCTAAAATAGAACCGATTAGTATGATTAGGCTCATTTATAGATACACAAGAGGATCACGACAATTCGCGTATGATTGTTTTGCGTTCTTCTGAAGTATTTATAGTAAAAATCTAGGTAATCTACCCATTGTCGGGCAAACCATAAACAGTTACTGGATGAGGTTTTTGTGATATAGAGCTTTTCTTGCAAGTTCGTGTGGCTGCAGTTCGAATCTGCCACCCGTATGTTTGAAACTATGCTGGGAATTATTATAAACTAATCAAATTTGTTAATTTATTTTTTCCTTTTTGGGAACCTGTATGCTCGACTGTTTTGAATTCTTGGATTTTGACAAAACTCGCCTTCACCAGGACACACGAGGAAAGAGCTCGAGAAAAGTTAAGTCACGCAGCTATTCAGCGGTCTACCGAGATAAAAGATGCGCATTTTCAGACTATTCAACATGGCGGACTGCCGCGGACTGCCGCGGACTGCTAGATGTTTTGATGTGGTAGTGTAGATTTTATAATCTTTTCGACTGGTCATCGTTAAAGGCCGTGAAGGATGGATGAAGAGGACCTAGAAGAAATGAGGGCCCTTAGAGGTGAGAGCCATAAACGATGATTTCATATACATTATACTTGAGTGTAAGAAAATAGAAATCTACTACATATATAATGCACTCTAAACAGACGTTATAAGATCGTTGCAAATTCGTGACTGTCATTTCAAAGTTCAAGCCTTCTTTGTGATTGATCTTCCTTTAGCTTCTTCAAGATATAGCCAAGCTCAATCACATATTCATACTTTTCGCCCGGCTCGCAATCGACCGACAGACACAGTCACCCGCAGTTCAGGAGAATCGACTACAGCCCTGCCAACTTCATCCACAAGTTCTTCAGCAAAAAGAGGTATGAAAAGCTTTTTTAGTTCATGTACTACATGTATCGAGAGTTTTGACCTGTTTTTTGTATAGTCTGTGACGTTTGCTGCATTAGCTATATTCCTGATGGTGAAATTGAAAAATAGTTGGTTAACTTTCTTGTTTTGCATGCATAGTAGCCACCGTTTTTTCAGGACTAAGAGAGAAACTTCAAGGATGCTCGCATGCACAAGGCGAGAACGACCCCAGTTTCCTGTTTATGCCCCCCATTTTCCATGATCAACTTGGCAAGGTGGATCCACACAACTTTTTTGCCTGAAGGGAGTTTCTGAGGGGGTTGCCATTAGTGAATGAGGTCTTCTTTCTTGACAGATTGTTTTCTGTCGCATGCAAAAAACGATTTTTTAAAGACACTAAAAATGTCCTGGAAAGGAAAGAAAACTGGTGTTACTTTTTCAGTTTTAAAAAATTGATTTGGAATGTCATCTTTAGTTTTCTTCCAATGGACGAATCAACACTCAAGTGAAACACCTCATAATAATTATTGGTTAATGTTGCTATGATACTACACTGTATAATAAATGTATGGTCTGAATGACTCTTCAGGGGGACATGCAGATATAGAATATTTTTCCTTGAAATAATAATAGTGATGAAAAAGCTAACTGTTAGCTCTTAAAAATAACAAAATTAATTTTCATTGTTTTTTGCTGTTCAACACAATGATTTAGCCACTTGGCCATGAATGGTAGCCTGTTTAGAAAAGTTTAATAATCACTTCTAAGGTCCGGTTCAGACGCCGCTCCACTCATGTGCCGAACCTAACTGATGAATTAAGTACGGCAAAAGAGCGGCGTCTGAATCAATTTGGTACGGCAGTTTTAGTTTGGTGCAGCAAAAGCGTTATGTTCGACAGAGTCTGTCAAACTTTTATCGAACTTAACTTAGGTTCGACACACAGTACGCCGTCTGAATCAGATGTCGTGCCAGTGTCGCTCCAAAGTCAAACTTATTCAGTTAAGTTCGCCACATGAAAAGTACGGCGTCTGAACCAGGCCTAAGCTACACTGTATTTATGGCTATCCATCCATTGCAACAATTTCATAAGCTGTTGAGCCATTCTAGGCCATGTGTTTATAATTTTTTAGTGTCTGAATGTTCCATGTTTAGTGTTTTAAAGCCAGCTTACTTTATTAGTGCTCATATGAACATTTACTTGTATCATTAGGCACAAGTGAAGGCAAAACAGAACTTGAATCCATGGAAGCTATGATGGGATTTTCAGGTTTTGGTAAGTATCTATATACAACTTTTGGTGAATAAACTAAAAGCTTGTGCATGTGTCATTAAAAAGCAGAAGAAAAAATTAAAGTTCGCCGAAAATAACTATTTTAGCTACATGTACTTTTTCCTAGAAAATATGTTTTATGAGTCTGTGAGCCCACAAGTTTTGAGTAAAGTTATGAGCCAGGTTAGGGTTAATGTTTAGTGTTACACATACATGTACATGTAGGGTTAAGGTTAATTGATTGTAATACATATGTACGTGAGCATGTTTTTTTTAATTAAAACTGTATGGTACAGTATACTTGGTAAGATTCAGATTGTTAGTGCTTTTTGGACATAGAAGTCAGAAAGGGAATTACATGTAACTGGTAAAGTACTAGCTAAGGTTCTATATCAACACACATGTTATGGAAACAGAAAACTGTGGGATGTAGATATAAGGAGAAAACCATTGGATATTCATGTATATAGATTGAATACAGTAGGTGAATATCCCTGGGATATCTTGGTAAGTGAAAAGTTCTGGTACTTAAAGGCAAAGAAGATAACATGATAGCTAAAGTTTCAAGGTAACACCATGCTCTGGTATATGCAATGATTTAACATTTTCTTTGGTTAAAAAATTTCAAACCAGTTTGATTTTTGTCTCCCATTGCCTCAAAGGGCGTAAAGTTAAAGAAAAGTATAAATTTGCATTTATAAGCTAAAGTCTTATTTGTGAAAAATTAATTTACATTAAAGAAAAACATTGAGCCTGGACATACAATCATGTACACTGCATCTGTTGCACTCACTAGTATGGAACATCTTGTTAAAGTGACCATCTAATAAAAGTGAAGACAATGAAAAATAACTCGTTGTTACCTTGGAAAAGTTGACTGGGACTGCTTAAAGGGACAGTGTGTCGATTGTGTGCTGCGCAAGTGTCATCTGTTTTTTCTTGAAAAGACAACAAAGATTTTGTTGCTCGCAGGGCGGCCTTGCAACCCAAAAATCTTGTTCTGCTTGCTTTAAAAACAGCTTTTGTAATGTGAAACTCTGCTTGATTTGCTCGCATTCTAGCTTCAAACATTTGAAAGATATAAATAAAAATGCAATCTCAGCGCGATAAATTATCGCAAAGGTTAGTCAAAAATTATATTATGATTTCATTGCACTAGTTTTTCTAAAAATGTAGTGCCTGTTTGTTTGATTTTGTTGGCCGTAGGGAGGTTCATTTAAAAGTTTACTAACGCGTTGTTGCAAAACATTCTGCTTCACAAAGCTTAATTCCACAAGATCTCCTCAGTCACATCCATGTCTCAATGGTTTCTTTCTTACAGTCTCTGTTGTTGCTGTTTCATTTCTGCGTATTCCTTTCACAATTATCTGAGCTTGTATGGAAGCTGGCAGAAGAAACAAGCCTTCAATCGGCATCAAAGTGCTTCCCATCTTTTGGTCCTCTGGCCAACTGCAATAAAAGTAACTCCAAAAAATCCCTATTTTGCCCAAATCGAAAGTCAACGGGAACAATATATCATTGATCTGTAATCCTGGGAAGTTTTAGTGTAGTATTGAACTCTACTAAGCGCAATGCAAACGGATTTTTCAAGGTTCTCTTACTCTCCTCGCATCTTTTGATTTCGCGACATCCTGTCCAAAAATCAATGTTTGGTGCATGCACAGTAATGGGATACTGTTCCTTTAATAGAGGTGACCCCTCAATACGTGTCAGTTTTACAGTAATTGAAGGAATGTTTTCCGGGACCTAGGTAGGTGACCGCTTATAGAGGGTGTCCACTAAATATAGGTTCGCTTAATACTTTGTTAATTTTTTAAGTTGGACACTTTTGAAATAACAGTTGTCAGTGGATTTCCCTTTTATAAATCAGTAACCAGACCTAACATTAATTTTTCTTAAATTTACAACCAGGAAAAAAGACAGCAAAGCATTTTAATGTTGAAGATATGTTTGAGAAAGCAAAAAGGACAGCTGTGGAACTATCCAGCAGTAGAAAGAAAGGTACCAATAATGTATTGATTGTATTAGTATAGGTAATAGCATGATTTGTAGTGATATTTGGCATAAATACCACGAGTGATATTTCAAAATTGTTGTACGTAATTTCACGAGCCGTTAGGCGAGTGAAATTTGAGTCAATTTTGAAATATCACTAGTGGTATTTATGCCAAATATCACGTACAAATCATGCTATTATTTGTTTATACTACTACCTGCAAAGGTTTTGTAATTTTCACATGTAGGTATTTCAAATTAAGCTGAAATACCACTGCTCCTAGCCAATCAAATTGAAGAAATTTCTCATGTAGTAGTATAAGAGAGAAAATCTGAAGAATTATGTAGAAATAACACTTGTTAATTGCTATGCACTATGACTTAAGGAATATTTTTTTCAAATGGAATCCTATGAGACACCCAGTTCTGACTCAGACAAACATTTTGATCCATTAAAGACAAACATGCATGTCTGTATGGCAACAGTCCTCTCCATGGGTACCTACAGACGTTGTTTTTGTCGCACATTTTCCATCAAATCGTTAGTTTTTCATGAAAGGCTGCAAAACAATGATTTTTTTACGGTGGTGATGCCACTAGCGAGCTTGAGCAATCACAACCCCATAAGAGAAACAAGAAAATAAACGATAAAAAAGCAATAGGTTTAATGAGCAAAACAGCTTTTAACGTGCATTATACTTTTTAGTAGATTTGCACAAATGACATTGTCAAACTTGGGAATGGTCATGCGATCGTCGCTTAAATCTCTAAAACTGTCGTTTCATCAATAGTGATTGTCATAATTTTAATTTGTCGGAAATACCCATACAGGGGCTCAAACGGGAAACTAAAAAATGGAAACTTAACAAATTGTGAAGTTAGCTTACTAGAGAGATAAGAAATGCTTAGTACTAAACACTGCTGCTAGAGTGAGGGTAAAACCAACTTGAGTAGGCCAAAATCTCTCAAAGAGTTGTTGGAATGTTGGAGAAAGTCTTCCTGTCATTTCCAAAACCTGCAAGGCATCACAAAGTGCAAGCATTGTTTGGCTAGTGGCTGGCGTGGCTGGCTTGTAGGAATTGTTTACAAAGTCTGAAAAGTATTACATGTACTAGAATCTATAGTATATGATACTAAAACAGTGGATAGTGTTTTTCGCGCACTCTGATTGGCTACTCAATCAGTGAATATCGCTGCACTATTCACTGATTCACCTCCAGTTCCTCTGAGCGAGTGACACCAAACTCGCGTAAGTTGTGAGCAAAATGCCTTCCTGGTTTGCTGCCGTAACAATCAAAGAAATTTCACAACTAATCAAGGAAGCTGTTCCCAAAATACAAGAGGAAGGTGACGAAGTTCGGTTTGAAAGTTTTAACAGTTAAAGTTTGACTTGAATTTATTAATAAAACCGTTGAAAAAGTTTTTTGTTTACAAATGCAAATGAAGTCTTGCGTTACTTTACTATTTAGTTGACTTGTTCATAAATAAGCCTAAAACTAAATGTAATAATCTTTTTTACATAATGATTTTAAATACAAAAAGAATTCACAACTCCTTTTAAAGAAATTTCCCCGCAAGAGCTAAACAAATGCCTTCAAAAGTTTTATTTGTCGGCAAGAAAAAGCGACAACCACGGACATTCGGTCATTGTGCGCCAAAATAAATGGCAAACAGAAAATGAGTTAAAAATCATCATTTTTGTGCTCAATTATGTCACTTTTTTAGTATACAGCTATTTTGAGAAAGGTTGTCGGAAAAAAAGTGCACGCGACAGTCCCGAAAGGAAATGCGGGATATGATCAATACACTGTTCCTGACAACTGTAGCTGTCAAACCTACTTTTATTACTTTCCTTTAGCACTTGCAAACACATTTCCATGGCCTTTTGTGCCAATTCTTTCAAATTTCGTTGAAAAAAGAGAACTCGAAATCACCCACAATGCCTTTCACGATTGTTGTGTGCACTTTTCCCAACAACCTTTCTTGAAACAGCTGTATACAGTGGCTAGTGGTGGATATTTACCTCGCCACTTCACAGCCTTGGTAAATAACCACCACTAGCCACCTTCGCTTCGGTGAATAATTGTTATTTATACAAATGTATGTGCTTTTTGTGGCATGAAGAAAAGGTGCTGCAGCCAAAATTCCTGTTCTTCTGAAAGCAAATCTGTTGCTAGAACAGTTTAATGGAGAATGCTTGAGAGAAAAGCCCTGGAATCTAGAGTTGAGCCAGGGACAAACTATAAGAAGCATGTTTAAAACAAGTAGCAGCAAACAAAATTATGTTGCATAAGGCAAAGAAGTGCTGTCATTTGTTTGTCTGTCCACCTGTTTACTTGTTCAAATGATTATTGGTCCTAAAAGTAATGGATGTGTTTATAGAACTGTTTATTAGAGCTCTCCCACAATGAATTCATTTGAGTGGTCAAACTTCAAATTGAAATTTTCCTTCAATAACTCTGTAAAGCTGTAAGAGTATTAAGTCACAGGTGCATGAATGTTTATATATTGATGTAGTATGTTGGTTGGAGTTTTAATTTTATTTTTTTGCTTTTCCACTTCATGTTTCATTGAAGAAAAAGAGTGTTTGTGTACAATGTTTCCCTGGTAACTGATTATTAAAATTAAAAAACCAACAGAAAAGGCAATGACTGAGGGTTGAAAATACAGTGTAATGACCATTCATTTATTGAATTGAGAATTATTAACATTTTCTTACCTACTTAGTGTGCCCTGTCTTCTTGACAAGGAGAGCTATACATACAGCTACACTCTATAATGAAACAATCAGAATGTACTTTTTGTTAATTGTACTTTTTAGATCCCTCTGAGGATGATATTGAAGATGATCCCGCACCGTTTGTGATCATGCCACCACTAGCTATGGACAGAAAGGTATAACTGGCAAAAAACATATCATTGTATTATTTTATGAGACTTATTTTAAATCTTTTCCCATAGATAAATAATATTAGTGTCTTTGGTAGTTGTGACCATTCAGGTGAAAGCTGCTGAGCAGTGTTATCCTGTTGACTATCTATGCTCAACCCTCAATGTGCCGCTTCCATCATTTTTTAGTGAATTAAAATAATGCTTAAGTGTGACCATTCAAATGAAAACAATTCAGTGAAACCTCTATTAAGCGGACACCTTCAGGACCTTCCCAAGTGTCTGCTTAATAGAGGTGTGTAAAAATTGGGCAATGTTTGTTAACAATTAATCTTCAACGGTTACTCTGTACTGTTATAAAGTTCCACGTTGTTAAGGAAGCTAAGGAAGCTGTGCTGTACTTTGTGCAAGATTTTCGGTCTAATCTACAGTTTATTGACAGCTAAATAATGTATTGATTTATCTTTATTAATCGACTAGAATACATATTTCAAGGCCCGTGGGGGGGGGGGGTACTTCCTTATAAGAGGCTAATGGGGATGTGTCGCTGGATGGGATCGTATTTTCACGACTGGATTGACTATAATGGGGTGGCATTTTCAATAGAGTTTCTAGAATGGAGTTCCACATGCAATTGTGCAGTTCTTTCTTGTGGACCTACTTTTATTAATATGCAAAAGAACATGCTTCTAAGCGTGGTTGTTAACTGAAGTGCTGTTTACACTTTTTCAAGATTTTTCAAGCATGTATATGTTGTAGTTAATTTTTATCTCAGGTGATTTTTATTTTTCCTTTGTTTCAACTTCATTTGTAAACATTACCATACCCAAAAACAAAAGAAAATCAAAAATTACCTGAGATGCAAAATTAACTACAACAGATATAATTAATTATAGTTATTACTTCATTATTTAAGCAATAGAAAACGTTTTCCATGTTCATAATTACACAGCCTGATATAAACATGGGAGGGGTTGGGAGAATTTGAGACAGTTATATAACTGTCGAGTATTCTCCCAATCCCTTGTGTGTATATAACAGGCTATGCAAACACAGGTAAAAAGTTTGCTATTGCTTTTATAAAATAATTTTCCCGAGGATTAAAAAGAAAAGTTGTTGTTCATGGTACTTACTAAGAGAGAAATTCCTACCAGTTGCAAAGTGTTGTATACAAAGTTTTGTACACATAATCAGTTCTTGTTTTCCAAAAAAGAAGCTTTCCAAAGAGAGGATTTTTTTTCTCGCTTAAACTGTCAGCTTAAGCGAAAAAATTGACATAGCATGATTGTTTGTAAACTGTTTGTGGATTGGTAAAATAAAGAAAAGTTGTTGAGTTTTCAATTCAAAACCTTTATCAATTTTGTGCTTGTGTGATAAGTGCATGCAAAGCAAAACATCTTGATGTCACAACTGTGTTTACGTACTCTCATGCAAACATGCCTCTCGTTCAATCAGAGTGCATGCACTATGTTTAGTTACTTTTATAAATCAGGTATTAAAATTTCTTTTAAGACATCTGACAGAGAAAAGAAGGAAGACAGCGATGATGATGATGACAGAGAAAATGATGATGATGATCAAGAGGTACACTTGCAAATTACTTGAGTTTTAGTATGTTTAAATTATAAATAGAAAACTAATAATGATGATAATGATAATAATAATATTATTATTGTTTTCTCAGAGCCTGGAAGGTCGTATTCCTGTGAGTCATGAAATTTCACTGGACCATGGGAACAAAACAGTTGAGTTTCTTGCTTGATTGTTTTTGCCTCTAAATCTATGCCTTTTTGGGCAGAGAAACTGCTGGACTGATGGTATTGGTGTTACAATGTATTGCTTTGACATATATAGTTATAATAATGACTGTGATTTAATTGACCAAATACATTGTAAAAGTATAAAATTCAGGGTTGTCACTAAGATTTCAAGTTGCCGGGGGAAGTCGCAAGCAGTCATGGAAAACCTCCCCCGCCCCCCCAACCATCCCCCAAGAAGTTTTTGAATTGCAACTTCTACCGTTTTCCAAAAGGCATTACCGCCCCAAAAAAGAAATCTTCACCAAGGGAACAGCTATCATTAGCGGTTTTATGATGATCACGTCTTTATTCAAGAAAACTACAACATTCTGAGACACTAAAATAATAAGTTTTTACTTTACGTAAAGGCTCGTTGGAGGTTTTTTTTAGTGGCCGCCAAATGGGAATATACATGTAAGCACCGGGCCTGAAAAAAATGACAGGTTGGCACCGGTCACGTTATCTGCGCAGTCTTATCTTTACGCAGATAAGGCGCACGCTGGTCAGTTAAATCACAACGATACGATACAAATGTTAAAAATGTGGAAAGGACAATCGATTCTTAGACGGTGCAAATGAATTAACATGCGCTGTAAAATCAATTTTAAATCCTCATTTAGTTATACGTAAGAACGAAACAACTTACGGAAAACAAAACTAAAACTAATATTACAAATGAATTAACCCACGGAGAAGCGGAAAGAAGAAAAGCGGACGATGAATGTACGAAAAAGCATCATAAACATAAGGTTACTATGGTTTGTTGAAAAATAAAAGTATGATAAGGCTAAAACAAGCGTAACGTACGAAAAATCGTGGCATAAAATATGGCAAAACTAAACTGCAGAACTGGTAACATTAGTGGTCTTGAATTTATGAACGAAACATCACTTAACATACGAAGAAACTGACCTACGGAAAAGCATTTAAAAGACAGGGCTAATACTTTATAAACGATGCTGAGTTGTCAAAACGAGACTCAAGGAGAAGAATGCAAAAGTAATGCTAATGCTTAACTTCCCTTTTATATATAACTTCTTGGAAGTAGAATTGAGAGGATGTGATCATGACATGCGGACAATGATCGAACATTTCCCGTTTGTCGTGCGTTATTTTATATACTCGATACCTAAAGCTAAATGTAGACCTGGTCACTTAAATGTCAATATATTAAACATGGTAATCAGTCATAGTCTTCATCTTCAAAGCCTTCATCATAATCCTCATTATCATTACCTTGCTAATTATTTACCGTGCGTTAATCCACAAATGTCCAGTGCTGGCCACAAGATCCCTACTTTCCTTTTTCATCCTTAGTTCCACACTTCTCAGAGGTGTGGAAGTGTGGAACAGTCCGACAAAGTAAGGATATTGTCGCACTTTCCCCCAGTCAGGGAGAGAAGCGATGACCAGAAATGTTCTCAAGGTGTGGAAGTGTGGAAAAGTCTGACAAAGTAAGGATATTGTCGCACTTTCCCCAGTCATGAACCCTTTGTCATTCTTTACTTAGTTCTACACTTCCCAGGGGTCTGGAAGTGTGGAAAAGTCTGACAAAGTAAGGATATTGTCGCACTTTCCCCCAGTCATGAACCCTTTGTCATTCTTTACTTAGTTCCACACTTCTCAGAGGTCTGGAAGTGTGGAAAAGTCTGACAAAGTAAGGATATTGTCGCACTTTCCCCCAGTCATGAACCCTTTGTCATTCTTTACTTAGTTCCACACTTCTCAGAGGTCTGGAAGTGTGGAAAAGTCTGACAAAGTCAGGATAATGTCACACTTTTCCCCCTGTTAAGAACCCCTTGTCATTCTTTACTTAGTTCTACACTTCTCAGATGTGTGGGAGTGTGGAAGAGTCTGACAAAATCAGGATAATGTCACACTTTTCCTCTGGTCATACGAAACCACTGTGATTCTTTACTTAGTTCTACACTTCTCAAAGGTGTGGAAGTATAAAATAGTCAGACAGAGTCAGGATATTGTCGCACTTTCCCCCAGTCACGAATCCCTTGACATTCTTTCCTTAGTTACACTCCTATGTATGAAATGAGAATAAAGCGCAGTGGGAGTATTTGTTGGTTTTATTCCTGCAACTCGTTTTACATATTTTTAAATGCTATTTTAAGTTTAGACAACAATTCTATGACTAGAAGATATTAGCCTTGTTTCACTGCCATCTGTTTGAATACCCGACCATAAAACAAGCCTCCGTTTTTTCTGTCACGTTCAGTCCCCGTCAGTCCTTTATCGTCGTTTATTTATTTATTTATTTTTCAACGGAAACCTCAACAACGTCATCTCATCTATGGATTTTTATGTTTGAAATTTTTCATCTTAATGTGCCATATATGAGACGTCTTATTCTGGGTTTTTCTCCTTCCTATAGATCTATTCGGCTGACTCAATGTCGTACCCAATTCAAACCCTTTGGGTATAAAACGTTTTGTTTTAGGAATTTCCGTATCATTTAAATGTGAATGCCACATTATAACGCACATACAATACACAAAGAATCTGAACCCCGGGAGCTTTCAATTAGGTACAACAGTCAGGTCTCTTAAGATCGTGACAACGCTAAAAATAGGCAGTAAAGAATGCAGAGTATGTGCGTTCTATCTTCCTCGCTTTAAGATCAACTTGATAAAGTTTATAAATGCTCAAATCAATTGTTATTGTTCTATTCCTTCATCAGGTTCATGACCTAAATTGGTCTAAAAATATACAGCATTCTGCATAAAGTAATAATTGTGACTTATCGGCCTAGAGTAGCTACCTGCAGATCTCTCTGTGGAAAAGGGGGATCACTGTTTAAGTGCGTGTTATAGGGTCGGCAATATTTATGTTATCTCTACGGCACGTGACAATACTAAACTATTTGCATGGTCCACCCTCCTGTTCGTCTTTAGAGAGTCACCCTAAAGTGAATTCTTTTTCGAGGTTTCTTGGCCTCGAACCGCTCGCCTCCGAGCGTGGTGTTGCTTCTTTTTCATAATTTATGTCCAGCATTTACATAACCTCAGAGAAGAGGAAAAACTGCGAAACAGTGGATATATGGCGTGATCTAACGATTATCAAATTTGAACCCGTACTGATAAAGAAGAAAGCTTGGTTGGAGATCGGATTTCTTAACTTTAAGTTTCTTTCAACAGCTGGCATTGAAACAATGGTTATATCTGCTATTCAAAATAAAAATAGTTCTTAAGGAAAAATGTAAAAAAAACCATACAGAGATAAAACCAGGTGCTCATAAAGCGCACTGAGCTTCTCGTGACTCAGGGAAAGTGTGACATTACACTCAACTTGTCAGACTATTCTACCCTTCCACACCTCCGAGAAGTGTGGAACTACGTAAACAGGGGGAAAAGGGCGACAATATCCTTACTTTGTCAGACTTTTCCACACTTCCAGACCTCTGGGAAGTGTAGAACTAAGTAAAGAATGACAAAGGGTTCATGACTGCGGGAAAGTGCGACAATATCCTTACTTTGTCAGACTTTTCCACACTTCCAGACCTCTGGGAAGTGTGGAACTAAGTAAAGAATGACAAAGAGTTCGCGACTGGGGGAAAGTGCGACAATATCCTTACTTTGTCGGACTTTTCCACACTTCCACACCTCTGGGAAGTGTAGAACTAAGTAAAGAATGACAAAGGGTTCATGACTGCGGGAAAGTGCGACAATATCCTTACTTTGTCGGACTTTTCCACACTTCCACACCTCTGGGAAGTGTGGAACTAAGTAAAGAATGACAAAGGGTTCATGACTGGGGGAAAGTGCCACAATATCCTTACTTTGTCAGACTTTTCCACACTTCCACACCTCTGGGAAGTGTGGAACTAAGTAAAGAATGACAAAGTGTTCATGACTGGGGGAAAGTGCGACAATATCCTTACTTTGTCAGACTTTTCCACACTTCCACACCTCTGGGAAGTGTGGAACTAAGTAAAGAATGACAAAGGGTTCATGACTGGGGGAAAGTGCGACAATATCCTTACTTTGTCAGACTTTTCCACACTTCCAGACCTCTGGGAAGTGTGGAACTAAGTAAAGAATGACAAAAGGTTCATAACAGGGGGAAAGTGCGACAATATCTTTACTTTGTCGGACTACTCCACACTTCCACACCTCTGGGAAGTGTAGAACTAAGTAAGAAGTGAAGAAACTCTGGATTTCATGGCCAGGGCTGGACATGGCCGTTAATCTTGCCTTATTTATCTTACGGTTTGATAGTTTGGGGGCAGGCGTCAAAAACACATTTAACAAAAATGTTATTGCTTCAGAAAAAAGTTATCCGTTTCATATTTTTTGCCAACAGGAAAGTTCATGCCATTCCTCCTTTTATTGATGCAAATATCCTGCCAATTAGCTTTCTCTATTTTAAGTCCGTATCTTACCTAATGCATGATATTCATACTAATTCTGCACCCTCAAAAATCGTTAACTTGTTCTCGCAGACATCATCTATTCATGAATATAACACAAGATCATCCTCTAAAAATAATATGTACATCAAAAAATTTAATCTTGAAAAACTAAGACAAGCCGTCCCAATTTTTGGCGCTAAAAGTATGGAATGAGATACCAGGTAGAATGAGAGATATGTCAAAAAAAGTGTTCAAACGAAAATTAATTAGTGTGCTCTTCGAAATATTAAAAGACAAAGATGATTACCTTGATGCAGCCATGATAACACAAGAAATAAAATTGCGAAATCCTAAACCTTAGCCTCTTTCACAGGTTGTATTAAACAGATTTATCTTTCTTGCTTTTGAATTCATTACACATATTTCTTCTTTTCTTTTTCTTTGCTTTTTACTTATTATAATATAATATCTGATTTGTAATAGAATTAATTTGGCACGCCTCGACTAGCGTTTTCTTGCTAACTGCGTGCCAAACAATTGTACTTGTAATGTTACGATAATAAATGTCTTGTCTTGTCTTGTCTTGTCTATCATCAACATCAGCATCAGGGAGATTTAACGCTCGGATGAAGCCTCAACTTGTGATGTCAACAGAGATCTGCTCACCTCTTTTATCGTGAACAAAGAGTGCAGATTCCTTTGCCACTTTTTGACATGTTGTTTGACGCAAAGCCGACACAACGGTTGAAACTAGGGACTTTTGGCATCGACAAAGGGTGACCGCAGCGAAAATGTCACTTTTAAAATGAATTGGCGTTTTTTCCAACCTTGTCGCGCTTATTTCAATTCGCTGAAAATAGCTAATGTAGGCCAATTTCCCTGGAGTTGATTTCTTTGGGTTCGCACTCAAGTTTAGAAAGAGAAAGACGTTCTCCATAAAACGTGAAACTAGGCATTTTCATGTCGTAGTCGTGCAGTAACGGCAAAGAAATGTACAAAAAAGGGTGATGCACGTGCAAAATAGTTGTTTTGCTCAATAATCCTATTACTTTTTTGACGTTCTCGTTGCCGTCGCCGTCGTCTTTGCTAAAACTCCCAACGGACATTTCGCGAAAGGAGAGTTTTCGTGCATGTGTACTAATACCAAATCTAAGGCAGATGTCTTTTTCCGACATTTCTTAGTTTTTGCACGTCAGTATTTCAAAATGATTACTTAAACCTGCTGCAGATAAAACTTGCATTTAGTTTGATGGATAGTCTTTGTGTGTTTCAAAGTTGTGCTCTTTTGGTTTAATTTAACGACGAAAGTAGCCGGGGGCCACGCTCTGAGTAGCCGGGGGAAATCCCCGGCCCCCGGCCCTTAGTGACAACCCTGATAAAATGTATTGTAATTGATAGATGTGATGCACTGTTGTGGGTGTGGGGTTTGTACATAAATTTACTGAAAAGAAGAAACGTGATTACTGTGCTCTTGATATCACTGGTAAATGATTAAGTTTTAAGGTACTGTACTTATATTAACTGAGTGCTAACTTAAAGAATTCTGTTTAAGGTGTCTGCCCTTGCTTTGGATCCGTCAGGATCACGGCTGGTGACTGGAGGATATGATTTTGAGGTATGTGTTTGAAGAAGGTACGATGAGAGATGACAGAATGTCGAGTGCTATTTTGGAGTATTTTATTTTGCTGAAGTTCTGTATATTTTTAGGCCATAAAATCACATGGCTTGACAGGGCAATGATGACTGAATCATGGATTAAAATTATTTGAATCATTGTTACACGGTGGTCCTATAGCACGCAAAAAGCTGCAACCTAGGAACTATTTTTGCATTTTTCATTCGTTTGAGCTCAAACTTTGCAGGATGGTAGAACTTTGTATTCCAAAAATCCTATGTTCTTTGTTTTTTGATTTTAACGGTTTTTGGTGGGAAAATAATGTCACAAGATTGCAGAAAAATTAAAATTTCAAGATATGGCAAAACAAATAAATAATTATAAAAAAGCATGACGTGATAGAATAGAATGTGAATTTATTTTTTTCAAAAACTCAATTAGTTAAAGAGTTATTAAACTTTAATTTTTGAATTTCCTGCCATTCTGTTACTATTTTTAGAAACATAAGTACATTTCAAGATGCTATATCTCCTAAAGCAAATGAGCTTTGCCAAAACTTTTTTCACATTAATTTTATTTCTATCACCTCAAGCTCTTTCAAAATTATTTATTTCTTTGGTTATAACTTGAAATTTAAATTTTGCTGTCAATCTTGTGACTTCATTTTCCCATCAAAAGCCGTTAAAATCGAAAAACAAAAAGCATAGGATTTTTTGGAATACAGAGTTCTACCCTCCTGCAAAGGTTGAGCTCAAAGGAATAAAAAATGCAAAAGTAGTTCCTCGGTTGCAGGTTTTTGCGTCCTGTGGTCCCAGCGTGTTAAGTGTCAATGAGCAAATACATGTACGTACAATGTATTTCAAATTTCATACGGAGGACCTTTAACATTTACTTTCTTCCTCAATTTGACGTATGACCACTGTAAAGAACACTCTACTCTACAGTTCTATAGTATAATAAGTCTATTTTTCAGGTAAAATTTTGGGATTTCAATGCCATGGATGCATCTCGCCGTGCTTTTAGGACACTTCAGCCATTTGAATGTCATCAGATTAAATCCATAGAGTATAGTATCACTGGTGATGCTGTTCTTATTGCTGCTGGCAATGCAAAGGTATACATAGTTCTGTTTACATTAGATTCATTGCAGGGATCTCTGAGCACTTCTTTTCCTTTAAAACCCAATCTCATCTACTGAGTAACCTTCCGTGTCATATTTTATTCTTTTTAGGCCAAGGTTATTGACAGGGATGGGTTTGAGGTTCTTGAATGTGTGAAAGGTGACCAGTATATCGTTGATATGGTTAACACTAAGGTATGTTTTGCACTGACAATGGAACTTAACTAAATGTAAAGATTGTACACAATTTATGATTAGGTTGAATAGTCAGACATTATTTGTGAATTGACTTGCAGTATTTTATACCTGGCAAGCATCTGTTATTCAAGGGTAGAGGCTTTTTTGAAAAGCTGTGGTATTTTATCTTCATCATCTACATTTGCTGAAGTATTTAAGTCCAGGACAGTATTTGATAGATAAAGTGAATAATTCCATGATCTAACTCCTCTTACTGCTCTAACTTCCTGATGTATTAATTTTTTTGACCACTCTAACTGGCTAAGCAAGGAAAACCTGCTTTTAGTAAGAATTCCTGAATAACTGATATACAGTGTAAATGTATGGCAGACAGAAACGTAATGTTTGGGCCTTTAAATTTCAACATAATTGTCATTATCCTGAAGTTTCTCGCACAGGTGAAAAGTGAAGCTAGTCAACTTAAGATTATAAGTTCAGTAAAAATAATTTATTGTTTGCATGTCTAGTTTTGTTTGTTCCAACATTTCTTTCTTTCTCTTTGTTTCATTCCATTCATGCTGTATTTCTTATTCTGCACAGGGCCATGTTGCTATGTTACACAATGCTTGCTGGAATCCAAAGACTAAAGATGAATTTATTTCCTGCAGTGATGATGGGTATGTTTTTTTTTTTAACATTTCAATTCCATCCGGCATGCTTGTGGAAATTATAGCCAGCCTTGTTGGTCTTCACGATACCGTCTTGTTCAGGTTTAGCATTGGCTCACACAAAACTCACTAGAGATTCTGCTGACAGAATACCTTTGAAATGAGGCAGCACTGATAGATATAGTACAGCATTTGAACCAGTGTCTGTAAGAGTTACCTTGTACAGCAGAATAAATATTACCTTAGAAATGTACTGCTTAGTAACTTTCATTTGAATGGTCACTCTTAAGGATTTCATTCACACACTCAATATTTACAAGTACATTGTAGAACCACCCTGCATAGAGCAATTATGTGGAAAGTGCTTCTCATCAACTTTCATTTAAACTGCTGCAAAACATCTATGCAGTACTTTTGGAAAGTCATACAATCCAAGACTTGCCAAAAATTAATGTTGTTAATGGAGAGTAGGGATGGTAAAGTGGTGAGAGCTCTTGCCTTCCACCAATATGGCCCCAACATGGCGTAGGTTCAACTCCCAGCGTTAACGCCGTAGTGCAGATGAAGCGTGAACGGTATGTGAGTTGAGTTTGTTGTCGGTTCTCTTCTCTATATTTACGTTAGTTTTGCCATCCCCTCAAAGAACCAGCATTCCCAATTCTAATTTGATCTCTTGGGTTTACCTTGGTCACGGCTCGGTGTATTAAGGACTAGTGAAGTTTCACTCTGGTTTCAACCTTTTGTTTTCTTTGTTTTACATCATTCGTGAATGGTTACCTTACGCAGAGGATGAGCCGTAATGTCTTCAGTTGGTTCGGAACACTGAGAAACTCGCAGGTTGAGAAGTTTTTTTATGGTTTTTGAGTTGTTTGGTTGACAGTAAAGAATATTTTATCAACCTTTTTATCTCCCTGTTTACAGGACTGTTAGAATATGGAACACTGAAAACCCCAAGAAGAACAAAACTGTCATTAAAACAAAGAATAAACAAGGTAAGGCTATGGGTAACTTAATATACTGCACTTTGTATATAAACTTATTATTGGAATAATAATTGCCAAAATTATTTTTGTTGTGATTTGTTTAGGAAAGAAAACAATTCCCACGCGCTGTTGTTTTAGCAGAGATGGACGAATCATAGCGGCTGCATGCCAAGTAAGCCGTTACAGATGAGATAAAATTGTGCCTACAGATGATGGTCTTAACGTTTTCTTGAATAGCATTAGTAGCATGCGTCAGAATAACTATTGCCATCAAAATCAAGCAAAACGAACCTGCAGCCTCAGGTCTTAAAATGTACCAAGATTTCTGCTGACTATCTAGACTGACTATGGGACTAGAAAGCTAAGGGCCGTGTGCGTCTTTGTTTCACTGTATCTCGTGTTTCGTCACTGGGCACTGGACTTGTATGGCTCAAGTCTATGTAATTGCTGGGTTTCTTGAGTTCTATTTTGCTCATAGAGAGAGGGAAGATTAGGCTGTGTGAAGTCTGAATTGTATGTAGGTAGTTGCGTAAAATAATTATAATAGCTCCGGGGCTTTCGAGCGATAGATTCCATCTTGAAGGACAGGCGCTCGCACGGGCAGAATTTTTTTTAGTTGGGCGCTTGCGTTTTTTTGATTAATTTGGCAAGTTTATTCTTAACTATTTCCCACAAATGAATCAGTTCCTTGGCTAAGGTACAGTTGTTTATTCATTTATTTTTTTACAATGTTCTGTTAGGGAGAAAAACTAATAATTGTTTGTTTACAGTAATACTTTCGCACAGATAATTTCACTTATAAACACAATTACAATGGTGTTAACCTGACAGATTTTGTAGTAGACAAAGAGTTTGCTGAAGCTGGGTCAATGTCCATAATATTTCTACATTTACATTTGGGACATTAAATTGTTCTGAACACTTTGATCTACCTGTTTAGTATTTGCCGTCAGGGTTTGCTATGATATTATTATTACAAGTATCTCGTTTCATTTTGTTTTTTAATAGGATGGTTCTATTCAAGCGTGGGACACCAGAAAGCCATTTGTAAGTCAGCAGCGCTATCCACATTAAAAAAATCGATCTGTTTCTTAACAAACATTGTGGTAGTCTTGCATGAGACATTGCCTTTTGAATAGTGGAAGTGCGCATGACTATCCCAGCTGGTTTACGGGCACTGCAACCACATGGTCACTAACAAATATAATCACTCAAACATAGCATGATTGAAAACCCCAACATGTCCGAGCAGCTGAACTTGGCGACTACCAAGAAACAAATCTGGTCAGTGGTCCGAACGGAAGCCCCGGAGCTTGAACCACTCGACCACGTTACCTCCCGTCCCCTCCCTACCCTACTCTGTGGCTGATAAAAATAAGGCGCTAGTTTTGACCGTTGATGAAAAGGTAAAGAAAGTATTCGTTTTGTTTGTGAAAGAGAAATGGAGGATGAATACCGTAAAATTCCGAAAATAAGCCCCTTCAAATATAAGCCTCCCAAACTCGCAACGCAAAACACCCTCCGTTTAATCGCCCCTCCAAATATAAGCCCCCCCAGGGGCCTGTACTTGGAAAAGAAGAATTCGAATACAATGGAACCTCGATAAAATTATAACGAAGGGCCTAGGCAAGGGTCTGGCAATTATTTTCGTTGTAACAAGGGTTCGTTGCGTCGAGATATTGAGGTTCTTTTCTATATTGTACTACTACTGGAGCGTTATACCGAGGACTTCGTCATATGGTAAATCCTCTATTAAGTCCCTTGGGGAGGGGGGGTTATTTCTTTCAAACACATTTGAAGGAGAGGTATTTGAAGGAGGAGTATAGAGATTCGTTCCACTGTGTCAACAAACAGAAGGTAGCGAAGCCCAGCGAAAATGCACAACTACAAAAAATACTGAATACCAAACCATGCGTTCAATTGTCAAGATATACGAAAAGAAGAAGTTAATAAAATTTATTATAATTTTACTAAAACAGTTGGATAATGGTTTTCGCGCCCTCTGATTGGGCGCTAAAAGTCCTTATGTCCAGTGATATTCACCTCCGAGCGACGCCAAACTCGCGTAAGTTACGAACACAATGGCTTTTCTCAGTGTCGGTGGTTAGTGGTGGATATTTACAACGTTACATCACGGCTCGGTAAATACCACTAGCCACCTCTACTTCGGTGAATAATTGTTATATATACTTTCATGTAACTTGTGTTAACTTCACGTAACAGACCTTTACTATTTGTTTGTAACTTCAGCTTGTTTGGTTTTTCGGTGATTTTGATGCGCTAGTTGTGTATCGATCGGTGTAAGACGTTAAGAAAGCATTTCTTATTCTTACAGCATTCCAGTAGAATGATTGGTTTATATTTTTTTGATTTTTTTTCGTTAATAGATCCATCCAACTTACCTGCAGCGTACAGCTCACACATTTGGTAGCGACACATCATCACTGACTTTTTCACATGAAGGAAGCTTACTAGCATCCAGGGGAGGTGATGGTTAAAACTTGAATTGTTCCTGTTTGCTCCTCTTTCAATCCCAAGAGTGCCTGAAATCAAGATATACCTGCCAGGAAACACTATCTTATCTAATTAATCAATAATCATGTAAAACTTCTTCAAATTCAACTGACACAAGTGTTTTTGACAAGATTTTTGACGAGGATTGAAGCTTCGTTAACAAGATAGGCCTGTCTTAGTGCTGTTCTTTGTGGCGTTAGATCTCAAGGTAGCTAATATGACTGCCCGGTGGAAACTCCGTACTTTGGATAACTTGATGCTTCTTAGTGTTTTATTGACTAAAGTTATTATTGTTCTAGGTGATGACACTTTGAAGATATGGGATGTTAGAAATTTCAAGAGATTTCTCAACGTTGCAATGAATTTGCCTAATTTTTATCCACAGTAAGTCTCATTCCCACTAAGATCGCTTATTTTAGTTTTTTTAACAGGCCACATTTTATACTAGCAAATTTCGTTCCAAAATAATCATTTCCTTTAGCTTAAATGTCGCCATTCCCGTATAGATTAATATTTTGCTCCGTGTCGATTGGAGACATAGAGCCTACAGTAGTCAGTTTGGTCTTGTCCATAAACAAAATTTCCCAGCATGGTGAGATTACATCATATGTCTTCCTGTATAAATAAACAATCAGAAAGGTCAGAATTTATAAATTTTTTTCAAGTTGATACAGTTGAACTCCATGTTCGACCACTTCTGGTATAAATGACCACATCCCATACGCGACCACTTTTCCAAAACACGAAATTCTTTGCTGTCGAAGCCCTATAGTTGGAACCCTATCGTAAACGACCTCCTCTGGTAAGCCGCCGCCGCGACCACTTTTTGGGTGACGGTTTTATAATTTTCCATTGTTTTCAACGTCTTTCGGGGGACCATTTTACACATGGTCTGTTACGCACTTTGAGTGGTCGCTTCCGGGATAATCCGCTGTATTTCATTCACTGTCTTGTCTTGTGCTACAGTTATGGTATGGTGCCAGGAAAAAAGAGAACTTTGCATTTTATTATGTTTTTGATTGGTCAATTAATGCACTAACAGTTTTGAATTGATTGTTCCCTTAAATACTATTGATCTTTGGTTCTTTTAAAACAGTCGAAATTAAATTTGACTGGACTTTTTCCGGGTTAACGACAGTGTTTTTGTCTTTTTAGGACTTCTTGTTTGTTTAGCCCGGACGACAAAATGGTGGTAACAGGGACATCAGTCAAAAAGGGACAGGTAGCTATTATAACTGGAAGGATACATTCTTTCTTTCATGAGAAAAGAAAACTGAAAGTGAGAAAAAAGCAAAACAAAAACAAACAGAAAAATTCATAACAGTGGCAGGAATTCTGTAGCGTCTCTTGCAGAGATACAATCATGGACAAAAGCCTTGGGACAAATTTGCATTCGTGGGGCTTTTTTAAATCACACATGTCCATCTCCTCCCCCCACCCACAATCGTCGTTGGATGCTTGTATCCAGAGTAACTTTCGAGTTTCAACATTGTTTAAGGTAAGGGGAGGGTGAACTGCAAGGTATTAACGAAAAGGTTAAACTGTGTTTTTTATGGCACCCAGAAATAGTGCGTCACTGTCCCAAGGACGTTTTTGTCCAGAATTATAGTTACACTCTCTTCGATGGTATTATGAAGGTGAACAAATAACAGTGTGGTTGGTAGGCTTGACATCTTTCGTTATCTTTATATCACTGGAGTAAATGTTTTTACTTTTGAATTTGTTGCGCAGGGTTGTGGTAGTCTGGTGTTCTTGGAAAGAGATTCATTGCGGAAGCTGTATGAATTTGATGTAATCGAATCTGTAAGTTATGAAGTGTTTTCTGCCTCTTTGTCACGTAGTATCCTGAGACCAAACTCAATGTATTCACTTTAGAGTTAGCCAATCATAACAGACAGGTACCATCTACTTAGCCAATCAGAATTGGAAGGAGACCAGTAAGACCGACGCCAAGTGCGGGTAACCAAGTGTGACCATTTCAACCAATCAAAGAGCTTTGCAATTCAAGACCACAGCAATCGTACTATCGAAAAAAGAAAACAAGCAAATTGAAAAATGTTTTAAAAGCTGTTGTTTCTTGATACATACGACAATTTGACTATAATTTCTTCCTTTTGTAGAGTGTTGTTAGCTGCTTATGGCATCCAAAACTCAATCAAATTGTTGTCGGCTGCGGAAATGGAACGACTAAAGTTTATTTTGACCCTGAGAAAAGTAACAAGTGAGTTAGCTTCTCTGCTTCTCTTCAGTTATACCACCGTTTTACTTAATTTTAATGAGTTGCCATTTTTGTCTTCGAAGGGGAGCTAAACTTTGCGTTGGAAAGGTCAAGAGGAAAGCTGTTTCCAAAGAAATGCCTCTAAAGGACCAAATTATTACTCGTAAGTTTGTAAAATCCTTTGCCTTTCCAAGATTTATTGCCCGCCTTGAATTGCTTAAGAGGGGGGACAACCTCGTTCTCAGGGTTCTCTCCTATCCGTCACCACAGGGTAGGAGAGAACCCTGGGAACGAGGTTTGGGGCGAGGGGCGGGGGGCGGTGTGGGGAATCCAGAAGGAAGCACCAAATTCGTAGAGTATGTTGTCTATAAAAGGGAATAAAATAATGTAGTAATTCGGTATTATTTTATGTCTTTTTAGCGCATTCACTTCCAATGTTCCGTGAGAAGCGATTTAAGAATAAAAAGAAAGTGAAGGAAGCTGACCGTAAAGATCCAGTCAAATCACATCGACCTGATTTACCTGTGACTGGCCCTGGTGAGTGTTAAACTAGGTGTACAGGGGGAAGGGGCGGGTGGGGGGGGGTGGATGAGTAATGAAGGCAGGCCGTAATGTAAAGATCAAGTCAATCACATCGACCTGATTTATCTGTGACTGGCCCTGGTGAGCTGTAAACGTGATATGTATTGTAGATGAAGAGCCTCACTTTGTTGGATACTCTGCAATAAATCATTATCATTATCATTATTATTATTGTTATTATATACATGGGGAAGAAGGGCATAAAGGAAGTAGACCGTAAAGGCCCTGGTGAACCTGATGTTTCTGTGATTTCTCTGGTGAAAAGGGAATTTAAAACCGAATGTTTAGGACAATTGTCTGGTCGATTGTTGTGTAACAGTCAAGGATACGTAACCTAATGTTGTATTTGCTGCAGGTCATGGTGGGCGTGTCACGTCTGGAATGTCTCTGTCAGCTTTTGTGGTCAAAAATCTGGCGCTAGAGATGAAAGATGATTCTCATCCGAGAGAAGCCATTCTCAAGCACGCTAAAGTAATAACCATTAGATTGACCACTCTTTTTTCACTCTGCCTGATTGCTTCTTTGTGCGATTTTCTTAATTTTTGTCTATCTGACTGTCGTGTTGTCTGCCAGTCTTTATGTGTGACTGTACATCGGCTACTTTTCATTTTGTTTGTCTAGCTGACTGCCCGACTGACTTACTGACTGACTGTCTTGCTGTCTCTTTGTGTGACTTGGTATTTGTCTGTTTTTGTATTGCATTAGATTCTAAATGTCTTAACGGTGGTCAAGTGACACAGTTTATCATTAATTGTTTCTTATTTGGTTTCCTTTAGGCTGCTGCTGAAGATCCTTACTGGGTGTCACCTGCTTATGCGCAGTAAGTTCATTTTATGAAATGACCTTTTCCTACCCAGCGCCCCCCCCCCCGTTTTCGCGGGCTTCGTCGTGTGGAGCGCTGACGCGTCAAAGCGAGGTTGGTAACAAAGTGTTGTGAATGATCACCTCAACACTCTGTGATGTCATTCACTTGAAAAATGCGGATATTACCAGGCTGCTGGGTAAGCGCCACTCTGCACCGCGGGAGGCCGCTGCGGTTCAAATTCTTTCTGGTCCAACACTCAGGGTCTTTAACTGAGTAGAAAGTGTTGTCTTTGTAAAACGTCTGAAAACGGTTAGACTCTCTTGTTTTCTCGAAGAAGCCTTGACGATAAACCCGTCTTACAACCCCTTGCACATATAATAAAGTCTGTGGGACGTTAAAAACCCACACGTTGTTCGTGAAGAGTAGAGGATGTGTTACCCGGTGTTGTCGTCCATCTCAAATTCACACTCACACAAGGGGTATCATTCATTGTTACTCAATACTTCATTGCTGGTAAAGTGCACCATACGCAGTCTGGAAAAGGTAATTCCCTAAACATTGTTGTAAATTATCCCTGATAAGCCCAGCAGTATGACCATAGCATGGTTCTATTACCCCCACCTTGGTATTTCGTAGCATCCGCAATTGTTCTCGAAATTTTCATTATATTGTTTGTCCTTTCTACAGTACGCAACCACGAACTGTTTTCCAAGAAGAAGAGGAGGAGGAGGAAGATGAAGAAGAGGCTCAGAGAAAAAAGATGAGAATATTGTAGTCTGTTGTACTGCAGTACCCGAGGAATATATACCACATACCGGGGACTGGGCCCGGCTCTAGAAAGAGGAGGAGTGAAGCCTAGGACCAAGTGGAAGATGAGTAAGGAGAATGCAGTGGTGTGGACAAGTCATGTCTACAGTTCAGCGAAAAAACGTTGCAACTTCTGAAACTCAGTAGTAAAAACCACGAGAAAGAGTTTAACCTTAAACAAGATTTGGCGAGATATTGCCGGCGTATTGTTGTAAAAAAGAGACGAAGGGGTGACTCGGTTGGCTATGAATTTCGTATGTTAGAAAGCGGGTTTACGAAGCCCACTTAAGCTAAAAAATGCCCTACTCAATGTTTCCCAATAATAGCCTTTTTTTTTGTTTAGGATATATCTTAGAGGATTTAAGAGGGTTTCGTGAATCCGGTCCTAGACAAACTGGCAGTGTCTGTCTGTCTGTTATTCGTATCAGCTGCGAAGAGGCTTGCACCCATGACCGTTCGTAATAAAATCGGAAAATTCGTTTTGTTTGTTGTTACTGTCAAGACTTGGCCTTCCTGGCAGAGCATCGAAACGTACTGGCCTGAAGTTAGAATTTTTCTCGGGAGGTGCGCCTGAGTAAAGTGAAAGTGCGAATATCCGATACTTCGGAGGTTCGAGTGACTACAGAGATTTTTTCTAAAGGGTATTGCAAGAAATCTGAAAAAAAAAATTACAATAACGGGCTGGTATGTGAAAATAAGAAAAGGCTGACTTTTTGTTCGGATCAGAAAGTTAACGCATGACACCTGGTGTTCCGCTGAAACAATGTTTTATGTAAGTTAAACAGCTCGTGAAGCAAGAGGGAAAATCGCTGCTACTTTTTATTGTTTACTAATTATTTCCAACGGCTCTTCTAATTGATTGTTTCCCGACAACGAAAAAAATAGCGAACGACTTCATTCGCGCTTCTTACCGTCATCGTTGATGTCTTTTACTACTGAGTAATATTTTTATGTTCCTTTACAAGACCAGTTAACTTCTGCTTAAACTAGGTTTTTCTCTATAATGAACTGTCTGAAATTCTTTGCCCTCCCCCTATTTTCTCCCTAGGCCAGCGTCCCTCTCGAATAAGCGCCCCTCCCCCTCACTTTGTTAAATAGTAGGGATGCAAGGAAAACCTCTTCAAATTTTTTCTTACATGTTTTGAGCGTCAACTTCAACATTCATACCGATAAATCTGTGTGTATAAGTATACAAAGGGACTATAATGTTGTAGTTTTTGTTTTTCTACTAAATATTTAGCCAAAATAAAGCTACATTTCGCTAATAAGGCGTCCCCCTCGGAACAGGGGGTACTCAACAAAATTTTTTACGAGAAGGTTTCGCCCCGTAGTTTAACCCCTTACCCCTTACCCCTTACCCTTTTATATACCAAGGGTATACGAAACGGTACCCCTTTCGTATACCTTTTAATGACAAATGGTACCCCTTTCACCTGGCTAGTTCAGAACACTGCATTCCAGTTAACTGATCAAGATCGACAAAATGAAACAGTCAAAATGCACATAAAAAGACATCAAGGGAAAACATACTTTTCTTCGTAAGTGAGAAAATAAAACATCAAAACTTGCTAAAGTGACGTTTATAGGACAGGAAACAATTGTAAGAAAATAACACAGATACATCTCTTTATGAGGTGAGTACCCTTACGGCTTTTTATGTGCATTTTAATCGCTTCATCGATCTTCCGATTGTTAATTCCCATACAATTTCTAATGATTTGGCTTCGAGTAGGCTGCTGTGAGTCTGAGCGCCCTCTGGTGAAACGGAATCGTTAAGAAAAATCCCATAGCTTATTTTTATATCATAAGTTCTCGCAGAAAACTTAGAAGAACGAATCATTCTGGAGCAAAATATCACGAAAGCGCTTTGTTTGGGTTCAGCTACAACGCGTAGGGGCTGAACCTTTCCTTTGCGTTTTGCTCGATTTTGGCGGCGTACTGTCCACTCACTTACTGGTGAACTACTCAAGAAGACAAAAGGATGGAGGATCTGCTCACAGCGAGTGTGACAGACTGGAATAAGAAGCGTTGTTCTGGAAAAAACAGGGGCACTCAACGACTGTTTTCTGTGATGCCATGTATAATATCTGTTCGGAGAAGCAAAGATTACCTAGAATTTTCTATTACTTGAGGACCGCTAAAACTTTCTAGATGCGCTTTTCATTCGGGTGCAATTTTCGAAGCTCATCTAAACAATTCCCTACGATTTTCTGAAGTTTAATTTTTCACATTTTGCTCCTCATGTTAGGTTAATTTTCGTGGAAAAAGTATACCTAAAATTTTCGGTTTCAGGAATGTGATGAAGAGAGGAATAAGAAAACTTCTCACTTTCGTAAAATATTCAATTGTATCTAACATTTTCGAGAAAATAGCATTCCCCTGAAGTCATTGAAGAAGCCCTTGTAATTTCGAAAAGCCTCGAGTTGCCCTAGGATGACCAAACAGATACCAATTTTATAGCGTCGCAATGCATTTCTAGAGATCTAATAGTACTCTGGATAGCTTAAAAGAAACTTTTCAATTCACTTACGAGGAAACCGTCGTTGGGTGCCCCTAAAAAGCCTGCTTTATTGCCCAAATTGTCGCCGTTTCGAAACAGTCAGTAACATATGTCAACCAATAGATCATTGTATGACATCTCAGGAAGAAAAACGAGAGTCAGCGTTGTGTCAAACAAGGAAACAAACATCCTGTTATTATCCGCTATGACGCCAGCTTTCTCATTTTCAAGTAGTCTTGTTTAATTTGAAAAAGAACTATTGGTTTGAACAGAAATGTTTAGAGACAGTTGTCTGACCACTCAGTTTGACATTCTTCGTCTACTTCAACAACGTGCCCAAATATTGATTGGGATGACCCTATGGTATTTAAAGCCATCAGCAAAGTTGAATACCCTGGGTACTCTGTTATATAAGTTATATAGGTATGGGCCGCCCCAAAGGGTATTGCTTTCCCGCCGCTTCCGTCTGACTTTGCCGCCCATTTTGTTCTGGATTCGAGTATTTTTGAGAAAAACTACGGGATTATATGAACGCGTTGGTCGTTTCCATTTCAGATGAGTTAGAAAGAAAGAGAAATATCCAAATTCGAAATGGATTTTAAGAAATATTTTTGTTGGCGTTCTAATTAACCTGCGAGCACAGGTTTCTCTCTCGCATGGCTCTTGGCGTTTACGAAGTCGTTTGGGTCGCTTGTCAGTCGCATAGTTGGTTTGTCTTATACGTCTCGGGAGAAACTACGCGACAGACAAGCGACGCGAACGACTACGTAGACGCTAAAAGCCCATGTGCAGAGGTACATGGAGAAGGGGCAGACAAGGGGGAGGGGCGGGGAGAGAGTATTTTTTCCTCCCCTCCTCCTCCCTTTCCCCTACTTTGACGCATCAACCTCACTTGGAATCATATTTTGACTCACCCGGCTCGGTCAGTTTGAATCGTCCAAATCGCACTGCAAAATACTTTGCAGGCCATTAAAAGCCTAGCCTTCCACGCAGACGGGAGGTTAGTCATGCGTGACGAACCCCCAAAAAAGTCAGCGTGGGAGGCTACTAAAAGCCATGCAGGAGAGAAACCTCTGCTAGCAGGGTACTGTACAGTACCGCAAATGATCCCCAACCGCAAATGATCCCGAGACCGCAAATGATCCCCAAAATGGACCGCAAATGATCCTCGACCGCAAGTGATCCCTAAAGTCGACCGCAAATGATCCCGTGAAAACTTGAGGAATGGAATGGATTTTATGGGACTGATTACAAAAAAGGACTGATTATAAAAAAAGAACCTTTTTCTCTCGCCTTTTAAAGAAAAAGGGAAGGAGGACGCTATATCTCAGGTCAATTTATACAAGGCGAAAAAAAAATGGAATAAAACTGAAAAGGTATGGTATTAACCGTATACTTCTTCCTTTGTCGATTGCCTCAATTTTCTTTCAAGAATGTTTCGTCTTTTGAAAAATTTAAGACAGGCAGGACGTTACGCCTAGAAGCTCAACTTTTCTACTGAGGAATACAAAGCCGGGCACCTTCTACATGACAAGAGCTTTATTGATTTTATTGATCTTTTTGAAAGCGTGAAATTGATCAGCCAGAATATTTAATTTTGGTTTTTCTCCGAAGTGTTGATTTTACGTGATAAACAGCAAGACATTTGTTCGTAACTTAGGTGCCGCGTTACGAAACAAGACATGATTTAACATAAACACAGGTCAAAATGCCCCCGAACTTATCAATGTCCACAGGTTTCGGTTTATTTCGAAATAGCAACTTTCTTACAGCTCATGAACGTGTTGAGAATAGTTATATTGGCGCTTTTATGTTTATTCATTTGTTGTGCCTTTGCTGAAGACAGTTACGAGGAATCTAAAGCTGGTAATGAGAAACGCAAAGCCAGGTAAGCGGTAGTTATCGCGTGACAAAACATCGTAGGAAACCGTCACATTCACGGACTAAAAGAAAATCGCTTATGATTATTCGTCGGATCCAGGAGGCACTTTGGAGAAAATTAAACAAACTAAAACCCTTTTTTAGCGGCAATGAAGAGCTGACTGCATTTCAAAAGAGGTTAAAGGAAATGCTCTGGCATCAAAGGGCAAATCATGCCCACCAGAAACAACAATAACCGCAGAAAATGCGTGTCATGACCTCTCAGTATGAAAAAGGCGCAAACCGTTTTCTTCAGAGGTATAATCTACCCGCCAGAGCCGGAAAAAAGTCATTGCACTGTCATTGGAACAAGCAGCATTTTAGCATGAGGTAAAAGTCGTGTGTTGCCTACCGACTTCGTTTTTACACTTGAATGATTTTTTCATTTAAGTCTTTATTCATATATCTATTTTAGAAGTAAAATTTAGCTTTTAATCTGACTTATTGTAATAATAATAAAATCGACACGATGATCCGCTAACTTCAGTCCAAGTCATTCCTACTTTTCTTTCGGGATCATTTGCGGTCGACTTTGGGGATCACTTGCGGTCGAGGATCATTTGCGGTCCATTTTGGGGATCATTTGCGGTCTCGGGATCATTTGCGGTTGGGGATCATTTGCGGTACTGTACAATTGTACCTTCTGATCTACAGTCGACTCCCGATAACTCGAACCCTCGCTAACTCGAACCAAAATCGATTTCCCCTGGATTTCCGTCATACATTCACTGTAATTTTACCCTCGGTAACTCGAACTCTCGATAATTCGAACTCCCGCTACCTCGAACCAGTTTTCGTTTCCCCTCAGGTCATTTTCTATATAATTTTACCCTCGATAACTCGAACCATGTTTTGAGCCCTTAAAAAGTCGGGAAAAAAGCCGTCTACGGGCGTCCGAAACATTGAATTTTGGATTTCCTATTGACGTGTTGTAGGAGTATAGTTTACTAGTGGAGGCTGATGTTGATTGTCACACTCTAACGTGAAGCACCTTTTCTTCTCAAAACAGTAAAACGCATGCTCTATTTAGGCTATATTTTGTTACGTTACGTTCTGTTTTATAATCTAGAAGTATCTTTTAATTTTCACTTGACATTTCTACAATTAAATGTGATTAAAATGTTCACTGTACAGTAAAAACTGTTTTTTACCATACTCTCGGCTATTTTCTTCGAAGTCTCGATAACTCGAACTCCCGATAACTCGAACCTTTTTTGGATTTGCCTTGAAGGTTCGAGTTATCGGGAGTCAACTGTATTAAAGCAATGATGACATAATTTGTTAGAGGCCAGGTCTGAAAACGGGGGTGGAAAATGACATTTTCTGGTCTGAAGGAGGGTCGGGTTTCGCGTGCAGTAAGTTTGAAAAAGAAAATAAGAGACCGCTCGCTGTCTGAGGGTGGGTTAAATCTTTTTCTCTTGTGCAATTGATAAGCCTCGATCCAATCTTCCAGGGTCAATCAACCCCATTCTCGTCTATTCTGAGGCCAACTTGGTCATTTCCATCCAAGTATACATACCCAAAACAGGTACATTGTCAAACGTAGTCTCTACCCTCTGCCCACCCTCTAAAGTTCTCTTAAACGGCGTTTTAAGCAACAAAAACAATGGGGATAGGTACGTTACGAAATAGGCCATTTCCGAGTTCCCTCGGGCCTCTGCATCAAAGCGAGGTCAAGTGCGCAGCCTTTGATCTGAAATCTCATGCAAATAAAACTCATTTTTTTAAAAAGGTCGTGCACTTGGCCTCATTCTGAAAGTGAGAGTTTTTGGAACTCGGAAGTGGTCTATTACTCACAATGATTCACAATGGCTTGTTATCTTGGGTCGTTTCCAGCATAACCGAATTAACGCTTCCGGTTTGAGGAAGATCAATGCTGCCAAGGCATTGTGGGACTTTCATGCGGAAATATGGAGTCGAAAAGGTTGGGAGTTGTTGTCTGCGGCAGTCTTTTTTGACCTCCAGCGTTATTACATATTTTACAAGGTTACACAATGCCTCCGGGACTACGTCGTACTTTTTGGGACGATTTCGAGCCATCTTCTATGGTGGATGTGGACTGCTTTTTGCCCACTGGAGTGGTAATTCAACTTCAAGTCCGCATCGAAGCTCAACTTGCCGACATCAAGAGTCGGTTATGGAGAGAGGCAAGCAACTATCCTTTGTTCAATTTGCTTAAAGAATCTTCAAACTACGTGTTTTTGTGCGTGAATCAGCGAGGAAAGCAGGAAGAGCTTGTAGATGAAACAAGACAGTTAATTGATGTTCAGCCATTTCGACCTTTATTGAAGCTCATTCAGAGGAAAGGTGACAGCGAGGAGAAACTTCTAAATTCTACAATCGGCAATCTGATCGGGAAAAGCCTGCATGAATTCGATCAAATGCAAAACACAGAAGTGGACGATTTTCGTCTCAAGTATCGCCGTTTTGCGGAGAAAAAAGCTTACGAACGAACACAGATCGACTGGATAGGCCGTGCAGTTTACGCCTATCCACCTGAAGTGGAAAGCATCGAGGCCCCTGAACATATCGAAAGCAAACTTATGGAAAACAGGCGATTTTTAGTGAATGTGGCCATTAAGAATAATCGAGCCTCAATAAAAGACATGCATGCGTTTAATGTACCGGCCGACGCTTACCCAGACGAGCTACTGGTGTTGGTGTTAAGAAAACGAGGTGCTATCATGGGCGTACATGATCTTGACAAACCGAACGATTATGTGCTCAAAATCGTTGGTCGAGAAAGCTATCTCCTGGGGAATTATCCATTACTACAGTATACGGTATGTAGCTTAATCACTGAAGTCAAAAGGAGTTACATTAAACTTAAGCTGCTCGTCGTAAATTGCTTGTTTATTTGTTCTTGTGAGTATTATTTGTGTTTGTTTCGCAAGATGTTTTGTGATAAATTGCAGTAGTCACGCGTTTCATTTTTGTCGGTCATTGACCTGAGAATTCCACGTGAAGCCTTCGAAAAGGCCATGATCTGTAACAAAAAGCTAATTTGAGTTGTTTTCCCCTTCTTCTTCGTCGAGAGACTTTTGAATAAATATCCAGCAAAAATGTTGTAAATATTTATACATGTAGATTGCACGTCACTTGATCATGTGCTCTGCTGTGTTGCTTTGTATAAAGCTCTACACTCTAGTCATACTGAAGAATAAAATGTGTTGCTTTTGCAGTTTTGACAAAGGTTGTTTCAAGAACTCCCATGTGTCAATCAAATATAAGAATGTCAGCAAATCAGTTGTCTTACTCTTAGGTTTTGTTGTCTGATACACTCTCGGCAGTGAGTTGGAGCGGCAAATGGCTATCCATTTCTGACGTGTATGCAAACAACCGTAGCTATCCAAAAAGTTTCCACCTTTCCTTACTTTTCACCCATTTTCCTGTAAATCTTATGAGAGGCAAATTTGAATGAGGTCATACTTGAATAATATATTTTTCAAAATTTAAATACAAAAACACAATCTCTTTTCTAAAGGGCCCATAAAAGTGGGTCCTGGGCCCCATATCCTACCCCTGTATTCTCTAGCATGCTACCGCCAGGAGTGACTTATGCACCTATCAATGAAAATCCCGTGAGGGGGGAGTGCGGGCAAGGGGCGGGGATTTGATGCCTGAGACTATCCCCCTGTCGGGCTTTTGATCGTGCGAAGAGACCCCGGGGTCGGGACATTTGACTTTGACCGACAAAAGCCTGGTATCAATTCAGAAGCGGTTACCAAGTCCGTCCCTCGAGGCTTTCAGAAAGTCACACTGTTGGAGAAAAGTATGAAGTTAATAATGTCTATTTTGAGAAAGGTTTTATCTTCAATTTCCCATCTGATTGTAAAACTCGATTGAAATCGAATTCCACCATGAAAGTCAGAGGATTTTTTACGGGTCACTGATCCGACCTGTTCCGACATGTTTAGCAGATGTTATAAAGTATTTTACGTTTCATTAATATTATAATAGCACAGTCAATCTTCCTGGAGTGATTTTGTTGTTCAAAATAGGAGATGCTAGTGGAGAGAGAAAATACTTAATTACAGTGAGTAATTTAACAGAGCTTACGTTAACCATAAATAAAGTAGTAAGAACATACTTTTGAAATATTCTTCTAATTTGTTTTATATAGTGTTATAGTATTGTTTCTTTAGATTTTTTTTGACACTTTTGATCAACCTTTCGTTTCTCACCCTGGGGAATTTGATCAAAAAATTTCCAAATTTGTCAAATCCCCACCCCTCACCCGCACTCCCCTCCCCCCCACGGGGTTTACATTGATAGGTGCATTACAGTGATGTTCAGTAAATATTTTTTTATTGCTTTTCCCTGTTTTTCATTGTAACACGAAGTGAATTTTTTGGAATATTGTCAATGGCAGAGTTTAAGACGGAATACACCAGGAAATTGAGTAATTTTAATTTTCAGTGGACAAAAACCTTGTACCAGAATAATTTAAAAAATATTGCATTCTTTTTTACATTTCTCAAGGGCTAAAGATGTAATTAGTCATCTGTAATAACACCAAAGAAAATTTCTTACGAGTGCCAGAGAAAATGAATGTCAAATTTTCCAGAATTACATCTTACACATGAAATTTTCAGAATTTGACCTGTGTTTTCACAATTCTTGTGAAATTTGACATTCATTTTCTCGGGCTACCGTAGGAAATATTCTTTGGTGTTACTGCCGATGACTAATTACATCTTTAGCCCTTGAAAAATGTGAAAAAGAATGCAATATTCTTTAAATTATTCCGGTACAAGGTTTTTGTCCACTGAAAATTAAAATTACTCAATTTCCTGGTGGATTCCGTCTTAACAGAAGCTTTCATTATGGTTTTGTTTCAGTATATTCGTATTTGTATAGCTAAAGGGACCAGGCCTATGCTTTCTCTTGTCCTACGGTCCTCACTTCAAGTAGAAGTTGACGTCAGTGGAATATGCCCCATGTCCCACGGTGGGGCTGCACCCCCAGTTCCTCAGAAGCCTCAATCAGCAAGCCTGTCCTTGTGGAATATTGAAACACACCTTAGAATCAAAGTTGTTTCAGCAGCCAATGTGAATGCCGGTGACTTAATGAAGGTACAGGGGCTTCTTGACTGGTTTCTTCAGAAGCCAATAGTTGTACTTGTTTCTAGCTAAACTAGTTTTCAAACCTCCATGTACATGTAAATATTTAGGGGTGCTTCTACAGATTATTATTCAGTTTAAGAAAGGAAAAACAAAGTGTATAGGACATTTGAAGACAATAATTTGGAGGCCTTTTTCATAAAAGCTAACTTCAGATGTACAGTGGTACCTCTATTCAGGGAACACCCTCTGGACCAAGACAAGTGTCCCATGAATGGAGGTGTCTTTTGAGGAATGGAGGTTGTGCTGGGGTTTGTTAATAATAACCAATAAATAAAATATTTATTCTTTTCTTCTGCCACGCTAGCTGCTTCAGTCACTACTTCATGATCAATTATGTTGCATGCTTAATTCCCACAAGTGGAGTGCATTGATTTAAATGGGACAGATCATGTTTTGAAAGCTATCGCCATGGTGACTAGGGAACACTAAAACTCATCAACGATTTTTGTGGTCAGTCACCTTTTGAGGACTAAGGTGTTTCCTGAATGGAGTTTAAACCAGGGTTTTGGGACCCAGAAAAAGTGTCCCTTTTCCCTGAATGGAGGTGTACCTTCAAAAGTGGTAACAAATACAAAGATTATCTGAACATTTTTTCCAAGACCAAATTTTGGGTCCCCTGAATGGAGGTGCCTCTTGAATAGAGGTGTCCCAAAGAAGAGGTTCTGCTGTAACTCTTTACATTTACACTTGGTTTTAAAATAATGAGTTTGACTGTGCTGAATGTAAGATGCTAGTGGTAACATCCAGTGTTAAAATGTATGCAAGTGGCCTGTGATGAACTGTTAAAGTCTTCTTCCTTGATCATAAAGGACCTATAAGAGTCTCTCTAAGTGATACAACAAGCATCTCCGTCATTTTCATGTGGTTCTGCACCCATGAGATGTTTTTGTAGCTATTTGTCTCTGTGAGTGTTTCCTCAAGTATATTTCCAGAGCAGAAAGCAATAATATTAAAACATGGTTGGACCAGTTGCGGTATGAGTGGATCATGACTTGACGAATATAATTTACAAACTTTTTTTCTGTAAATGTTGGTATTTTGTTTGTCTTCAGGTTTGTGTGCGAGCAGGTATCTACCACGGCAGTGAAGCACTGTGTGACATCCAATGCACACAACCAGAGGGAAGCTCCAATCCCTTTTGGAACCAGTTCCTGGACTTTGATTTAAATGTACATAATATACCTCGCATGGCTCGACTATGTCTTGTTATTTACAGTGTTTACTTGGACAGAAGAAAAACAAAGAGCAAGAAACGAGAGGTAAAAATGAGAAGTCAGTTGGCATTCACTGGTCATTTGAAAAGTGGCACAATGTTTTTAGCATCATCCACACCTATTTATGTTATTGACTCATGTGCTTTATACTTCCTGTTAATAATCATTTCTGTGGTTACAGCTTTTTCAGAAGCATAACTGTGACTTTACCAATTTTTAAGGGTGTATAATAAGTTGTGGTCAATTAGTTTTCTTTGAACAGTCAAATATTTTGGTGCAATTATTAATTACACATGCATTACAAGGCTGCAAATAACTAACGGGCATTCGCGGGTCACGTTGTCTGGTCAAACATGCTTTTGCTTGGACACTACCCGTTTTTGGCCGGTCAAATTTTAACAGTCGGAACTCTTGCGATAGTGAACCTAGATTGCACAGTAATCCTTTTAGAACTAAAAAACAACTGAATCCAAGTCGGTCTGGCAATAAAAATTACAAGTTAATAATTTTACTACTCTTTACTGCAGAAGCAGCCTCGCATTGAGTACGTGGAACGGTTACGCAAGATACAACCGCAATTGTCCGTTTTACTTTACATCTGGCAAAATCACTTATAATTAAATATTACACTTTAGCAATCGCCACATCAGTTCTACAACTGAACTTTAAGTAAAATATGCAGAATGTGAAAGCTGAAGGGTTCAATTGATCTCTTAATTAAGCTAACTGAAATGTAAGCTTAAATATAAACAAGAAACACTTAACTTTAACTCTTATCGTCTTAGGGTTTCGAAATTCGGCACCACGGTATGAAATTGTATAAAATGCATGGCGTCTTATTCCAAGTGCAATTGTTGCACTCGCTGACTTTCTTCCATTTAGAATCCCTTAAAGACAACTTTATTCTTCCACTTTTTGTGTTATATGCTCCATTTTTGAGTTAATCACCAGAAAGCTTAGTAACCAAGCACGTTTTGCTGGGTGTGCTGGAAGTGACATATGGTTTGTTCTTTTCAACTTTTTTTTTTTTAACACTATGCTTTCTTTAGTTTCAAGCAGAAAGCTATCCCCTAGAAGACAACAACAAAAAAAATAATTGGATATTAATATATAGAAAATAAAACGTGAACCTTCTGTACAGTAGACAACTGTACGCTACCTTTTCACCTAAGAAAACTTTTTAACTAATAGCAAAATGTTCTGGCAAGCCACATTGCAAGACAAGTAAATGGAAAAAAATATTTTAAGCCAAATGCCAATGGTACTGCTCAACTCTGGACGTAATTAGTGATTACAACAAATCAACAACTTGAATAGTTCTATTACGTTGCGGTCAAGCGTTTCATGTTCGGGTGCTCATGACAATTCCTAGGGCTTGAAAAACAAATAACTCGGTTTCGCTACTCAAGTTCATCAAGCTCTGCAATTAACACTTTCCCCCCTTCATCTTTGTCTTCTCTTTCGAGATCTTCCTCACTGTCAGTGCCGGGACTTTCTTCAGTTGAAGAAGCATCGATTAACACCTTCCGCCTATTCTTCGATTCTCTGGCACTGTAATGCTTCCTTTCCCTTTGGTTTAGGCGGCGGGTCGCACCCATTGCCCATAACTGGATGGCAGGAGTGGTATCGAACTCTTCAAGTGGTGGGCCTTCCATTTGGATTCTGATGAGGTTGTTAAGGGTGTTCTCGCTGAGCGATGCCCGGAAATCTGTCCTCACACGGTTCATCAGCGAGAACATCCTTTCAACTTTCGCATTAGAGATGGGAATGGAGAGGAGAAGTTCGACCAACAGTAGCACCATGTTCCACCTGTCTTTCCGGCTTGAATCGAAGATTCTTTTTCAAACACGCAGGTAGTGTGTTCCAGAAGGATCCAGGTATCGTGTGGCATAGGCCACTAGGTCATGCCACTGCTCCAGTAAACTGTTAAGAGCGACATCCAAGCCTGCCTTCAACAATGGTTCACGGAAGTGGTCGAATAGGGCTGCCACATAGTTGTCAGCAAACTCCACATCTTCTTCCCCATTTTCGTTCTTCCTCTCCCATCCTTTGCAGTTCAAGATAGTGGCGGCCATCACAACATACTTGTTTTCCGCTGCCTCCATCCTTGTCTGCATTGCTTCCTTGATCTTTCCCAGCAACATGCGTTTTGATACTTTTGCGGACTCCTTAGCATCATTGAAGTTGGGCAGCACAACGTTCTGATAGAAAAATTTTCCGTCTCTTTCCTCAACTTTGTCCAGAAATCGTTTGACTGTTGGCAGATCCTCAAAATTCTTCCGTTCTAGACATGCAAGCTGCTTTTTTGCCGTCTCGAGGCGCTGGATGGAAGAAACTGTGTCAATATCGTTATCTTGAAAAGCGAAGGACAACACCTTCGCCAGGCTAAGAATTTCAACAAAAAGACGAGCCAATAAAGGAATTCGAGCTTGTTGCCACTTCCTTAGCCAGCCTTTAAATTTTTGGCGATCCGCCGACTTGTAAGACTTGTCTTCTGACATCGTCTGAAGGTGCTGCCTGTAAATCCCGTACTTGTCACACACAAGCTGTAGGGCATTTAGTTTGTGGGCAATCCAGCGGGTTCCTAAAAGAGCAAATGTTTTCAGTCAGACATTTCAAAAGCTAGGCAGTGACAGCGGTTCTTTTCTCTTTGAATAACACCATTACTAACTAGGTGTTCCAGTTCACCTGATAATTGAACTAACATAATAACGATAAGAAATGAGAAGTATCATAATTACCACAAGCTCGTTTTGGCCGGGCCCCTCCCTCTTCAAATTCGAAGGTCTGACGATAAATGTTGTGAAGCTCCCAAAGCTGCCTGAGTTTCTTGGGGGAATTCTCATACAGGTAGTACAGGCAAAGCAAGACTTCATCCACATCGTCAAAGACGGTACCCTGCAATGCATCTTTAAGGGAAAGCTCTAGAGGATGTGCAACACACCAGACATAGATCACCCAGGGTTGACGACCTTTAAGGGTGCCGATGACACCCTCTTTCTCTCCGCGGTTCACAGAAGCTCCGTCAGCAGCGAAACCAACCAATTTCTTTTCAAAAGACTCATCCATGATGTTAATGGCCTGGAAGCTCTCTTTGATGCAACTTACAATGCCCGTTGCACTGCCATGTTCAAATCTGCCAACCTGGGGGTGTGTCAGTGAAATAAAGTTTAGCTCACCCAACGTGTTCTAGCACGAGAACACAGACCCTGCGAAAGAGATGTCTTAGAAATTAGTGGTGTGTGCAAAAATGTCGTACACGCTTCTGGTAGGTACAATTAAACTATTTAAATTTCTCCTGCTCAGACTGAGAAATCCACTGACTCGTATGAATAAAGAAATTTTGTTCTTCTGTTTATTTAAACAAATTGCTCAGCTTTATACAGCACTTTCATGTGAAAAGAACATGCATGTAGATTTCTACATGCGAAATGATTTTTAAGCCGCTATGAGGAATATTGCATTAAAAAACTCTGTATGTTGCACTGTTATATATTTGTGTAGATTTGTTTGATATTGTTTATCATGACGTCAAAAGTGCAAATTTTCTTGATGTCCTCAAAATAATAATCCAGGCTGAGAACGCTTGGTGGGTAGCTGTTGTTCACAATACCTTGAAATGCAGATGAACTTAAGTAATTTTAGTCACTTACTTTTGCTGTTTACACATTGCACAGCCACAGAAATACCAAACAGGAATACTAAAATTAATGACAGTTTAACTTTTGTAAATATATAAAGTGTTTTGAGAATGCATGTGTACCAACCTGAGAAATGCAGTAACAACTTCAATTGTATCTTTTCCAGGGCCGTTCGTCAGAACACTAAAGAAATTGGCACCAGATATCTTCTCCTCTATAATCTTTTACCGAGTTCCTCTCCAATGTAGTTGATGAAATTGGTGCCACTCTGTCTATTCCGATATGCTCTCCCAATGTCAGCACCATGCTTTTCCTCCAGCTTTAAAATTTGCAGGTATTTTAAAAGCGGCATTTCTTCTTTTGCTATGAAATACGCAGTTTCAAATTTTAATTGCGTCTTTGCAAAATCGGCTGATGGCATGTTTTTGATACCAGATGTGATGAGTTGCTGCCAAGTCTAATGCCCTTTTGTGAGGCTCACCCCGTGCATGATCTTTGGCATTACTTACGCGAAGGTTGGTTGATCCAGTGAAAGCCCAGGCTGTCAAAAAGTTCTTCATACCTTTTAACTTGTCAGCATGAGTTTTGCACGCAGAACAATTTAAACTGACGACGTGATCTCCCTTGTCAGCATTTATTACGAGCCACTCACTTCCTAAGTGTTCAGCCAAGGATGTTGTTTTCCAACGATTTGCTGCTGCTACAGTTAGGGCCCTTGTTTTCTTAGCAGATGGAGTGGATGACACAGCTGTTGAAGGGCAATCTCTTGTTTCTGTTGAGGCTCTTGACAGATTGCAATCGTAGTGGAGCTGCTGTTGTGTATTTACGGGTGTCTGCCTTGTTGGTACAGGTGTTTTTGTTTTCTTGGTAAAATAAAAAGAGAGGCTGGATTGTTGAGACTTTGCTGCCGTGGGAAGGTCAGGGAGCTTTCGCTTACGGCCATGCTGACACTCGTCACATTTTCCAACACAATAGGCTTCCTCAGAATACCCTGGCGTTTCCTCTGTACAAGGTTTTGAGCATACATTGCAAATGGGCGATTTACAGCCAATGCAGCGGTACTTGATACCTTTACGTGCACACTTAACACAATCCATCTTTACTTAGCAATATAAAATGTCTTCTCTGACTGGTACACAGTTACAGTTAGTTAACTAGGTAAAGACAAGACAGGAAGGGATAGATGCCATGGTGTCTGGGAACTTTTCTGCCAAAGCGACAACCATAGGCCTTATCAGTCTACGATCTATCATAATCTAGTCTATGATCAGTTTACCACGCAGGATATTACTCAGCATGAAATTGCTTACAGCAGTTTTACTTGTGGACCATCGACAAGTAAACCGACTTTTGTCACTTTCTTTTTAGCTGCTTTTCTGTCGACATGATTAATTCTCTACCAGAATTGGTGCTTTTGACTATATTTAACTATTTCACAGATAGCGAGCGAATTTGTATCCTAGCTGTGGTTTGTAGACAGGTATGATATTGTACACAGTGGCGCTTTGTGGAAGAAAGTTAACTTTGACTATCAGAGAAGAGTAACACCTGATATCCTGGACAAGTTCGTCTATGCAGGGACCAGAAAAGTACTCCTGAGTGAGTGTTGCTTTCTGAAGTGGACAGATATTTGCGCTGTTTAACGCCGCTGCAAGAAAATTGTAGTGCTAATTGCTCCATGGGTTTGTTACAAAAAGGAAACTGTCCCAGACATAACTGGGATGTTAAATATCCAGAACAAGAGTTTTTTAGACTTGAGCCACTGTAAAGTAACAGACTCATTGTTCAACCAGATCCCTGTTACGTGTCCAGTTCTGAAATTTTTTCTTCTTCAAGATTGTCAAGAGATTACAGAAGATGCTTACATCAACTCCAACTTTAAAACACACGAACATCTAAAGATTTTAAATGTTGCAGGCAACAGAGAAGCTCTTTAACCAAGAAGTGTCATTGAACTTTTAAAATACAATAAAGGGAGAGTATTTTTAGACATCCGAGGGCATCGACTTACGCAAGCAGAATTTGCAGCAATTTCAAGAGAATATCCAGACGCAGTGGAAAGGGTTTTTGAAGATGTTGACAATTATGTCCACATGCTTCTGGTTTAAATTTATTCTCATTTGTCCAGGATTTTCAAAAATACAGTTCTATTTATTGCGATTTAGAATATCATCAGTGAAGCATGGACTTTTCAGATTAAATGATTTTGTTCAGTTCGTGTGTTCGAATTAAAAAGGTGCTGTTATTGGCCTATTGCATTCGTGTTTACACACTCTTCGTGACATGTAACGCAATGGGATCGTGTATTGCATCATCTTGTCGGCTGCTTGAGATACAATCACGTACATTTTGTGGTACATTCAACGCGTTACAGATAAGAATATTTTGCATATAAATATGTTTCCCTTCATCTAAAACAGACAGGATGATAACAAATTGTTGAGTGAACCTTGCAATTCATAGGTTAGTAATAACAGAAAATATCTACATGCAGACAAATAAACACAAACTCTCTTTTTATATATCTTGACTTTTTTTGTTTTCAGTACAACTCAGAGCCCTTTTTTTTAAAGTTACAGTTGTGAATATTTGTTAGAGTAAAAGAGTGGTCGGATTCTCCAGGTTTTGTGGATTTTGCTCGCTTTTTGCACTTTGCAACAAATGCTACTTGGAATATTCTCGGTGCAGCAAGATTATTCTTCGTGAGGGTGCTTTCCGATCATTTGATCAATCAAACAATCAATCACTTTATTTAAGAGTAAATTATGGTATCTAGCCAAAGGTAAAACCCTCTACTAACTGGGAACACTTAAATAAAGTAAATAAAATAACGGAAGACACGATGATTTGCTTTATGATTTGTTTTATAACATTTGTTTCTTGAATTGTTCTCGCTTGTTTGTGTGTGCTTTAGCAGTTAAACTTTTGCTATGGCCTAATCTGAATCTGTTAGATGAATTTGGCATCCGTTTTAGACACACTGTAAGTGTACATCAAACTGTAGAGGACTGGGGAAGGATCACCTTCTAAGAGTTGTTTAGTGAAGAAATTATTAGGGAGCTTTAGCAACGACGACGGCGACGTCAACGAGGACGTCAAAAAAGCAATAGGTTTATTACACAAAACAACAACTTTGCACGTGCATCACGATTTTTGGACATTTCTTTACCGTCCTTGCACGACTACGACGTGAAAATGCCTAATTGCAAGTTTTATGGAGGACGTAAACAAGCGACGACGAATCTCTTTTTCTCTCTCTAAACGTGAGTGCGGTCCTCGAGAAATCAACTCCAAGGAAATTCAGCAAATTGGAATAACAGGACAAAGATTGAAAAAACGGGAATTCATTTTAAAACTGATGTTTTCGCTGCCGTTGCCGTCGTCGATGCTAAAGCTCCCTATTAATGGAAAATGAACTACCCCTAATTGAGCTCTCAATTTGTGTGGTAAAATGTTGTAAGTAAAAAATTAAATTCAGGTTAAAATTTTAAAACCTAGGTTTTTTTTCTCAATTTCTTTTGTCTGGTAGCCCTCAGTATTCATGAATTAGGTCTATGAGACAAAAGCAGTTGGGAATCGGCCAAGTTTTAGAAATTTTCACCTGAATTTAATTTTGACCTAGTCTCCCATGCAAATGTTCTTTTGGCTCATCACGCAATCCTCCCCAACAAATGTCTGCTGAAACAAGCAGCACCAATCACTTTTCCAGTAATTTGAGCATGATGTCCACTGATATTTGCAAGCAAAGGGAAAGGACTTGAACTGCTTGTTTCAGTGCACATTCTGGGGAAAGGAACGTGTGATGAAGCCCGAAAAATGTCTTCCTGGGAGGCTAATTTTGATGGAGAACGAAGACTTGCACACTTTGAGTTGTGCCTTATAAACAATCACTGCCTTGACTGAATGCCAGATGGAGACAGTAATATTAATATTGAAGCGAGGGTTTCAAACATTTTGCATTGTCTTGTGTATGCAGTTAGCAATATTTATTGTCCTGTGCTGAGGTCTTTCTATAGTCATTTAATAAAAGGATTTACAGGAAGCATTATCAATTACACTTGCTTCTTCTTTGACTTGTTAACTTTCTCATTGGCTTGTCTAACCAGGAAACCATCCCTGTTGCATGGGTGAACACCACACTATTTGATTACCAGGGAAAGCTACGGCAAGGTCAATTAAGACTGTTTGCATGGCCAGTACCAGAGACCATGGCTGATCAACTTAACCCTGTTGGGACAGTGGTTTCCAATATTGACACAGTCACTTCCGTGTCACTTGACCTTGAATTCCAAGGCTACTCCAATGCAGTTGTCTATCCTTCAATTGATACGGTAAATTGTGGTTGTATTATTCATTTTATTTGTGGTAGGTGAAATCTTGTCTATTAAACCAGTATTCACCTTAGGCTTCCAGGTCTAGCAAAATGATAATGCTTATGAAATGAATGCTGGCCGGTTTGACCTGGGAAGGTGAATTTGAAATGTTGTCATTTATTGTGAAGGTGGGGGGGGGCTTGGGGGGAGGTAAAGTTTTTAATTGACACACCGTTATGTTTAATACTTTAACCTAGACAGAAAGGTGTTTAATAGTAAGGAGAGAAAGCAGATAACTGAAAACTGTTGATTTAAGAGTTTAGATAGAGTATTCTGTATAATTTCTAAGCTAATTTATTCTGCTTATTTACAGGTTACTGAGTTGGCTGCAAAGAGCACCAACGCCAATATTTTTGTGAGTATACCAAATGCCACTTTAACCCTAAATATCAAAATAATAGTTCTGATCCTTTGAATCAATCTCCTGTCCTGTTTTAATGGCATTAATGAAGAGAACTTGTTCAAATGTCAACTTGTGAGAATTTATTTATGTGATAATTCTGTGCTTTTATGACATTATTTAATTAATTCCTAAGTTGGTAAAGAACTAATGCAAAAAGATACAAATCAGTTACCTTGGAGCTGTATTACCAAGTTCATTTGTGTTTAATTGTTTTCAGATATGCGAGAACGTTATATTTTCTTATTCAGGTGCCTTCTCTGCTCAGACAATGCATTCTTACGATATTGAGTTAATATATTATTTTTATTGCATTGTGATTTAAGGGAAATCCAGGAGAGTCCCAGCTGGAAAAGCTAACGCACATTGTAAACCGTGAACCTCTTGCACCAATTTTTGAACAAGAAAAAGAGCTTGTTTGGGAACGGAGGTTTGTTTGTAACTTTAATGAGTTAATGTTTGACTCACTCATTCCTTTTATACAGTTTTCAGATGTATGCATTATAACATTTTAAATCTGTGCCATTGCTTCTTACCTTTAAAAGGTTTAACACTCATATAAATTGCTCTTGCAGGATTGATGTTCGTGAGCACTTTCCTCATGCTTTAGCAAAACTGCTTTGTTGTGTTAAGTGGAACTGCAAGGAAGATGTCGCATTGGTAAGAGAAACCTAAGTAAATTATTGAATGGTTCAAAATGAAAAGGGGGATATGTGACAATAAAATTGAAGACTGGAACTGGAATTTGAAACTGAAAAGCTTTGTTTTATGGCCAAATTATCCTGCATGTGAGTTACATTTTAGAAAAGAGAGTTGTAACTCAACAGAACATCTAAATGGGCTAGAACTATAGGGGACAGTCCTTTTGGGAAGGAAAGATCAAAGTATTTTAGACTAGGCACAAAGTTGCTAAGTATTTATTTGCCAATGCAAAAAGAGATTGCTTTTGAAAGTTGCCAACATTTGAAAAACCTTTTATTTTTAGCCAAACCATACCAGAAGCCCTTTTTCCTTACAACCTTTTATTCTATATTACTACCTACTTGTGGTGTGATTTTTTTGTTAGCTTTTCCCTTAGTTCAATTGATACTTTTTTTTCAGATGCAAATCCTTCTTCAAACTTGGCCAAAACTAGAGCCAGAGCAGGCGTTAGAGTTGCTTGATTACACTTTTGCTGACCGTGAAGTGAGAAAGATTGCTGTGGAATGCATAGAGAAAATGAGGTTTGCATTGTTTTGACTATGAATTTTAATTAATGATTTTGATAATTTTGATGGTGACGATGAATGCTACAGATACTGAAAGTGGCAATAATTAATGATAACATATGATATGGTACTAATAATCAATAGCTTAACTGCTGCCCAGTTAGCTTAGTTGGCTACCCCCAGGTGTACTGAGTTTAAGCTAATGTTCAAACCCTTGCTGCATTTCAGGGGTCTGTAAAAGAATGGTAAGATAATGGCTACAAAATGTTTGTTATGATAATGACTATATTCCATCATTAATACAGGTGCATTGAGCTAAGACAAACTTTTTGTCAAAAATGTTTCCGTTTTCAACGTAATGTTTGCAAAGCCAGATATCATTCAGCAGTAATATGAAATAATCCGATTTCATTACTGGTGAATTTTTTGGGCGAAATTAGCATTTAAAAAGACCTTACTGGTCAAGGAAAATCTTGACTAGTAACTGGTGCTTCTAAAATTAAAGAGTACCTTTTAAAGAATTGCATGATTGGCAATCAGCTTTTGTTTTAAGTATTAGGCATGCAAACACTGGGATTACCTTTCCCAATTAAAATTTGAGCAGGTGGCTTGTTCTACCTCAGAGAAGTTGGGTTTTGAAATTCCAAAACAATTTTACAGCTGAATTTTGAAGGACTTTTTAGTAATGGTTGTCTGTTCCAACAATTTCTTTAAAATCACTGGCAGATTTATTACTAAAATATGTCAATAAAGGGCGATATCAGAGATCTCAGTCAAAAATATCAGCAAAATTTTTTACCAGACATGATTTTCTTTGAACAGTAGGGTAATGACTATTTTTAATATAACAATAAAAAATGCACCTGTGTAATAATGACGGAGCCACCTTAACAATAATGGAAATAATAATGTTTAGGTTACCAGTATGTATATAAATATCCAGTTATGGTAAGTGCAATGATTATTTTTGCAACAATAACATTTCTAATACCTTGGTACCGGTGCTATTGTTTTAAGGATAATGGAGTAACAAAAGTCATATGAAATTATTATTTATGCACAATACGTTGTCAAAAAATGTTTTAGATGTGTCTAATATATTGTAAGCCATCACTGATTCGTTGGGTAAATTATTTTTGGCAAGTGGGCCAATTTCTATCTGTGGGTCACTAGTGGCTCATAACAATCAAATGGCAAAGTCACAATACAGTAAAAATCCACAAGAAAGACACTGGTTTTTATGAACCTGTTAGGCTAAAATTTGCCAGTTAGGTCCCCTCTATACAAGAATGGGTTTAGCCTAAAGTTTTAATTTTATAAAATGTGTAAATCTGTACACTTGGGTACTACAATAGATAAGTCAACATTAAGGATCCTCTTTGGAGACGTAGGTGTGTCTTGTCACTCCAACTGCAATGTAATGGTGCATGTACATACGATTTTACATAAGAAATAAGCAGAATGTTACTTACTTTTAGCTACTTGTACAATGTTTTTTTTTTCTCTTGAAAATAAGAATCTATTTGAGAACATAAATAGTTTAAATCTGTTCTAATTACCATTTATGTAACAACCTGCTTAGGCTAACTTGGGAAAATGCCGGTTCTTACTCATTTTGTGGGTTTTTACTGTACTCTTGATATAACTGGTACATAACATAGCTCAATCTATCCAAGCTAATCCTGTACAACATTTTTGTTCAATTTTTCTGCAGTGACCGTGAGCTTTCCCAGTATCTTCTGCAGCTTGTCCAGGTATGCATGTCTAACCTCTCTTTATTTTAATCAGTAGGGATGTAAGAATAACTTAGTGAAACCTGTATTATCAGGGGCAGATCCAGGATTTTTCTTAGGAGGGGGTGGAAAAGCCGCAGGTCATCTCAGGGGGATGGGTGCACATCCCCCTGCACCCTCCCCCTAGATTCGCCCCTGATTATAATGGCTACCCTTAGGACTTTGGAATGGTCGATTGCCAATTGCATACAAGAACACCTTATTCAAGCCTTTATTCATTAAAAAAAAAGGCAATCAACTTTTGTGTAAGTGGTGTTTACCAGAATAGATAGATAAGTTTTATTTCAACTTTCATATTTAAAGAGTAGCATTGCTGCGCGTATCTGCAATTTAAAGAAATAAAATATATTAATAAAACAATCAAGGTCAATCAATGATAATATTAAAAATAATTTTGACCATATGACTATTTACAACAATGTACATCATTGAAAAAAAAGGGAACAAATTGCATTACAGTAACTTATAGTGTCGTCTAAAAGTGGTATAAAAACTACTTATATTATTAGCAGTTCCAGCAGTTCCAGCAGAAATTCCAGAGATTCGTCTTGAAATAAGTAACGGAATTGAGACCATGTGTATAGATGTCCTCAGCTCGGAAGAACGAGTTTCCTTTTATCGCTAAGATTGTACCCTGAATTTCTTTCCATAAAGCGTGAGGTAAGATAAGTGGGCATTAGCTCATTTACACATTTTATTTTATAGACCAGAACAGACATATCCTGTAGACGTCTGTCCTCAGCAACGTTATATTTAGTTTCTTATTGGATCTTTATATGAGCTTCTTGTATCATCCATCAGGATGGCCCTTATCTTACCTCATCGTAGTATACTTTCAACAAAACTGCAAACATGTACTTAACTGTAATGTTGGAGTCGATGTATTGTTATGTTAAGGTACTTATTATTGTTCTCTAGTCTACAATCAGTATTTCCAAGATTTTAAGTGCACGATGAAGTATGACAGTCCATTGTTGTGATAGTTTATATGTTATAGAGTGGTCTCCTAAGACAGTTAAAACAAAGTTCTTAAACTATTATGTTGGAATGCTTTTTAAGGTTGGCCACAGCCAGAAAAATAGAGTATTTGAAAGTGGACACTTATCAAAGGCCGGGTTGCTACTGACTACAGAGTCATTATTTACAGGTTTTTCCATGTTAACAAAATACTGTTTTTGCTCTGGTTACTGATCTGCAGGTTTTAAAGTATGAATCATACCTGGACTGTGACTTAGCGGAGTTTTTACTTAGAAGAGCTCTTAAGAATCAGCATTTTGGACATGAACTGTTTTGGCTTCTTAGGTGAGGAGGTTTCTGTGGAAGTTCATATTTGCAGCCATTCTCCCTGAAATTTACCTCTGATTACCTGTCTGGCTTTAATTGCATGAAAGGAATAAAAATATTTTACTTGTGAACTATTGTAAATCTCAGATGGTAATTAACACTGAGGGTTAACTGTCCAAAGTGAAACTTGTTTTCAAGAGAAGTTGTGAATAATTATTGTTGATATTCTTGACGGTTTCTTTGCTTGCCTTTTTAGAGCTGAAATGGAGAACCCTGAAGTGTCAGTGAGGTTTGGTCTGATGTTAGAGGCATATTGCCGTGGTGCACCAACACACATGAAAAGCTTACAACGACAGGTTTGTGGGAGCTGTTATTAATGACAATAATGATGATGATGATGATGATGATAATGGCAATAACTATACAAATGACAATAACAATAATGGTGATGATGATGACGATAATAACAATGCAAGGACCAAGACAATGATGTCAGTGATGACGATGATGTTAATGATAATATTAAAAATACTCAGAATAACAATATCACCCAAACTTCCTAGTATATTGTCTCATTGTAAGCCTTAATTAGTATAGGTAAACCTAAGTTGCCATCGCAAGGCATATTACATTGTATCAGTTTCATGGATACTCTCCAAATCTGTACACAGGCTCATTTACTGAAGGTTGAATAGTATATTCTTTTTTTATTATTCATTTTTCAGGCACAAGCTTTGAGTAAGATGAAGGCTGTCACTGAGTTACTGCAGCTTATTGATAGGGTATGGTCGAATTTTAAATCATATTTTTGGATCATAATTGATATACTGGTGAATTTGACCCTCGGGTTACCAGCAGGTGGCCACTTCATGGAAGTTGGCCACTCAATAGAAGTTTGTCATAAATTAGCATAATCTTAAGAAGAAACATCACTTTATTTAGAAACAAACTCGTGACAGTAGTGGCATTCCAATTTCACTATTTATCAGTCTTTTTCAAATACAGTTAACTGTAAAACCAAAGTTAGTGTATCGACACTTGGTGGTCACTTAATAGATTTGATAACATAAAGAGAAATCTTTTTGGAATGGCCAAAAGGTGGCAGCCGATAATTATAAAGACACTGGGATATCACAGTCAGGGAAATTTTTTGGAAAAAAAATTTTTTCTAAGGTTGGGGAAAAGGCAAAGCCATTGAAAGTTCAAGGGCTTTTATTTTCAGCTTGAAACAGGGTTTTGTGAAGATTATAAAAAGACCTTTTCATTGGAAAGAAAAGTAAAAAACATCCAAATTTCGTTTAAATTCTTGAATTAGGGCTTTCTAAGTTTGACGTGTTAGGAAATATTCTTTGCTGTTTCTGTTTAATATTTTAGGACAGAAGAGAGAAAGGTTTAGCTACAATGAAAGAACTGCTACGTCAGAAAACTTACCAAGGAGCTCTGTCCAAAATTAGCTCTCCTTTGGATCCGAGCTTCAAACTACGACAGTTGAAGTATGTTAAGCTTGTTAGAGGATGTTATAAGCACTTAACAGTGGCAAGCTACTTTTCTTTATTTAATTAAACCTTAGTGCAGGGCTATATAAAAGCGAGGGCACAGGTTTAGCCATATCAAAATATCGTACTGACTATGTTTTCTGTCCTGTCCTAGCCACTAAGTTAAATTTCAGTGATGCCAACGAAATCAAACCCAAAGAAGTGATTTGAATTAATCACTGCGTTTTTTCCCATTCCATTTCAGTATCGACCAATGCAAGTTTATGGATTCGAAAATGCGGCCGTTGTATTTGGTGTTTGAAAATTTAGACGAGATGGGAGATTTTGTGCGTATAATTTTCAAAAATGGCGATGGTAAGTGTTTACTGTACAGTGTATAGGTCGCTTAATGGAACTTCTGTCATTTAGCCATTAGTCATCACGTCTTCGCCAGCAGCAACTGATGGCAAACTCGAGATTCAAGTTGAAAATTTCTGAAATTAGGAAATGAACGGATAAAAAGTATCTGGAGAAAATTCTTATCGATGAACCTGACATTAAACTGTTTATTTTTGTGTAGATATAATGAAAGGGAAAACTGGTCACCAGGGAAGCTACTTTTTGCTGTTGGTAATGATGAATTAAAAACTGTCCTTTTCCGGTCCGTAGTGGCAAATTAATTGTTTGAGGGACTCCTTTGTTAATCTTCAATAATCTGTGAAAAGGCTGCGACATGAATATACATAGTGGTCGAGGGCTACCAGTAACTGGTGATATAATAGAGAATGATGCTAGTACCGTAAACTGGTTTTGATAAGTTCCCCTACTTACAATTATTAGCTCCCCCCTCCCAGTTAAAGGCCCATCTATCGGTGAAAAAAAAAAAAACGTTCTATTATTAGCCCCCCTCCCTTCAAATGTATTGAAATGAAATTGATTTATTATGACGTTTTGAAGCCTAAAACACCAGTAAATACAAAACGTATTTTGATCAGCACTGCTATAGCTCTATTCCGATTATTAGCCCCTCTCGGATATAAGCCTCTCCGTTTATAAACCGTCTTAAAACTCCTTAGGAAAATTTATAAGCCCAGGGCTTATTAAGCAATAGCTTTTGGTATTCAACATGTCACCAGCATGGAGAGCTGAAAATAATCATTCTTCGGTCTTAAAGGCCATTAGCCCGACTAAGTCACCACTTTGGTCGGACGAGACGAAAATGTGATCGGACTCAATCAAGAACGCATTTAAGTAGGTGTCTCTAACGAAAATGCCGGATGCATGGTAGTCGTAGGATTCGCAGTTAGACCTTTACTGCATTGATTGGGAGCAAGGGATGGTGCAAAGGTGAGAGCCTTCTTCTCCTGGTTCTCTGGTGTTCCCCTCTCCTAAAAAATCAAACCAACATTTCCAAATTGCTTTTCGACCAGGAATCAGGGAGTTGATAAACCGCTTCGTGGATGTGCTACCTCTAAATAATTATTTATTTATTTGTAATGTTATTTGGTTGACATGATCATTCACACATTCACAAGGTAGACTGTGTTCCTCTGCACAGTGATAGTCTTTAGTCTTCAGTATTGACTTTGTCCGGATATGATGTGCAACCACAATATATTAAGATCGTTTCTAGGACATGGGCCGCTGACCGGCTGCTTTGCGCATGTGCCCAAAAGAAACGAAAAGAAAAAAAATGAGAGAAAGAAAAAGCTGGAAAAGCAAATATGAGTGCAGAAGGGGCCGAGACCATGCATCTACTGTACCAAGCTTATTAGTACGACTGAAATAAGTTAGATAAAGTCACACGAAAAATTGTATTTTTGTTTTGTTGTAAGGTATACTTAAAGTATAATGAGTTTTTTTTTAATAATTTGATCAGATCTTCGACAAGACATGTTGACTCTGCAGCTGATCAAAATCATGGATAGGATCTGGCAAAATGAAGGACTGGATCTTGGGTGAGTTGAAACTTTATGACGAGTTGAAACTTTTTTATCTGTGAAGGGACAAAAATGGCGTTGCCTGGCGTCCTTTTTCAGTTTCATTTGTTATCTCACACTTGTTAACATTGTGTATCATTTCAAACAGTGGGCTGATTCTATGCCTGTTTTTTGCTAGTGACCAGCGTTCCTCCACGGCTACCTTGATGACTTTCCGTTTGCAATCATAGTAACCCGCTGTAATGTTAAGCTCTTGCCAGATTCAAACGCTCGCTTTTATGTCAATTGATTGGTTGATCATAAGTTGCACTGCTTGATACGCTCTCAAATGTTCAGGTTTTTAGTTTAGGTAAAGCCTATGCCCGACTGTAATAACGGACCCATATTATCTGTATTTTCACTACTCTGTTTTTCACCTTTCAAGCATGATCCCTTATCGTTGTTTATCGACTGGTAGTTCCATTGGAATGATTGAGGTTGTTTATCAAGCAGAGACGTTAGCCAAGCTACAGAAAACCAAAGGAGTTACTGCTGCGTTTGGTAAAGACTCTATATGGGATTGGCTGAAGATATATAACGTCACTGACGAAAGGTTTGGATTGGCATGTTCTGCTTAGCTTAGTTTTAAGCCCTGATTTCTTTATTCCATATCCATTGTTGTGATTAAGCCTTCTGTGTTTTGAGTCAGACATGCATTGTATGACTTTTTACGGTGTAGTTTCTTACAGCGCAGCCTAATAATGAACCCATACACAGTCCATACACAGGGAAACCATACATCCCATTAGAATACAAAATCTCATTGATCCCGGGTCTGGAGACAAGAGTTTCACTAGGAAGGACATTGGACGGCTTGAAATTTAAAAAAGATTAAAATAATGAAGCCATTTTGTCGGAGGGATGAGTGACTTGTTTCACAGGGAAACCAGGCGACCGTGTGTATTTTTTAAATTTAAAATGGTTGTCACAAACATCGATAGACCTAGTGATACCGGCCTATCGCGGATATACAAGGAAACAATTCAGTTTGATTATGTTTGTCTAGTTTGTTAGAGGCAGTAGAGAGGTTCACGCTGTCCTGTGCAGGGTACTGTGTGGCAACGTATGTCCTGGGGGTCGGTGACAGACACAGTGACAACATAATGGTGAAGAAAACAGGGCAGGTAAGTTTAATAACCAATCAGAACTGATAAAATATAACTCGCGGGAAAGATCTCGTGACCATACTCTTTCCACTTTTAGTCAACGTGTCCCTCGGTAGTTTGCCCCTGAGAAGAGCACAGACCTCGTGATGGTTTCAGCCTCTAAAGGTTATAGTTGTCGAGAATTGATTCAAATTAAAAGAGAATAACAGCCGCATATCGTCACTTTTAGTTTCGCCTCACCCCAGGACTGCCGCCCGGTTAGCTCGATTGGATAAACGCCTGTCTGCTGAGTGGCAGACCGCTGGTTCAAACTTCAGCCAGTCCAACACTCCGTCTTCTCTGTAGGCCCTGGGTTGCAACCCCTGGAAATATGATGAATTCTGTAGTATGTTAGAACCCATACGCCGTTTGTTAAGAGTTGGGGATATAGTCCAAAGTGTGCTGGTCTATGTCAAATTCACACTCATGACAGTTTGGTAAAAGTTTCTTAACCAGTGCTGTAAATTATCCCTGGAGAACTCTGCGGGGAGTGGATAGTAGATAGTAATATTTTCTATGACAGTTTGGTAAAGGTTTGTTAGCCAGTGTTGTAAATACCGCCGCCTGGTTAGCTCAGTTGAGCAGGAGGTCGCGGGTTCAAACCCCGGCCGAACCAACACTTAGGGTCTTAAAATAACTGAGAAGAAAGTGCTGCCTTTGTAATGACATCTGCAAATGGTTAGACTTTCTAGTCTTCTCGGATAAGGACGAAAAACCGTAGGTCCCGTCTCACAGCACTTTCACTGATCTGTTCTTGTGGGACGTAAAAGAACCTACACTACTGTTCGAAAAGAGTAGGGGTTGTAGACCCGGTGGTGTGGCCAACCTTTACGGGTTGTGGGATTGGGTAGGGATGGCACCTTGCATGGGACCTATGAGTCCCGTTCGTGCCTATTCCCTCTGGGCAGGCTTGTGTCCAGAAAAGCTTGCTAAACAAAACAAAACAAATAAATTATCCCTGGAGAACTCTGCGAGGAGTGGATAGTAATATTTTCTATAATTTTTGTTGCTGATCGGACAGAGTGACCGAAGAATTTATCCCAGTCCATTGTGTTTGTAATTTATTGTATAACTGTTCATATTCCTGCTATTCCTGCTACAGCTTTTCCACATTGATTTTGGACACATCCTTGGAAATTTTAAGAGCAAGTTTGGCGTTCGAAGAGAAAGGGTTCCTTTTGTGTTAAGTGATCAATTCGTTACTGTGATTTCTGAAGGTAAAGGAAAGGACACGCCCCAGTTTGAAAGGTAATTGTTAACTTTACTATAGAGTGTTTTCACTCACGTGACCAGCATTTATGCAAATCTATTGGAATGATAGAAAGAGTTTACACAGGAAAAGAGTTCAACTCCCACAGGATTGGTTTGTGACACCAACATGGCCGCCGTTTCACTGTTTTGGGACACCAATATGACCGTCGTGACGTCATATGAAAACACGCTACATAATCAAACCTGTAAACGAATCAGGTTTTGAGAACTAATTCAGACACCTTTAATAACTAGTTCGTTAAAAGCTATCCTCACTGAGGCGAGTTTCCACAGAATGAAAATGTTAGCGGGAAGTGGACAGAGACCGCTTTGTTTCTTTCAACCAAAGTTGGATGAAACAAATCGGAAAAACTCAAAGTAACAGTTTCTCAAGGTGTAAGCTACTCACGTGACTTAATTTTCAAGGTCTCACCTAAAAGATACACTTAATGTACAACAAGGCGTGCCGAGACAATGAGCGAGTAGTTTCTGTTCAAGTTTCTCCTCGAGAAAAACACGGTAGAAAAAGAAGTAGGCACCCGCGTGGATCTCAACAGTTCTCAGTCCCCTATCGCGAGCTATTGCGTGTGCTTCTTTACTAGGTAATAAAAATATATATGTAACTATATTACATGAAAGGTGGACGCCCTTAGATAACTTTTTTCATCCGGGATTTCGGGCCAAGTAACCTGCGAGAGCATCCGGTTTTTTCGGCTTAAGTTTCTAGTTTCACCCGGTTTTTCTCGGCGGGTGAAACTAGAAACTTGAGACGAAAAAACCGGATGCTCTCGCAGGTTACGGGCCAAGGAGTAAATGAAAAATCGTTTAAATTGTTTTCACTGGCGGCTTCTTGTCATATAACGTTTTTGACTTTTGCAATGATGTTGTGTTTTTAGGTTCAAACAGATCTGTATAAACGCTTTTCTAATTCTCCGCCGTAAAGGACCTCTTCTTATCAACTTGTTTGTCATGATGTTATCCGCTGGCCTCCCAGAACTACGTTCGCTTGATGACATTGGTTACTTGCGCAAGACTCTGGTTTTGTCTCTCACAGAGGAAGAAGCCGTGAAAGATTTCCAGAAAAAGTTTGATGATGCTCTTAACAACAGCTGGAAAACTTCGGCCAACTGGTTAGCGCACAACTTGAAAAGAGATAATCCTTAATCAGGACCAATGCAGTTCTAGCTTTAGCTCACGTTACATTGCATCATATTAGCCTTAGATTCAGCAAGTGCTCTGGAACACTTTCCTGTACACGTTAGTTTCCTCTTGGTATTCTCCTGTGAGCATTCCTTGGAAACAATTCAACCTGCAAACTTGAGGAGCACTCTAGGCCAAGTTATTCTCAGGCCCTGTAACGCGTTGATATGGAGAAAACGTGTGTCGGGTATTGACCCGCCTAGATATAAACACTGGCTCGCCCAGTCGGGTCAACATGCTTTGTCGAAACGAGACAATCAAGGCATGCGCGAGCGCTGTTGTAAGGGTCGTAGCTCTGGCAAAGTAGTTAACCTCGCTAAAGTTGACACTGCGGGAAGGGTGACCGTCTTTCCCTGGACAACTTTTTTCCATACAAACGGGACCTGAAAGCGTTTCGTTTGCGTTCATTCATATTAGAGTTTTCGCACACTTTGATGATTGGTATCCATTTCTAAAATGTCATAACGAAGGCAAAGTTTTAGTAAAACTTTTTTTAACGATCGGTTTTCCATCGTTTCAGTATAATATAGGCTAGGGCATATTGCTCTGTTTTTTTTTTCACAAAAGTGAAAACAGGTCTTAGAAGTGTGAATTATTTCGAGTCAGTTTAATTGCTCGTCAGTAGTGCTTTTATTAAAGTTTAGTCTACTTGATAAATACATCGTTAGATAAAATAACATGATCTCTGAATACGAGGAAATATTTTTTAAAAAGTTGATATTTCGGTTTAATCCAAAACCATTTTCAAAATTATGAAAAAAAATTAAAAAACTTGCTGAGTTAAATGCAAGTATTCAAATTATCAGCCACAAAACGGTTCATTTAGTCGCTTTGTAGGGGCTTTAGATATCTTGTGGGATCTAATGATGAATGAGTAGCGGGAAACAATGTTTAGGTTACTAGGATTGGAGTGTTACTAAAAGGTGATATTACACGAGACGATTCGCAACGACGATTTTTAGCGCAACACAGCGTTGCAACATTGTTCCAACATTGCAACGCTGTGTTGCGCTAAAAATCGTCGTTGCGAATCGTCCCGTGCAACATCACTGTTACGTCTCGTATGTTTAGTCAGCGAATTTATCCGGGTCTCTCCTGGCCGCGAGGGAGGTTACGCAAGAGCGGTGAATTGTGAGGAGAGACATCTATATTTGCAGTCTAGCGTCAGTCTAGCGTATGTTATGTTATTTTGGAATTCCCCAAACGGCTCGGCAAGCTACTTGGCTTGGTTGCATTTACTCCACTCTGTTGGAGTTCTCTGGACTAAAATGAGAATAGAATATTGTTACAATTTTTTTAACGGCGCTGCAGTATAGTTAATTTGTAAGATAGATGTATTTAGCATGTGGCGTAGTTTTGACTACTATTGTGGTGTTACATAATTTATGTACAATTTTTTAGGTAGGTAGGTAGGTAGTTAGGGCCTGTTTACATGGAGGTGGAGGACCCCTGGTTGGTGAGGTATTATGTGGCATGTAAACAGGTCCTTAGGTAGGTAGTGTGTGAATTTTTCTAAAAAAAGAATGCTTTTTGCAAAATATTAGTTTGGGAAAAAAATGAACTTGAATTTTAATAAACTCATCAATTTGATGTAAAATGTGAAATTCTCACTCCCCCAAGAGTTTGCATTTTTCAAAGCAAGTCCAGTATGATTATCGTCTTTTTTCTTTCTTTCTTCGTCCGAACACCAGTCATGGACAAATGGTGTAGAATTATTGAAGGCAGTTAGAGCTGTAACATCGTTCATCTCTCAAACGTCCTTGAAAATTTAGTGCCGGGACAGATCGTAACTTTTACTTCTTGTAAGGTGTAGATTGTAACAACTATAAATGACAAAGTTAAGACTGAGCAGCGGAAACACCGGTAAACACTTAGCCGTGTTATCAAAAAGTAGTTACCACACACGGATACAGATATTTGGCAACAACAAACTGCTTTTACCTGCCAACTATGCTGTTATAATCTTCTTGTCAGAGCCAGTTGTTAAAGAAACAAGAGTCGTAGGAACACAGACTACAGATCATTGAAGTTTTTGTTTTTCTTTTGACTGAATTTTGATCAACCATGTTTACCGGTTGCTTTCGATCTTGTTTTTGTTGTTGTTGTTTTTTGCTTACGACATGTGACCGAATAGGTCTCGTTTGACTTTGAGGGAAGGACGAAAAAACCCAGGGAGGAAATTGTACTTAGTCTCTTATTCCTAATCGTCTTTAGTATGAAATCTAGCCTCCCTAAATGCATTGCATACAGTTAAATTGAACTTTAAAAGAGGTTCAGTCATGTCGATTATGACATTAATAATTTTTACTAGTAAAAGGTTTGAACATTTTAAATAAAATACCGAGTACTTCGGTGTCAAGTCAATAAAAAGGATATTGAAGCTGCCATGTGTTTTCTTTGTTGTTTTTGCTTTAGAGGGGGGTTTCTAATAATCCCGATAGATTATCTGGCAGCTGTTAATAATAATCTTCAATCCTTATTGGTTGCGTGAATCAAATTCCTGATAAACTATTGGTGGATTAAAATAATCCCTTATCAAATTTCAATAGGGTACAGCCATATTGGATGTTTATAAATGATATTGTCTTCAAAATGTTTACAGATTAACAAATTTCAGGGCTTTCATCTGTGAAACATTTGCTCTCGAGCGGGAACGAAGAAGAATGGAAAGCGAGGAACCCTCAATTCACTTCAATTGCTTCGTGCATTATCCAGGCTTTACGGAAGAGGGGCTAGAGGAACAAACTGTCGCGCGCGGAAATGGTATTCAACTATCTCCCAAGACTCAACTTTCTAGTCTCGCAGCGAGCGTTTTGAGCGAGATGTTTCAAAAGCAAGAAATTGACGGCAAAGTTATAATGAAAGCGGACAACGCGAAAGGTGAGTGCGTGAGATTTGCTCGTCCTTAGATTTGCATTGTTACTCGTACCTGTACCTGTTGTAGAGTTCAGCGTCAAACTGGCCTTAAAATACTTTTAATGATATCCGTGCTCATTTTATTGATCTGCTTTCATTAGAAATAAAATCGGCCATGCGCGTCCATATGAAAGGTGAAAACCATCAGAAGAGATTCCCGTTTTCGGAAGAAACATATCGGAAAATACTCTCCTTACAAAGGAATTGTTGCTCATCCATTGACCTGCTTTTAAAAAGAAAATATCACCTGGTGAATGTTGCGTTAATTTCAACGTGTTGTTCCAAGAATACGGACGTTTTGAAAGGCTAGTTTTTTTAAATCACCTTCAGTGATGTTAAGTATCAGAGATGTAATTTTCTAGAAATAATTTTTGTCCTTTAGAAAAAATAAAGAATCCTAGAGAGCTTGAGAAAACCTTCACATCATGAAACTCAATAATTAATTACTTTTAAATCAATTATCCACATCTTTCCTGCCGCCTGTTTATTTTCTCTTCCCCATAGTAAGCAGTGTCATAAAGTACCGTCTTAAACTTCTGGTGTTATCATGCGTACGCTGAAAGGATGAAAATGTTATTTGATTTGGCAGTGAGTAGGGGGTGAGGTGGGTAGAGATGAATGGCACCCCTCCCCACCCCACCCCTCACAAAGACACATAGAAGGAAAAGGTTTCATGAACACAAGGCTGTGCTCTAAAGAAAAATAAATTGAAGGGAGCGTAGTGTTCTGAACCTGCGAAATCCAGGGTGCCCAGAAGATATGCTCTCTATGAAAAAAGTAAAGTTTTCAAGGTGCTCGTGAACTAGCTACAAATCATGCCGAAGTTCAATGCATACTTTAGGTACATTTGTGTTTATAAGATTGATGTTTACTATTTACGGCTGTTACATTTAATTTCCATTCACGCTCGTTACTGCTTTGTACCACTTAATGACATTTATGAAACTGAACCCCTGGGTAATGCTCCCTTATCTGTCAAATATGATCCCCCAAAACCAATGAAGATTTTGAAAATGACCCCCCAGTAAAATGGTCAGCCCCTCTCACAGGCAATAAGTGACCAGTCCCTTAGGTCAGCTCCTGGTTATTTGGTAGGAGTGCATCACATTTTTTATGAGCTGGTTTTACTATCTTTGGTTTTATTAGTGAGACATTCAAAATGTTGTTGAGCCTGCTAGAATTGTAGCCAGATTTAATTAGTGCAAATTTTTTTGGAAATGACTTGATTTGTTGGTAAAACTTTTTGTGTGGCCAAAGTTAAAACACGATGAACAACACTTTTAAAACGGCAAAACAAAAATGATAGAATACTTTTCAACAGGTCAAAGAACTGATTTTGAAGTTGAATATTATTTTACGAAACCTAATTATATAGTGTTTGAGACACAGTCTTTAAAGCCATACCTTAATGGGACCATGGTACAGATTGGTGTACTGAAGCAAGAACAGCCAGTTATATCCTTTGAATTCTTGAATTCCTTTCTTACATGATATTTGGTAAGGGTATTGTTATCAAGCAGATGTTTTTCTTTATTCCTAAAGTTCAAACTTCCTGGTGTGGTTTAACTCACCATGTGATGTACAGTCAAAGCTGCATGACCATTCATAAAGAAGTTCAAATTTCTATCAGCTTCATTATCAATTCTTCCTTTTTTCCTTTTACTGAAAGCTTCAGTATCGTTTGTTTTCAAAGAATTTTGTAATTTATTGGATTTGTTTTTCTTCCAAGTTTCCATTTTGAGTAGTCACACTGTAAATTTAACAATGCTTGTAAGCAACGTAACTGTCTTGCTCTGAAACAAACATGATCTTAGCTCTAAACATGGTGGTAATCTTCTTCTTAATCTGTTTGTTAACAGTGTTTATTCAAGTGCGAGACCACTGGAAACCACATCCACTAGCAGATTTCACTAGAGAGGGAGATTTGGAAGTATCTTTACATGAAACGTTTGGAGAAATATTGTTTGCCAAAGATGCTGTGATAAGCATTCATGTCCATCTGTGTTACGAGTAAGTCTGTTATTTTAATACATCATATTACGTACCTTCTTGTGGTTCTGCCAGAACCTTGATATAGCAAACAACAATCGCCTGCCTTTCGTTAAATCAAGGTTCCACTGTAGACCATTCTTAACCTTAAGTGACCTCTGGTAGGGTTCATACAGAGTCTTGAATTTTCCAGACCTGGAAAAAGTCTGGAAAATGAAGGTAAAGTCTGGAAAAGTGGTAAGAAGTCTCGAGTTTTATATTCAAAGCTACAACAGGTGCTTTATATAAAGTCTGGAAAAAGTCTTGAATTTTGGATCCAAAAATCTGTACAAACCCTGTCTGTTAGTCTCCCTCGCGGCAGTTTTTGTCTCATCACATAATAGTCCTCCTCAACAAACAGCTGATAACATTCAAAACCACATTCCTTTCCAATAATTGTTTCGTTCATCCACAGAAATGACCAATCATTTATCAGTAAACTGAAAATAACGCCAATTTTTGCACAAAGAATGCGCTTCTGTGATTTCCGGTTGCATCAGAGGTGTCAGCCGTGATGGGCCAGGTTCTATTTTGCTAAATTATTAAAACTGAATCGAAGATTGAGGTTTTGCGTGGAAAAAACTGAAAAGCACTTTTTGCCCTGAAATGGTTGACTGTATAATGCTTGGTATAAAAGCTGGATCAAGCTGGACCATTGAGGGAATTTTTTTTTTGGCAAGAAACAGCTAATTGTTATCAGATTATTAGCATTTTTCATCAGTCCTGTCACATGTAGACGTAGACCAGATAAGATTAGGTAAAGCATACGCGTTTCTGAAATAATAATCATTTAAAGAATTGCAAAAAACACAAATACTGCTTTGAGTGGACATTAGTTTCAATTCTCACCGGGATAAGTAGTCAAATCGTAGCATATTCAAAACAAAAAATGTATATGACGAGGCAAATATTAACAACTTTCTAGGAGACAACTTGATGCCATAAATGATATGATAGAATACAGGTTTATAATGATTGGATGGCACGTGAAAGGATTATTTCGTGTAAAACAGTTCCAGAAAATAGAACCATAGCTGTGATTGGTTCAGATCGGGAAGGGAATGTGGTTCAAAGGTGAGCAGCTGTTTGTTGGGGAGGAGTGTTGTGTGACAAGCCAAAAATGGCTGCGAGGGAGACTACCTGTCTGTGGATTGGCCTTTAAATTTGTACTAAAATCTTTCTTTTTTGAAAGGTTTTTTCCTGATTTGAACAGACTATCCAGCATGAAAACTGGTGTAGTAGAAAAAGAAGCTCTCCCTTTAGTCTAAAGTTTCAGAACTACAAAAAAAAATACATTTAATTCAGACACTTGGTTGTTTTCACCTTACTTAGAAGCATCTGACCTGTATACTGCACAGTAAACTCTTTTAAAGGTGGACAATGTTGGGTTGAGCAGACATAGAGACATGTCTGCCTGATTGACAGGTAGTAAAAAAAAATGACTTAAGAGCCCGGTTATCCAGGATGGCTTGGCTCACGTCTTGTTTCCTTTTAAAGTTTCTGTTGTGTTTATATGAGGCTGGCCCGTTTGCCAAGATCTTGGCTTGAACAACCAGGACCTTGGGAAGTTGGGTCAGCCCACCATCTCATATAACACACAAGATTGTTATGAGGAAACAAGGCATGAGCTGAACTAGCCCTGTGAACTTGACTGGCTCATCTCATGTAAAAAGACCCTTTTAATTGCATTGATGTAATTAAATGCAGGTGGCCATTTTAGCGAGTTAAAATTACAAAAAAATAGTAACTGTATTTTTGTTAATGCAGTAAAGATTGGGACGACCAAAAAGTTAAGGCAGCTATCAAAAAGCTTCTAGAACACTACAGCCAAACACACCTGGAACGTATGATGTGTCCTTTTTCTCAGGTAATTTATTTTATTTTAACTTGGAATCTGGATAAACATCGACTGTAAAATTCCTTAATGTACACTGAAATGCTCTCATTCTTAATCTATACATTGTGTATTAACAAAGGTTGTTAATTTCTCCTGTTGCCTTAAAAAGGGAGCACAGTGTTCTTTTTAAAGTCAGGGTACATAAAAGGCATACAATCAACTCGTAATTGCTTGCCAAAAAACTGCATTAAAGCCAGAGGTTAAAAGTAAACAATAAACTAAATAGCCTGCTTTTTTTGCTTGATAGAAGATGTGTACGTTTTGGATAATAAGATTGGTTAGGAAAGAGTAAACCAAAAACATAAGAAATCAGGCCAAGATTTTCAAGTTTGATCGTTATTTTAAGTGGAAAATCACCTAAAATCATAACTTTCACCTTTGAGACTAAATGGTTTGTTGTTCTCCTGTAATTTTGCTTCAGTGAATGCAACATCATGGTTTTTTCCCAGTTTACTGTAGTGATACTGCCCTGTTATGGGAGCTTTTTTGTTTGTAATATTTATTGTTCCATCAACATTATTTGCCATGACTTGTCTCTGACATAATTATGTTGGGTGAAATAGTGTATTTTTTTTAAACAAATGATTTAAGTAAATGATACTTTTTGTTGTAGGGTATGCTGTCACAAATATCAAGAGACCAATATCCCTGCCGTCTTTCATCTGAAAAGATTAAGCTTTTTGCGGCGTGGTATGAACATTCTCAATTAAGCAAGGAACAAGAAGAGGAAGGCTCGATGTCTCCTGGAAGGAAAATGCTTTTCACTCCACGCGGGAAGAAGATTGTGTTCAATGCTGCAGTGGAAATTCCACTTTTGAGAAAGTGGTATGAGGAGAATCCTAAACCAGATCTAAAGGATTTAACAGGATATGCTGAAATCCTGAACAGTTTGGAAGAACGAAAGTCAAAGGAACAAGTACTGGCTCGTCATGTGAATACTTGGTTCAAAAATGAAAGAGCAAGGTTAAGGAGGGAAGGACTTTTAGAGGACTTGTCCAGACCTTCCATGGCTGTTGTAACTACTTCTTAGCCAATCATAATATTATTTTAAAACAAGTCTTATTAATGTAAAATATAATATTACATGTAAACAAGTCTTTTCTCTGCTAGCACAATGTACATTTTGTATCCTGTTAATGATCAACCCCTAATTTAAAAAAAATGATAGCAAAGGGGTTGGAGTAAGCACTTTCCCAAAAACAAAGCTGGCTGCTTCCAGGGAACTAGACTTTCTCAAAGGACATTTCCAATTTCTACCGTTTAGGTCGTCTGTTGGGAAACGGTTACACTGTTGCTATGGTGACCTTTCATTCTTGTGATTGCATGGGGACTATTCAAGTGAAAAAGACGAGTAAGTTGTGTTTAAATAGTTCATTCCAGTGCAAGTTTTGGAAAATGCTGAACAGTTTAGGGCGGCTATCGAAAATCACATGATAGACTACTAAGTTTTAGGAAGGAAAATGTATTGATAACTAGTAACCTTTTTTAATTGCAAATCTAGCTTATACCCTCTCACCTCTACAGAATCTGCAATGTAAGATAAACTGTTGGTTCCCTGCGTGATTTTTACCTTTTGATTTGCTCATGAAAATACAGTGGATATATACAGACAATATGAACAGTATTTATTGCTAAATTTCATATATTTATTTATTATTATGTACTATACATGTAGAAGACTCGCTTATGTCTAGCCTCAGATATGGATTTTCGCTGATCTATACAGCATACTATTTGTACACAATAAAAGACGGTAATAAAATTAAATTATGGAGCTTTTGAGTTGTAACCCATTCAGCTGAAACGGCCGAAACCGTCTGTAAGGAACCAATATTCAGCGTTGACGCTAACATTCCTTATTATTTGGGTGTCACCCAAATAGAGTAATCGAGTTCACTTGTGTTGATTCAAAGTTGCAATAGGCACGCGACACGTGCGAACGTAAACATGCCAAGCGACGCGAATGTCTGCCGCGCGCTGTGTTACAACACAACATTTATCTTCGTTACATTCGACCCACAGATAACGCACGGCAAACAAATCGGCAATAGCAAAAAAAGTTTTTGGAAAATCAAGGTAACTTGAGTGAAACAAACTATTAAATAATTCAAATTTTCCCTTTGGAAATTGATCTTCTTCGCAGCACACAGTGTGAATGGTTTGGCTTATTGCCAAGAGTTTGACAATATTTTTGCTCTCAGTTGTCGAGCGCCAAAGAAGATGTCACGCAAAATTCTATGATCTCATGCATGAGATAATTAAGGGTGACATTGAATGATGCATAATTTCGTTGCATATTTTTGGAAAGGAGGTGATTTCTTAAAATCTCATTCAATTTGCATTCATTGACGGTCGAACCGTAAAAGGGGCCGAGTCCAACATCTTCACGTCCAAACTGCGTTCTGTTTTTAAAACCTTGGGTTAATTAGATTTTGAGTCGTATCCTCTCATACACGAACCACGAAAGCGGCAAATTCCAAAGGTTTCACGTGCAAACTGTGTGACAACACAACTTACAGTAAGGGCCTGATCACATGAGCTGGAGGAGCAATGCGCATGAACAGAGTATTACCCGCCGTCCTGTTTCTCGCTTGGTTCATTCGCCGGGCCGCCCGGCAAGCTTGATTACTTGAAAAATTTCCACCCGCGATCCCAGCTAACTGGGCTGGCTCGATTGTCATATAATCGCAAAGTCGACGCCCAAATATACGCTCCCACAGCGTCTTGTTTTTATAGGAGAAGACTCTAACAGTTAGCATGATGGTTATCAATAGTCACGCTTCAGTAAGCTCACCGTATTTATTATACTCTTCTCATTGGCTAAGAGCCTACAGCTAATTTTGGAAATCAAAGCAGCCTACAGATTAGTTAGCTGATAACTGACCAATCTGTAGGTTGCGCGCGCAATGCATGATTTACAATAACAATATAAATTCAGGTTCTTTGTGACGGTGTGTTTGTCGTTATTTTCTTCAAAACAATGTATAATAAAACAATTGTTAGATTCGGTTTTTGTGATATCCTAAATCATCAACGTCTCGGTAAGTGTTATCAGCCTCGGCCTTCAGCTCGGCTGATAACACTTACCTGGACGTTGATTGTTCCGGATATCACAAAAACCTCATCCAATAATTGTTTAATATTAGCGAGCTTAAGGAATGACGTCGACGAAGGCAACGAGAACGGCAAAAAAGCAATAAGTTAAGATTGACAAAACAACTTCCCACGTGAATCGGGTCTTTTTTGTACATTTTTTTGTCGTCGTTGTACAACCCGACGTGAAAAGGTTTAATTTGACGTTTTTGATGAAAACGTCACTTAGAAATGGATGTGCGCTCTTTCAAACCCTATAGCGTATATTCACTCTCGTACAATAATTCGCGTAAGCGAATTTTCCAGGGAAGGAGCGTAGCTCGGACGTTTCGGGCTGGGGAGTCACACTAGGTAATACCCATGGTACTTAAGTAGAGCAAAAATACATTAACACCATGACTTTCTAGTCGTTTTGTTTTTATTTACGAATAAAATGCGGAGGAAGCTCCTCAAGATAAGGTCTTGCTGTTTTAAAGTAGTTTAGCCCATTGGATCGGTTTCCTGGTTATTTCAAGGTCGATGAATGTCTTTGATTGGTTGAATGAAAGCTGTTCATTTATTAATTCACGTTGTCGAAGGAATAAGCGAGCCGTAACGTAATTATCCTCCTCTTCCTACAAAATGTCGGCTGTTTTTCCTGCTACTGAACTCCTCCTTAATTTTAATTGTTTTCCCTCCTGCTCCTCCTCCTCATCCTCAATTTTAATTGTATTCCCTCCTCTTACTTATTTTTAGTGTTTCCGTCTCTAACGGGACTAATATCATAACCATTTCCCATCTAAAAGAACTGTGTTAAAGCGAAAGGCTGATGTGGGGTCAATGTTTGGTCGATGTAGATTCGATGTGGGGCCAGTGGATGTAGGGTCAATTATGTGTAAGTGGAGGAGGAGAAGGATGGGGGGATCTAGGAGCGAAAACAATGGAAAAAATGAGGAGCAAGAGGAGCAAAAACAATAAATAATGAGGAGGAAGAGGAGGTGGATCTAGGGAAGGAAAACAGTAGAAATGAGGAGGAGGGGAGGTGAGGTAAGTGCTAGAAAGAGCTAGTTTGCCTTCGAACTCATTCACAATGATTTGTGCGCTTATACTCCGTGAACCGGAACTAGAGCAATTTGTACAATGTTGTCTGCAATGGACAATGAAAGTGGCAGTAAATAGGACTCGCACAACTACGTTATGGCTCAGTAACTTTGAGTAACAGACGAATTAGTGCTTATTCCCTTGACAAAATGAATTTACCAATGAATAGTTTTCTTCGTTTTTAGTCAACCAGTCCAAGAAAAACATTCATCGATCTTGAAATTATTAAGAGACCTATGAGATTCCTCAGTTGACCTCCAGAATTTATATATTTATAATTTATATGCCATCCTGTGCAAGTTAATGACACTCCTGTGCAGCAAAAAGGGTTTTCATCCCTACTATACTACTTTCCAGATGTTCATGTCAACGTCTTTGCTGTAATTTAACCAAAAAAACATCTTTTAGGATAAGCAGTAAGTGATCATTAGTAAGTAGGGCTTTCTACAAGTTGCTCGGTAACTTTTTGGCAACTTCTCGTATTTCGAGCAATTTTTTTTCGTTTCGAGTAACTTTTTGGATTCTGAGCAATTTCTCTAGTTATCGTCTAATTCTGAGATATCGAAACAGCTTTTAGTGCTTAAATTCACCTTTCTTTCATATTTCACAACGTTTTAGTAGACAATTTATGAATTTCCTGTAAAACAGGGAGCCAAATCAGACAAATCATGGGCGCAAGATAAAAGTAGCCGGGCTGATAGGTCAGCGGTTTTTGGAGAAGATTCAAAATGGTGGACGAAGACTCACACTCGACTAAGTGAAGTCGGTCATTCTACAACTTTATCAGCTCATTACATTTTTTTTGGTTTTAATTGAAAACAAAATTATTTAGCAACACTGGTTACGCCCCAAAATTGCACAAAAATGCCCAGAAATCTTACTTTTGTTGTACAATTTGCATATTTTAGCATAGACCAAAAAACGTTTTTGTTCTTTCGAGCAGCTTTCGTTACAAAAAGTATCCTGTTAGCAGAGTCACTTCGATCTTTCCTAGATAAGCCGACTTATCTAGGAAGATCGAAGGAGACTCTGTTCGCAGGGTATACAAAAAGCAACTTTTGATGGTTTTTTGAGCACCTTTTAAACAACTTTTTAAGAAATAACGGGAAACTTTTTGGAAAATCTCGAGCAACTTGTTAAACATCCCTACTAGTAATGGCTAATAAAAAATTCGCAGAATAATTGAAACAAGACCCGAAAAATTGGGCTGCCGACTGCGCGATGCAGAGGTTTAATATTTTGGAACCTATAAATTATAATTACACCTTTTTCTCGCTCCTGTCCCATGGAATGGGATATGTAGAGATTAATTATATCTATTGTCATTTTGAAGTATGATCTTCTAGTCCTGAACTGTCATGAGTAGTGACTAAAAGGTTTAAACTTCAAGATAAAGCGAAGAAAAACCTTAAAAGGAACTCTCGTACATGTCGTAGCATCGGATTTTCTTATTTTTAGGTTTAAACATGAGACTAATACCATCTAGCAAGAATATTAGTTTTCGGAATAAGTCTGTTTTGAAATGACCCACCCTCCCCCTAATAAGTGAAAAGGTGCCCCCATCGTAGCGGGTGGAAACATAATTTGATCCGTCTCCCATTGCCCTTTACAAACGTTTCACTAAGAATCTCACTGGAATAGTGACACCATACAGAGTTTCATCCACGGATTCAAGAGCTCGAATAAGAGATATTCTGTACCCTGTATTGGAGGCGTATTTTTTGGCGAGCAAAAGCTGCTTGTTTTCCTTGTTTATGTTCGCTCTCTCCTCCACAGAAGCCTCTTTGTGTCGCAGGGAGGCTGGGGAGAGGGAAAAGAGAAAGCGCGTGGTGGACGATGGTAACCCGGCTGGAGCCTCTGCTCTGGCGGAGCAAAGAGTTATGTTCGCCGTACCGTGGCCGCCATCTTTGATTTTATCACTGAAGAAGATTGGGGAGAGTAGAAATATCAACCCTTGCGGTCGAAGTTAGGGGGAAAGAATTCCCACCCCTCTTTGACTTGCCCCAACTCCTCTCCATTCTACAATTCAACATAGTGGTTGCGTGTGCACACGTGTAAATGCAAACCCCAAGAACCTGAAAACACCTGCAACGCAGACTAGTCTATTTGCAATGCCAGCCAGCCTTTGACTTGCCCCAACTCCTTTACTTTTTTTAGAATTCAACATGGTAGTTACATGTACACACGTGTAATTGTAACCCTAGGAAAAAGTTAACGTTAGATAACATCGGGTGAAGCCAGGTTGGACACCTTATGAGGTTTACACAACTCTTCATTTTCTTAACGCAAAGATACTGGAACAGAATCCCGTTAGAGAATTGTAGAATTGCTGAAAAAAGCCAAAACAGCATAGCGCCAATTAAGCAGTAATTAGGGTTAAGCACTGAAGTGAAAACGGTTAGCTTTCCAACATTGTAATGGAATATTGCATATATTTAAGTACATGTATACAGTCTAACCTCTCCTTACGGACACCTCTCTATTACGGACAGTTCGTTTGGTCCCAGAAATGCCAAAAATCCTACGTTCCCTACCTCTATAATACGGACACCTCTGTAAAACCGACAATTGGTTCTGTCCCTTTGGTATTAAAGAGGTTTGACTGTAACTGGATTTGGCAGCTAGTCCTCGATGGTGTAGCGGATATAGATGTGGACTATGAAGCAAATGACCCGGGTTTAAAGCATCCCAGTGGTGTTTTTCTATCTTACATTATACAGTTAAGTTGGACTTAACCCATTCGCCCCTGAACCACCCGTAACCGCCCGTGCCGATCCAGGTCCTTTCTACCCTTTGTGACGTCATCAGTTTTAACGGTCAAGGACAACTTTCTTCGCTAACTTGTGCAGAGTGAAGAGATCTTTCAAACCATACCAGAATGAGCACAATTCAGTCAAGGACACCGGAGAAAGAAGCAAAAAACCACGTGACAAGGACCTGAAAATCTCCATGAAAATCTTGTTCCATTACCCATCTACCTTTCCTTTCACCTAATCCTAAGATCCTAAAAGCTTTTCTAAAAACTCTTCCCACCAAAATGAAGCCTACTAAACGCCCAGCAAGAGAAAAAAAAAAATGAGGCAAGAAAAGCGAAAAAAGAAGGGAGGAGAGAAAGCGAAAAGTAAAAGTCAAGACTGCTGTGTCACTTTTAAACCCAGAAACTGTCGAAACTTTGCTTTCTGCGCATGCCCGAACTTCGCAAGCTGATATTTTGCATCTGGATCAGAAGGCCGCCAAGTGTACGACCTGTAAACCGGTTTGTGGTAAGTTTTAGCTCTTTATAGCACGACAGTGACCAGAAAACCACACGACTAGCTTCAAAACGCGTTTTTCGGCAAAATCTCCAGGAGCGAATGTGTTAAGTTGTTCTTTATGCAATTTTACTGAAAGAGGCAATCTAGGAAAATCCAGACTGGCTTCTCCCAGCTGAGTTACCACGCACCCAGGCAACCACGCCTTTACCGTAGTGTTCACACCGCGCCGGTCAAATTTGAGTCTCCCTCGCAGCCGTTATTTGGATGTAGCGTTGCGTGACATCCAAAAACCGGCTGCGAGGGATACTAGTCACATTTTCGACCATTCAAAATGTAAAACGGCTGGGCGTCTGAATTTTCGTAAGGTTCAAGTGGTGCCGTGTGAATGTCGAATCAAGGGAACACTAGGTAAATAAGATGCCGCGCTTCACAAACTCACAATGCTTAGTTATTCATTCAAACATTAATTTATTAATTTCTTTTCTGTGGCACAAAATATGGATTCTCTGTTTCCTTTCCATAATAATTATTACAGTCTTGTTCTGCTGTCAGTCGTATTTACAGTTTAGAAGTACCCAGCAGAACTGTTCTGCTGACATTTATTTCATTTTGACCGCTGCTGGTCACTTATTGCGGCTCAAATGCCGTACAGTTCATCCGCACAGCTGATAAGTGTCCACTATGTGTGCAAATCAGAAGCGCATTCGCATTCCGAGCTGCTGCTTTAGCAAGAATTACATTTAGACCAAAGAACAGACATTCTTCGCCATTCCCAGGCGCTTGATTTCCGTCTGCAGACTCTGACCCTCGCATACGTCATAAATAACTCCTCGTGGAGGAGCACTCTTGCGTCTGGATTCCAGTTTCTCTCTATTTTATGCTGAATTCACCAGCGATAATTAACCAATGTTTCATGTTCGTATCATTCAATTGCACCTCGGAGGTTTTTATTGTATGTGTGTGTGTTTGTAATTCATTTCCACAGCACTTGCGTTAGCTCTCTTCCCCAGTCTCCTCTGGGGCACTCTTGAGCCAGCGAAAAAACTCGGAAGCGGCAGTAACAGTTACACCTTTGCCGGGTTCTTCGTCGGAGCTGTTTTCCCAGGCTTTGAAAGAATCTTCTGTGATAATCTCTTCATCATATAAACTATCAAAATAGGATTTGACAAAACCTGCAAAAGAGAAGGAGAGACAAATAAACATGAATTTTGACAAAATAACGTTGATACGACTGAAAGTTTTTTTTACATATTAAGCCAATATGCTCCAAGCCCGAAGAGTCTTTGTGCTTTTACCTCGACGATGCTTATAACAGAGGGTAATGACTGACAGGGCTGTGCAACGTGTATGTGAGACAAAGTGATGAACTATCTTTAACTTTGACTGTTAATGAGTTTGTTTTAAAAAACAAGCAGGTTTCAGTCAGACCCACCCTGACTGCTTTACTTAAGAGTAGACAAAACAAACACTGCTCCTTTATCGGTTGGATAAATCAGCTTTCAACAAGACCTGTTTATTGGGACTACAAATCAGCCGCATCAGTGACTGTTTTATCACATTTTTAGACATTCGTATCGAAATGTTTGATAAAAGGGAGAAGTACATCATCCCTGGACACGGTCAAGAGGCCTGGTCAAGAGTGCTCTAATTGATTCTATACAAAACATAATACATCTGTCCGTGAAACCAGTTACAATTACTAACACATTCAACTTTCAAAACACGTAGTTGATGGAATCTTTGGGGTACGCTTGACTTGGCTTGGCATCAAGGTCTAGTTGCTCTGACTCGCAAGCAGATTTTCTCTTGAAAGATCTTCACGGCCCCATAGGTTACATTAGCTTTAAAACGCACCGTGTTTAAACAAAAGATATTGTTGTTGTTGTTGAATTACTAGTGAGCATTTAAGATTCTTCCCGCCACTTTCATAAGGACTGTGTGTAGAAGTAAGACGAATTTAGCCCATTAATTATTCTTACTTGGAGGATGATCCAGCTGAACGAAAAGTGCCTGCACTGCGTAAACAGCTTGGATTTCCAGACTAGCGTTGTCATCAATGTATTTTTGAAGAAGAGGCTTCCTCTCCTTCAGGATATTAATGTTACATTTGCAAACGCCTCCATCTTCTGTTAAAGAAGTAAAACAAAAATGTGAACCACTCTAAAAAGGGGATAAAAAATGGGTTTTAATCCATGTCCATCCTTGCCATCCCCAGCAAAAGGCGACAGGAAAGAGTTTCAATGCCTAAATATTATAGCATAAAAGAACTGGGCCATTATGTTTGGAATTCAATCGACGTGAAGACAAGGCACGTTTAGAATTTTTTTGGCCTGCGTCGCAGACGCTCTAAACCTTTGGTATAGGATAAAAAATAGCGTGACATAACTGCTTTAATGTTAAATGAGATATCACCGACTGCATTACATGATATATGAGCCATTCACAGAGGACATGTGCACTCCTTTTACATCAACTTACAAATCTAACAAACGAAAATACCCAATGGCATTAGCCATAACCAACCCCTACTCCCTGAGTTCTTAGACACAAGGACGGTAGAGTAGGCGAGTGGTTACAGGGCTGGATTTGGAAGTCCACTCCAGTTGCTGGATGTCCCGAATTCAACCCTCGGCCACAGCTGTAAACACCCAACTTGTTTGTCTCTCTTTGGCCTGTTGGGATTCTATTTCTTACTTATTATTTTTACTTATATTACTTGTTTCTGAACTGGTTTATGGACAACAATGTCAACCACTGGGCTACCAGTAAACGTGTAATGCAGCATGAGCTTGGCAAGAGCAAAATTTGTGTTATAATAAAAAAGGTAATTTCTCAACTGAAAACCAGCCCACATAGTACAAAATGAACTATCAAGGAATATGGAGCCCGTGTTAAGAAAAAGGGACCAGTAAAATGTGATGTGAAAAATATTGATGAGTAGCGAAACAGGATGTAAAGAAAAGGAGGTTTATTGATAAAATTACCTCTCTCCATTGCTCCTTCACAAACAACTGTTACTAAGGCCCTAATAAATGGAGGCGCCTTTGCATCTTCTGAGGAAACATTCTTCTGCAGAGAAAATAACAGAAGAAATAAGAGGTTGGGGTTGGTCGTTGATATCTGGGAATAACGCAAAAGAAAGAGTCTCCAGATTTTAGGTCTCCACACCTGGTTGGCATCTCTGCCATTGGCCAAGATCATTCACAGACAATAAAATGGGAAGAACGATGAAGGCAGTCTTTAATCTTAAGCAATGTAATTTTAATTTTAAACTCTTGAATTTCATTTGTTCCTTGATGTCACTTATTGATTATGGCAGCTTGAACCTTGTTGGTCCCCAACTTTTAACACAAGCAAACAAACAAACATACCGAAAAAACATATGTCATCAAACAACAGCCATGGTTCAATAAATATTCAAAAGTAATTTTACTTACATCAATCCAGTTAAACACCTCATCATTTCTTGCTTTTCTTTTCAATATAAGAGTCCTAAGTTCTTCTTGTATTCTAGCAGAATGTTGATTAGATGAACCAGTATTAAGAGATGACTTGCCTTGTCCAAGAGCAAACTCGATATTCTAAAGAAGAAAAAAAGGAGTGTGACTATTAAAGGAGGAATGGGAAAAAAGAGGAAAAACTCGTGTAGTAAACTTAACTATTAAATGGACAATCCCTATTACAGTTGTGTTTCTGTAAATTTCAAGATGTTTCCTAGTTTTTTCCCCCCACTCTGTCATTGCAAAGGCAGCTAAACACTGGCCAGCAAAACTACAGAAAAGCCGAGAGGATCTTTCCAGCTCAACTTAACTTGAAATAGAAAACTCTTGTCTTGGTGAAAACTAAAGGATTTTTAATCCCAAGTTTCACTTATAGTAAGAGTTGACAAGGGTTACACAGTACAAAAATACCATCATCCAACGGTGACCAAACATAAGCACTGTCAGGGTTAAAAATAAAACAAATAAATTTTCTTTAAAGGTCCTTCATGTAAACCTGTTATGATCCTATGCAGGGCATAGTCTAAGAGTATTAGACTTTTGTTTTATGTACCTGATCCTTCGCAAATTGCTTGGCTTCTGCTTCTTTTTCAAAAAAGATATTTAATGACACGTCATATCTATTTAAAACAGCCGACACATCTTCCTGACTCTAGATTAAGAAATAAAGAATATGATTAACACTCAAAATAACTGAAGAAATCAAAAGTGTAATGGCCTGTAAGACGCACTACACGTTGGCTACTGGAGAGGTAACAAAGGCTTCAACTGCTTATAACAACACAATCTATATTCAACTCACTGTGTCATTTGTGGCTGTTTGCAGCATGTATGCAAAGAGTTTTGCAGCCTTGTGTTTTGGCACATATTTTAGTACACATTTGAAGAATTCCTTCAAGTCAATATTTCCATCAAAGGCAGTTGGACCCAAGAGCTCTCCAAGGTAATTCCAGAGCTGTGGAATGTCTATTTCTATGTCTTCAGCATATTCAAGGACTTGTTCAAGCCTGAAAGAAAAAAGGCACATAAAGTTGATTAAAAATACGTTAACCAAACAATAATAAATGATGCTGTTCAACAAAATAAAAAATGAACATTTTCAGAGGTAAAAGTAAAAATCTTGTTTTTTTTGGTCACAAAAAAACAATCCGTGAATTAAAGTTTTTATCAAAACTTGGGGTTGTCTTCAAAGCAAGTAACAAAGCAAAGATAACAAGAAAAATCAGTGTAATGTCATTTGAAACCACTGATCCCAGTGTATGAAAGTCAACCCAAACCTTGGTACAGAATTGGAGGAACAGTGTGCAGTTCATTTCCACTAAACAATTAAGACTACTCGTTGTCGTTTCTATGAGTAAAGCAACCAACTCAAACTAACAGTCTAATGGTTAAGTCTAAATCACACTAAGGTCTCTTGGCTTAATGTATTGTTATAATTTCAAATTATTGCAATTCAGTTACACAAAACATGTGAAAACAAGTAACTTGAAACTGAAAAAATTATGCAGTTTCATTCTACGATCAAACACTTGGTAAAACCGTAACGGAAACCTTCAATAGAAGGAAATGTCACATCAACAGGCAACAAACTGCAGTCACCCTGGCAGTTTCACAACTTAAACTTCTTACAAGCAAATGTCTAGGAATAGTCCTGAGAAGGTCTGTTTAATAGAAGATGTTTAAGACTGCTTCAAATAACATTTGCTACATCATATCAAATGTGGATGAATAACAAATGCAACTGATCTTCACTGAAACATCCAGTAACATTTAGGATCTTGCCAAGGTTAGCTAAGTAAACACAGAATAGGAGGAGAGGAGTGGGGCACCTATATATTATACTTCAACACTACATGTACAGTAAGAGAATGGGTCTAGTTGCCATGATGTTATGAGGTTCTTTTCTAAAACCTCATTTGGGCATTATTTTGAACAACAATCTCCTGTCATGTTGTACACTTAGGCTTTCACTTTTTAGTCCATGAAATAAATTTTGGCGGGTGTTCATTCAAATCAAACTAGCTCTAGGGGTAATTAAACTGAGTTACAAAAGGTGGGCTTAATGTGGAAACTTAAGATGGATTCTCTTGCGCTTTATTAAATGCATGTGTACTGAAGACTTGGGTATCCACTTTGGAAGATCTTTGGGTGAAAAATGTTTGTAAAAACTGGAGGACTCCTCTAAGAGTTACATCAGAATAATTCTGACATTATTAGAAATCCACTCTTACCCCTGCAAATACTGCTGAGCTGTGAGAACACCATCGCGTAGCAGGAAATGCAGAAGCTTGCCAGATGCATTCCTGTCTGATGCTTTCTTTTCCATAGTATGGTTAAGAATTTCATCGACAAAGACATGATGAACTGACGGTGACTGGACTTCTTTCAGGCACACAGCTGCTTCCTAATCATAAAAAGCATCAATTACATCATTATTATGACGGTGAGCTAGGGCACTGACCTTAAGTAAAGTCTGTCTTAAAGGTTCAATTACATTTTAGAAGGTATATTACTTTTTAAGAGCTATCATCACATTGCTATAATCTTGAAACTCTGATGTTTCTCTTAAAATGATCAGTGCTCTCTCAAACATACCGACATATCCTTGATGTTGAGGTATTCCTCAATAATGGCAATTGATTTCTTCTTCATGTCTTCCTCTGTTAGCTCTTGAACTGGAGCAGCAACTGCAGCATCAGTAGAGGGATCAGATTCGGGTGTTCTGGGAGACTCTCGACCTCCATCACGCTCTTGGATATTACGCTGGAATGAAATAAGTGATTGAATTAAATGATGTACCTTTATCTTAATATTTGAAGACGATAACAGTCAACTCCATCTAAGATCATAGACATAAATGGGATTCGCACCAAGTGTCTGTGTCATAGGGAGTTACATTTAAAAAAAAAATGTAGTTTCCCATGCAAAAACTCTTACATGACATGGAAAAGACATCAAGAATGCAACTGCAGCTCGTGTTTTCACTGCACACTTTTAAATATTTTTAAGTCCTTTCCATGACCAGGAATGTTGTAGACCATGAAAAATAATTTGATCTTTTAAAATAACATTGACAGTTTTTAATCTCCATTTCTGGCAAAGTGTCTTAACAAAATTGCCTGAGAGAGAGAAACAAGTTTTGCAAGCATAGTGTCATCTGTGGTCTATACTCTCATATACCATAGGTCTCAACCAATCAGCGAGTGAGCAATTGCTAGGGACCAACTCTAGGTGTCCATTTAAAGGGAGGTGTCTGTCATTACACTGAGCAGCATGGATCAACAGTACATCTGTTAATGATAATTCCTAAAGTGTGACTTGCCAAGTGAAGCTACTGAGCAGTACTTAATGGTTTGAACTGTTGTTAGGTGTCACCATTCAATTCTGACCTACCATGCAGTTTGAATAATTTTTTTGTTTGCTATTACAGTGTTTAAGTACAAACCTTTGGTTGTGTTACGGCACGCACAGCTTCAAGAGCCTTTTCACGTTCTTGGGTTGACAAAGGTCCTCGCCTTCCTCCACCAGATACCGGACTACGAGGTTCCTGACGACGGGATTCTCCAGCAGACACTTTAGCAGGAGCTGAGTGTTTTCTCTCCCCAGCCAGGGCAGAATATCTAGAAGAATAGATATTACAAATTCGCTTATACAATAAATTAATCATGTAAAGGAGCTATGAACTTAACATGAAAAAAATAATAATCCTTGCAGTTGTGGACTCGACTGAAGCAACAGTGTGAAAAAAACCTAAAAGGCCATTCTATATCAACTGAGCTAACACTGCCGCGGTATTCACCTTAAGAAAATGAAACGGCAGATAAGTAAAGTCATAACAGTGGTAGACAATAATTGATTTAATGAGCTCGTTTGTCACCCATTATCCTAAATCCTTTTTGAAGACACAACTTGGTCCAATACATTCATTGAGTAAGCCCCTTCGGTCTAGATAGGTGACGACTACTGGACTCAGATTTTGTTTTGTTGTTTTTATGCACCAAGACAAAACTCAAGAAAAATAATTTGGACAAGGGGTGATGAGCAAGCTTGATCAACAACCCTTTACTTCTCTTATCACTTCACTTATCACACAGTGAGCTCATAAATGGACTGTGTTAAGTGGTGACCAGTGATGCCATTGTATGTCCAAAATTATTTTTCATTTCTATAATGTAAAGAGGACACATACTGTTGTCCTCTCATCTGCAACTTTACAAGTTACATTACACAAATATAATAATTACTGGTCTAAAGTTTGTCTTGCAGCATCTTGGAATATTACCTGTTGGCAGGTCTGTTATCAGCATCAGTAGCAGAAGAAGCCACAGCAGAAGCTGACGGACCAGCACCAGCACCTACTGCTCCTGAACCACCACTACTGCCTCGTGCCCATGCTCCATAACCTCTTCCACCTGGTCCCAGAGAGATGTTTTCAGAATCCACAGGGCGCTGAAGCACAACACAGGTTTAATTTCAATTACGGGTTTTCAAATTACGTCACCAAAATTCCAACTTAAAGTTTCTACTTTCTTGAGGTATTACCGCACCTAAAACCCTTTATTTACACAAATTTTCGGTTCCAAAGTGTTCTTCGTTTTGTGATAGAAGACGCTTGAATTTCCAAGCTTTTGTGTGATGCGGCATTTAGCTGGAGGCCAGGAAAGCTCTTACCTACCGGTAGGTTCAAGACGTCACTGATTTTTTGAGATTTTGCTATCTTAACATTCGAATAAATATTACTTTAATCTTTATGAGTTCCTCAAGCAATGAATTCATGCATAAGTAGAAAAACTCAAAAACAGATGTTTCTGCTGGTTTTCAGTGGCCATATTTGTGCCCCTCAATGGGACACTAACATGGCATCTCCATGCAAAGCCATATAAAATTAGATAAAACCTTTTTCCAAATATCTCGCATAAGAATTACTGCACAGACCTGATTCTTAGCAAGATTTTTCGTATATTTATCTTCTTTCACTTCCCAGATTCTGAACTTTCTGTATTGACTGGTGTGCATTTTTATTTTTGATGGAGTGACAGTGAAGAATAAGCTTTGCTAGCAGCTTATCTAATTATCTCAAAATTGCAGTGACACAGTGATCACAGACTTTTTCCGAACATTCCTTTGATGGCAAAATGTGCTGAAGGGTATTTTCAAATGGTCAGTGGAATAACTCCTGGTGACTTATCATAATGTCAAAATGCTAAGCAGTTGATTGGGACTTACAGTCAAACCAGGTCAAGCGTTCCCGTCGCTAACAAACTAATGAATTCATTAATGGAAAAATGATTTCGTTTGTTGATTCAATAATCCATTCATAAAATGAATAATCCAACGGTCAAATTGTACCTCGATTCAATAATCAAATGTTGATTTGGTTTATGATAAAATCTACCTGTTCTTTATTCTTGTCTGTTGTGTTCAATCGTATTTGCTTCCCTTTTCCTGCCGTTTACGATTGCGTTTTTCATTGCCTTTAATCAAAATAACAGCTAGAATAGACAGACCGCAAACGCAAAGAAACTGACAAAGGCAGAGGATCGAAATCCACCAATCACTGCACATACACTGACCTCAGTTTGACCGTCGTGTTTTCTAAGAGGTCAGGCCTAGGTCTGTTGCACTGATTATTGGCAGCAAACTGGCGTACATGTAACAGTTTGTTTGGGTTTGAACTTCAGAACTCGCCAGCACTCGACTCTCAGAAAAAAAAGAGGAAAAAACAAAATTCTGAGGTCAACTTGTGGAAAGTGTAATTTTTCAAAAAACAGTAATCGAATCAACATTCGATTATGGAATCGAGGCTAAATATGACTATTGGATTGTTCATTTTATGAATGGATTATTGAATCAACAAACGAAATCATTTTTCCGTGAATGAATTCATTAGTTCGTTAGCGACGGGAACGCTTGACCTGGTTTGACTGTAATACCAGGCACTTCCTTAACCTCTAAAAGAGACCTACATTCAATTTCTCCTTATAAGTAACAATGTACCATCAAACATGAAGGTTGCAAGAAAAAAGAAAATGATTGACAAATGAAAGAAGCCTTGATTGTTAAAGAATTTTTCCTCATCATTATCACAGAAAATGTATGGAGAAAAGTGTGGAGAATGCGCTTATTGATGTAAGGGTTTAAAAGAGTTCAATATTAGACAGATTTAGCTGGAAAAAATGATAAAAGGTATGGCATACAGGAAAAAGTAGCCAATGGGACCCCTACAATCCCAGACTTTGAGGACCTAAAGAAATTTTCTCAGTTGTGTTATATCCAGCATGTGCGTTTCATTTTACTTCATTGCTAACTGTCCTGTTAAATGTTAACTATTAAAAGGAATGATATGCACCTTGATGTTTTGGAACTTTTTAGGATCCACACTGACGTTTACATTTCTTGGTCCTCTGCCCACTGTCGTCCAGGTTTCATCAGCCTGAGGGATAGAGGGTCGTGGACTGTCCCGTCCACCAATGTTCCCTGAAGAACATAGTGATTTGTAGTGATTTATTGTTTAAGTGTTAATAACCTTGATACAGAAATTATGGCTCCTAAACAATAACTATATCTATTTTCAATTTTGTTTTACTATTACAACGCTCATTGTTTTGCAGTAATCAACTGCTTTATTTTTTGCATCATTCTCTTGGCAATTCCGGCATAAATGTGTAGCACTTCCAGTCTACAACGGAGTTAAAGCAAAGTGCTAAAATTCTCAAATTCCATAAATGCTATCCACTTTATTTCAACAATGTATCCTCTTAATCTTTGCAAGTAAGAATAAAACGAACAGATTTTTGAACTTAATAGTTAATAAAAATCAAAGAAATTCAACTGTGAATTATCATTTCACTTCCAGTCAAAATGGCTGTCGTTAAATAAAATCACCATAACTCGCGCCAGCACCAAAATCCGTGATGGCTCGCTCCATATCACAGAATAATCAATGTAACAAAGGAAATATTTTTCCGAATATGATGCTTTTAACCTAAAAGTGCACAATGGGACACAAATTCTGCCTATATCCACCCCACTATTAGCAAACTTACCTCTTGGCATTTTCTTGTCTTGTTGTTTGTCCATCTGAATCCTCAACTGAGCCTTTTTAGCCTCATCAGCAGCTTCTTTGTGGATCTGATCAATAGTCTTTGGATTGTTGTCCTCTCTGCGAGGTACCCAACCATTATTTCGCAAGTCCACAACATCTTGCATCATGAATCTTACACGTGATGACGTTATCCTTGCTTGAATTATTTTGTTGATTTGTGTAAAATACTGATCAACCCTTGGCTGGAAATTATAAAAATTAATAATAATAAACATAATAATAATAATAATAATAAATTAAAAATAAAGAGATATAAACAAAACTTAATAAGCAGGCTTGTTAAAATTACGACCCCTCTCAAGTGAATCTCTTTGACACCTTTTCTTTTGCCATTATTGTAAGAGTCAGGCATTGAAAAAAGAAACCCCTGTGTTAGCCCACCTTCCAGGGATAGCGAGCCACTATCACATTGAATCATAGGATTTAGAGTACAAAGCTTATCACTTTTCCTCTTTATAGGCATAACAATACCAATCCATTTTTCTTATTATTTTCAGAATTAGCATTCTTATTAATTTAAGCATTCAGGGTTTGCAAATTTTATTGATGAGTGGAGTCAGTGTGACTTCTGCTTTAAAAATTTTGGGAGTCATTTTGGAATATTTGGAGTCAAGTATCACAACGAAAAAAGCAGTTTTATTTAATATTCCTAAACAAGTTTCTCACACTATTACACTATTATAATGTCTACTGACTTGGTGCAATATACATTAAATTAATAATATAACAAACAACAACATGTGAGAATGCAGACTTTCCACATGTGGTCCTGGCATGTATACACTATCGTGAGGGATACACGAAGTAGCTGTGGTGGTCCGTTGACCTGAAAAGCTTAAATCCATGATGGTGGTCATGGAGTAAACTTTGATTGTAATTTACCCTCTTCCTGTTTTGTCGTACAGTATAATTCTTTAATTCTGATGATTTAATTAAGGTTTACAACGTCTACAATTAACATAAATTGTATTTGTTACAAAAAAAGTAAGGACAAGTCAAAACTGTGTTTGTGAGCGAAAATTTCTGGAGTCAAAGTGACTCCCTCAGTAACCTCAGTGGAGTCATCTGAACAATTTTGGCATAAAATACGCCAAATTTGGTGTATTTGCGAACCCTGAGCATTATTATTGATTCCAGAGGGTGGCTACAGCTGTATGCGCTGTTCATACCTTAGCCTTGGCATGATCAAGATCTTTTCCAATAGTAAAAAGCAACTTGCACAAGCACTCAAAGGATTCTTCATCATTACTCTTCAGCAGTTTAACGACACAATCATGCATGATGCTCTCTGTCAACATCTGCAAACAACACAATTATTCCAACAAGGCTCAAAATAACAACCAACTAATGGTAACGGTCATTGACAACATTTCTAACCCAGGAATTGTGCTTTTCATGACAGTTTACATTATGCATATATTGGGTGGAAAATAGGAGAAAAAGTATTAATTTCAATAAAGTAAACTCACGCCAAATTGACAGAAGCCTGAATTAGGAATTGCATTCAGCAATACAATAGCTATAATAACATAAACAATATTATAAAAAAGCATCAAGAGTGACTGACCATTTGAAGCATGTGAAAGTACATACTTGGTAATGATGAATATTGGGTTTCAGGGATTTCTGCCATGTACTACTGTTTTTTTACCTCTGCTGACTGCAGAAAGCTTTAAGATGTGAAGTAGAAAAGCACTTCATGCTTAGGTGTGATACGCAACACATGAGACGACAATTCGAAAAATCTGTTAAACTACACTTGGATCCTTGCAATTTGAAAAATTGCAGCTAATAAAATAATTTTGATAAATAAGAAACTATTATTTCATGTTCCACATAGGCTAGTGCATTCACGTCAAAGAGAGACGTGACTGATCCAAAATTTATTTTAGCTGTTGCCACCAACTCGGGTAAAATAAATGACATAAAGTTTTTGTTCAACAGTGAAGCATTGACCGATGGTACAGTAAACCTTGATAGAATACCTTCAGTTTAAAGAGTTCACCAATAAAACGAATGTTTCCCAGCGTTCTTCGCTTGGCCAGATGCTCCTCATTCTGAAGTTCCTTCTTCTTTGCCTCCAGTTCCTCTTCCTAAGAAAAGTAAACACAAGTTTTGAGTTTAAAATGCCTGAATGTTGGAATCTAAAATGGTACAGGATTGTGCACAGAAAGCCATGTATGCTTTAAATAATTCAAAGATCAAGATGGGGACACTGTGATCTACAAAAATCACTTTTTCTCTAAATTACACACAATTGTCTTATCTCTAGTCAAACTAGTTATTTCAAGTTTCCCTTACCAATCTGTATCCATACTCCCCAGTCTTAATTCCCACTCAAATTAGAGAAGCATGTTAAAGCTTGTCATGACTTTGTCATGACAACTGCATGTGGCTTTTTCGTCTTCTCACATTATTATGTTAATAAAATAAATGTATGCGCATTATACTGAATGTATGATTATTACATTGAATACCATATCTGTACTTTTAGTTAAATGCAGAACCAGTTTGAGTGTTAGTTAACAAAATAATCAATCAAGACACTAATTTTCATAACAGAATCCAGCCTAAAAGTGGTATTTGCTTACAGTGAGTCCTTCTTTTGAAAGGTGCTCCAGTTTCTCATGAATTCTCTTCTCAACAGATTTTTCTTTCTCAAACTCTTTCTGACATCTGTTTAGCAGAATCTTGCGGAAGGATATATCTTTCTTTACCCCCTCCTTCTCCACCACCACTTTTTTCTGCAAAGAAAACGTGAAAACGACAAAACTGTTCTTAGTGCAACAGCTCAAGGCTCCGTGCGAGAAAGAGTTATAAGCCCAATGAAACAACAGAATCAACATTGCTGTGAATGCAATGTGAAATGGCAATGAAACAGGAGATACGAGTAGAAACTGATTTTCAAAGAGACATCACACACTGTTTTTTTACTTACAGGAACAAGGCACCTGCACATATTGGCATAAGCCACACTGAATGCAGCTTCATCAATAGCCTGCAACAACAACAACAAAAATGTCACTTCAAAACTGTATCCACAGCAAGACAGCTTAAACACTCAAACCTGATCCAAAACCACCCAATTTGTGGAATACGACTTGGGATTCCATTGGGTTTCAATACTGTATAATCAATACAGTAATTTGGGTGCAACTACAAGAATGCTGCAAGATTTGTGAAAATTAGCTCCTGACCAGTAAAATTCAAGCTTCACTGGGATAACCACAGGTGGCCCAAACTCACGTTACGAGGGGAGGGTGTAATGTAATTTACATACCATAGGTGACGCGCCGGTGTCACGTTACAGGCGACCATTGAAAATATAAGAGTCTTTGTATGAGAAATATATTACGGAGATCTGCGAACGCTAAATAAGGCTAAACCTTACTTTTTCTTAAATGAAATGAATAAAAAAGACTTACCTGCAATGTATTCCACTGCATTTTGGTGTTTGATTGTCGTTTACTGGTTTTTTTGGATTTATTGCATAACCACTGTTACTCCTTTCACAGAACGAAGTGAAGGCTGGTCACTTCAATCTGTCGGGGTCCTGGACCAGTTGCAACAAGAATGCCGTTTTTTTTTGCCGAAATTCAAATCACCAGTGTTGAGCCTACCAACTAATTTGAATTATGACAATTAGCATTTACACGACGGCTGCCTGGTCAGAAATGACACGTCAACTAGGCTCTTGCAGTGTGAAAAAGGAGTGCTTGCACCCATTGTGTAAGTGCTAATTGTGTAATGCAAATTTTGGTAAACAAGTTGGTCAGGCACAACAGTGGTCACCGAAGTCCAGCACAAATGGCTCGATTTAATGGGGAAATTGTGAATCCAGCCGATCTCCAGGAACAAATGGCTCAATTGAAAAAATTTGCAGCGGATTTGAATTTCAGCAAAAAAAATGGATTCTTGTTGTGACTGGTCCAGGACCCTGACAGATTTTTTCTATGAAAGGAGTAACAGTGGTTATGCAATAAAGGCAAAAAACCAGTAAACGACAATCAAACACCAAAATGCAGTGGAATTGAAGAGGCTTTCCCTCTTGGGCGTAACACCGTGCCTTATGAAGGCACGTTTTTTTGTGCCAAAGCACGGGAAAAAAACATGTAAAGGCACAGATTAGGCACACTTTTAGGCACAGTTAAGGCCGCTTTTAAATATTGCTAAGGCACATTTTAGGCACAGTTTGGGCACAGTTTTGCACGGTTTAGGCACAAATATTCAACGCTGGGCACTTTTTTTGAAAATCTTTGTAACCCGACTTGCAAAAAGAACAAACTTGGTACAATTACAAAAATAATTCAGATCAAACATGATGCAGTTAGAAGTATAGGAAGTGTAAGTTTTGGGCCGCGCCGAAAGTCGGCGAAAGTATTCTTCGACAGTCTGTGTTCACTCCGAGGATAAAGTGGAAATTCACACCCGATATGTGCAGTCTGAACCTTTTCGATTGCCATGCAATTTTATAGACTGGCTTTCTTTCGTTTCTAAAAGAAATCGTGAAAGAAAGTCGAAGCCATAATAACAAAAACAAAGCTAAAGAAGTAAGGCACAAAAATAGCCAATAAAAGTCGTAGAAAATCCTTTTTGCGATCGCGGTAAAATTGGCCTGAATTTGCATAACAACATGAAAAGTGGTAATTTGAAACCTTCATGCCAACGCGTGTTGTTTTTTGGTACAAAATGCGGCTGCTTTTTAAAAATATTTCTCTAACTAAAAAAGTAGAATTTACACTTAGTAGTAAAATAATTCAAGCTGCTTGTTTGTTTTTGTTTTCTGGCTCTGTTAGCAAATTAAGCTTTGATCGTATAATAATCGATCGTGCCAATTTTGCTTCAAAACTCATCGGCGAGCAATCAATTTTTTCGTTTTCATTTTGTAAGTCATATCACAAGTAAATTCTTTTTTTGAATGCAAATCTGCCCTCCTGAAAAAGCAAATATTTCGTTCCAACTAAACGCTCTGTTAAGACGGGGAGAAGAAGCCCACTTGGAAATTTTTTAACATCAGTGAAATTCTTGAATCGATGAAATTATATCAACACGTAATTGAGCTGAGCACTTATTTTAAATACGCTAACCTGTTTAAGATTCCATTTTCCTGTTTGTCGGGGCTTTCCCTGCTGTCTCTAACCGTATTCTGAGTCATGTTATTTCTTCTTAGGGGATAAAAAGGTCGTCAGACCGTGTTTCTAGACTTCGTAAATCTTAAAACTGACATAATTGCCGTGCGCACTTTTCTTTCGCTGTGGAGCTCGGCTGGACACGATTTTCCGAGTGACTCAATAGTTTGGCACAACTTGTGCACAGATTAGGCACGGTTTGAGCACAACTTAGGCACGGCTTAGGCACGTTTTTCAAAACTAAAATGCACACTTTATGCACATCTTAGGCACATTTTAGGCACAAAATCTTTGTGCCAAAGCACACTCTAGAATCCGATTTTCAGTCCAATGCACGGTTTACGAACTTTCACGTTAAAAAATGCTGTCTAACCTTAGATATTTGATCTTAGCATAAAAATGGGTTTCCCGAAGTCTTAACAGTTAGTCTATAAGGAAGGTTTAACTTATGAGCATTCCAAAAATTATTATTTCTTCTCTTAACAACAAAAGAAAGTCAATCAAAAGCAACCTTTTAAATTGACGTTCGCACTGCACAGAGATCGAATGTAGACAGAACATCTTTCTGAAAACGCCCTAAACTTTGTTGTTTTGCCATTATGTTCAGTGATTTTTCATACAGTTAGTACTCATAAGTCACTGACCTCTGTGGAGAAATTTTTCCACAGTACCATTAACAGAAATAGAGAAATCCCACAATATGCATGGTTAGACTGTAAATGTTACGCGAGCTGTTAAAAAATGGTCCCATTTTGAGCCCTATTTTTCATATTTTAATTTTATTTTGGTCTTACAGCCAGAAAAAAAATATTCAATGAAAAGCTGTTTATAAACTTTAACTTCTTGCCAAATATCGATGCGATCTGAGTTTTAATAAGTTCATAAGAGCCAAACGATGTGAGATTCTTAGCCGTGTACACCATTAGCGTGCGCCAAGCCGTAAGTCTTTTTTATTCATTTCATTCAAGAAAAAGTAAGGTTTAGCGTTATTTAGCGTTCGCAGATCTCCGTAATATATTTCTCATACAAATTCAACGGTCACCTGCAACGCGACACTAGCGCGTCACCTATGGTATGTAAATTACATTACACCCTCCCCTCGTAACGTGAGTTTGGGCCACCTGTGGGATAACTAATTGTTAAAAAGAAAGAGAAAAATAGATTGAAATCTGGTAGTTGTAGCCAAATGGCATAATTTGAAAATGCCGTAATGTGCAGCACAAAGAAATTATCCAATGTCCAATTTGAGTGGAGGAAGCCTTGCACCATTTGCAGCAAGCTAGGGCTGTCTCTGGTCCACAAAACAATAGGTGAAGGACTCAATCAATGTTCCCAACCCAAATATTAACAGAAGATGCACGTTATAGGGACTTGGGAAAAAGAAAAGAGGAAGAGCTACAATCTGAGCTGACGATCCTCAATAGATCTTTTCCTGACCCTACTGAGTACTCCTGACAGAAAATACAACTCCTTGGTGTTGGAGTTTGGATATGTCCTGGAACTGCACAAAGAATCAAAGACAGAAATTATTAACAAGAGCAGTTTCTAGAATCAATTCCAGTACTTGACTTCAAACTTTAAAGCATACATTAAACTATTTCCTTCAAAAGAATACTATGGCACCCACGCACACAAATGCTGAACAACTTTTTTGAGTCTTGACATATTTTCATGTCCATGCTGTGTTTACTCCCCTGGTACAAACCTTTTCAAAAATTAGGTCAATGGCACCTTCCAATCTCTCTGGAGTGTCAATATCCAGGTCAATAATCTGCTGGGTCAAAGTCTGGAACTTCTGAGGTGTCAGTTTGTTTAGAATACTTCTAACTTTGCGGAACAAATCCTAGAAAAAATGACAGAGATTGAGCAGCTGTATACTCCGCTAGAGTCCCAAGACACATTCTACATAATGAGATTTCAAGATAAAAATTACCTCTGTTCTCTGTTCCTCTTCACTTCCAGTTTTTGCAATTTCACCTTGTCTCACCCATCTATTTTCTGTTCTCTTCAACTATTCACATCAAAGAATTCAGTATTAATCACTGTTTAAGCATTTGAAAATTAGGTGAATAAATAAATCAAAAACCTTTAATTCCCAAACATCCACCACCACATTGTAAGACAAGCTAGGGCACTCCTTCATTATCCTTCACATTAAGGAAATTACTGCATATTTACCTCAACCTGAGGTTGTACACTTGGAAAATCAATCACTTTCTTGGGTTGAGTATGCATTTTGCGTCCACCTCTTGAACCAGACTGGTTATTCTAAAATCAAAGAGAGTTTTTTTTAGTTTGGGCCTCTAAGCAAAGTTAACAAGGTGGAATAAAAGACTGAGTTTCTAATCATATTATTGCTTGTAAACGGAAGGGGGCTAGTTTGTTTTATTGCTTTGTGGTTCTCATTTCATTTCAAGTGCCCTACCACTTAATCTAGTCTTGGTTAAGTATCGAGGTAAGTAACTGTGACAGCAGAAGACTGACTGATATGCAATACATGTTAAGGATGAACAATAATACAAAGAGACTTAGGCAGATGGTTGACCTGCTCTGCTTCAATAGGGGCACTGAAGTAACTTAGGATGGACTTCCAAAATAAACAAAAATCTTCATTCACAGGCTCCGAAAGAAGGGTTGACTTATAAATGCACACTAGTTCAACTTGTACACTGGAAAATAAGGTAGCTGGGACTGAGAATTTTCTTCAAAAAAAGTGTTTAATATTGAGTAACAGAGCACTTACTGATATAGACCTCACTGTACAAAGTAAAGTATGTTTTAAATAATTAGCCATTTGAATTTGAGATTGAGACCTTTTGCTACCACCTCTTGCATTATAAAAACTAGCCAATGTAAGCAAGCAAATCTCAGAGGGGACCGAAAGCAAGTATTTCACACAATATTGTACTCCCAATAATAAAAGCAACTTACCCTTGACTGCTGGCGCATAAATGAAGGGAGGAACATGTTTTCACCACCATCAGATTTTTGCATCCTACCACAGAAAAGTTCGCATCACAAAATACTCAAAATATACTTTCACTTTATCTTAACTTTAATTTTCAAATGATTTATGAACACTTTGGAAATGCAACAAACTGAGTAGAACATCTGGTTTTACTACCTGTTTTGTGAAAAGCCTGACTTTGAAGGGGTTCGGGCTTGACCAAGGACAACTTCTAAATCTGGTAGCCCCTCTGGTTTTATCTGGCATAAAGGATTGGTCTGGAATTGTAGCAGGAAATCTCGCTCATATGTGAGCTTTCCTCCGTCTGGGCGTGATGCTTCAGTTTCCCCATCAATTTCAGGGGACCAAGATTCTACAGGAAAGAAATGAAAAATGTAATCAAACAAGCCCAGAATTTGTTATAATAATTTCCCCAACTCCACTAACCCCTTTAGACCCTACTATAAACATGAAAGTTCTCCAAATAACTTTTCAAGGAGTGCTTATAATGAGAATTTGCTATTACAAAGATGGCAGGACAGGAAATTTTAAATCCACTTGCCCAGCGGGCGAGTAAATTTCTGTTCTCACTCGCCCCCACTTGAATATTACTTACTGGCCAAAGGGAATAATCTATAGTTCTAAGGTACTGTCTATAATAAGTTATAGATTATAACAAAATGTACAAGATTACTGGTACTTAAATGCTGTGCCAGATACAGGGTAACTACTTGATTTAAACATTACAGTACGTGAGGGGAGTAACTCAAGCAAGCAAACATGCACTTAGATAAATTGATTGATTGTGCAGGGTTCGCAAATACACCAAATGTTGCGTATTTTATGCCAAAATTGTTCAGATGACTCCACAGGGGTTATGGAGGGAGTCACTTTGACTCCAGAAATTTTCGGTAACAAAAAACAGTGTTGTCCTTACCTTTTTCGCAACATGTACAATTTACGTTAATTGTAAACATTGTAAACCTTAATTACACCATCAGAATTAAAGAATTATACTGCACAACAAAACAGGAAGAGGGTAAATTACGATCAAAGTTTACTCGATGACCGCCATCATGGATTTGAGCTTTTCAGGTCAGCGGACCGCCACAGCTACTTCGTGTATCCCTCACGATAGTGTATACACGCCATGACCACGTGCTGGAAAGTCTAAAAATGGCTTTTTTCGTTGGGATACTTCACTCCAAATATTCTAAAATGACTCCAAAATTTGAAGGCAGAAGTCACCGTGACTCCACTCATCAATAAAATTTGCAAACCCTGTAATTGTGTCACTCATCTTGTGGTCTTCAGTTTGAAATACTTTCTGCCTGGAAATTATCATTCCAAGCTGACACTTTCAGACAGAATCCAGGGTGCAAAGAAAGTCAGTCTTATAGCTTGTCAGTTGTGGGCAAGCTGTAGGTTGCATGTACCAGCTCAAAAGCCATTTCAACTAGCCAAAAAAAATTAAATTTTTTTTGATTAGCAGGATTGACTTCAGTTCTTCTGTAAATTGAATTTCCCAAAAAACTTCACTTTCCCATCAGGCAAGTTACAGTACTGCTCATAAGTAAGTTGACAGTCTCCACTCAATCCTAGCTCAAACGCTTCAAGTTTCGAGAAGCAAGGTTTCTATGTGAAATTATTTTTGTTTTCTGAAACAATGATGTTGTACAGCCACGTAGCCATTCAGAAATCCGCACAGATGATCAGTGTTTGCGGTGCTGCGTTTTGTAACCGTTTGAATTGCCAGCTTTAGCAAGCTTTCAATAAGCGTAAATTGATATTTTCAATTTCGAAGATTTATGTTTGTTTTAAAAAACTGCATTTTCACATAATATATCAAGAATGAGATGCAGTGTTTCATCAACAAATGAAACACTGAGAAGAGAGTTGAAGCACAGCGGAGTATTTTTGACAAACTTTGAGTGTGTCAAAATGCTTGATCGTACTTCTAAAAAAAAACGATTTTAGAAGGAGAAATTAAGGATGCAAAAATGATTTCCAAACACTAATTAAACCTTAACTTCCTTTGTATTTTCTTTATGAACTATTAACAAGTTTGAGAAAAGCATTTGAGGTGGTAAATTTGCTATTAGTCAAGCTTCAAACTCTTTCGTGTAAATGTGGCTTATAGTGATTTGGCACATGTAATGTGTAGCCTTTCACTCGCCAAGTTCATTCTTAAACTCGGCAATTCCATGGCTTGTTGCTTTTAGTGTATGGTAAATGAAGATAACGTTACACAATGTTAAATGTCATGGAAAACTATGTTTATTTTAAAAAGTGAAATTTTCAAGTGCATTTCCGTCGGTAAATTTGCTAGTCAAGCTTCAAACAATCACTTGCCAAGCTCATTCGAAAACACGGCCCCGTGAATCTGTGGCTTGTCATGCTTTTACCGTATGTAAATCTTGATCAAGTCGCACAATAAATTCAAGAAAACCTTTATTAGTTATTAAAAGCGACATTTTTATGAGCATTTGAGTAGTTAAGTTTGCCATTGGTCAAGTCTCAAACTCTTTCAAGAAAATGCAGGCAGGGGTATTTTGCAGAACGCCGAATGTCTCTGAGTTTAATGATTGGGGCTAGGAAACTGAGAGAATCAGGTTCTACTTGGGGTCATTTAAATGGGAAAACAGACTAGCCTGAGAAAACAGCTGACATTTTGTGACACCACCATTGGTTTCCCCACGAAATGACGTCTGAGAAACGACTGCAGAAATTCCATTCTGATGACGTGTCACTACCCAGACCAGGGCAACCAGTGGTGGCATCTTGAAATGTTGGCTGTTTTGTCAGGCTAAAAACTGACCTGAAACTTGATTCACTCAGTTTGCCAACCCTAATCACCAAACTTAAGAGCCATTCAGAGTTCTGCAAAAATACCCCTGCCATGCGGCTTAGAATAATTTCATCCATGTAACCTTTCATTCCCCATGTTCGATTGAAAAAGAAGGCTCAGCGATTCCGTGAATTATAAAACTTGCTGTTATGCAAATCTAGCTGATGTCAACAAAAACTTTGTTTGTTGAAGCGACATTTTAACACACGATCATTTGAGTATTATTAAAGTTTCAAACTCCTTCACTTTTGTTTCTCCCAACAAGTCGTTTAGCTGTTGTTTACTTTCAAACACAGGCTCATTTTTCATTGCTGTTCTGATGTACGAATGATGGAAAGTAAAAAAGAATTATTGTGCCCATACATTGCATGACCAATATTGATACATACGGTTGTTTCTTCCACTAATCATTTCATTATTGTTTACTTTCAAATGGAGGCTCATTTTTAACCACTAATCTGAAATACAAACAATGGAAAGTCAAAAAGAATTATGGCTGGACATTGCACAAGCGATATTACTACTGTTGTTTCTTGAATGAGTTATTTTGTTATGGTTACTTTCAAACAGAGGCTCAATTTTCACACCTATTACATGAATCTCACATATGCCTTCAATTCTAAAAAGCACGTTTCAAAAGGAGACCATACGCGAACATTTTAGCTTTCACAGCGCAAAATTCGATTATACAAAAGCATACTAGTCCCACCCAATGTACGGAGAAGTCATTTTTAGAATGAAAGGTAAGTGTACACTTTTTAAGAGTGCGTTCCCACGAAAAGTTCATAATATTTCTCGACTCAAAATTTGAAACTCAAAACTCGATCCTCGAGACATTAGACTCCATCCTCCAAAGTTTTGAGAATCGAGAATCGAGTCTTGAGTCTCGAGGTTTAAGACGAAAGTGACTGTTAACTAACTTTTGAGTGGTACCATAAGAACAGAATTCACTAGCCCAGCAGCAAAATCCACAAGTCCCAGGCTATCAGACACTACTTTCTTTGCACACCACGACTCACAGATCCACTTGGGTACTTTAATGTAGTTTGAGGGGATTCGTCAGGTGAGGAGCCTATCACCTCAGAGCACTCAGAGCATCACAAACACCTCGAGCTTCTACCATTAGTTAAACTCTTTTTACTCAACAATTAAGTTTGCTGATTTCATCTGCCGTTTCTGGAAATCACCCTCTTTCCTGATTGGCTGAAGGCTTTAGAAGATATTCAAGTCTTAATTATAAATGAATGCTCAGGGTCATGATGGATTCCTATGAATGTCATTTTAATAATGTTTTACTACCTTCTTTATCTTCCCATGTCTCCTCTTCAGACTGCTCCTCTTCACCTGCTTCTTCTCGAGGTGTCTGTGTTGTTTCTTCAGTAGCTGGCTCTTCAGTTCCACCAGGCACCTATCCCAATCAAAACATAAATCACTCAAAATAATCTCATTCCTTCCTAGATTCATTGATTTTAATCATAATTATGTAGTCCACGGCCGGGTTGCATAAAAACCTTCTTAAAAGAGGGCTCCTAGTTTTTGTTCTGAAACAATGACCTATTAATTTGAAATAACAGTCACGGGTGCCATTAATCTTAAGATGTTTTTTGCAACTCAACCCAGGTTTTTAAAGTTTTCAAATTCACCAACAAAACATGAGCTTGTAAGGGAGAGCACCAACCAACTTTGAGTTAAGCTCAGCTCAAGGTGGACAGAAGCTGCTAAATTTAAGGCAAATAAAATCTGTTTAACACATTTTTCTTTGACCCATTCAAACCTCAACTACCTCTAAGGATCCACTTCCCATGTATTGTTTGAGACAGGATCAGTTTTTATAGTCATAGACAACTCTGACACCAACCTTAAACAGGGGGAAGGGATATATCAAAACATGTCAGAGTGAGCAGAATTCAGTCTAATGAGTAGAGAACACAGAAAAAACGGAGAGTTGACCAGAATATTCCCATGAAAATCTTGTGCCACTCGTACTTTCTATTAATGATAATGGGGGACCCTTAGAATACCGTGTGGCATGAAATTTTTGCGGGTTCTAATTTTCGAGATTTTTCCAGTGATCCACAAAAATAAGTTCCCACAAATAAAAATTACCGCAACCATTTTTCCCGCAAAAATTTACTCCAGAGTAAATTTTCTCTAACTTAAATTCGCTATACAAAAATGTAGTACTAGGAAACTGTGTCTGTTAAATTAAATAGGATACGGATACCGTAGTATTGTTTAAAAATATTATTTCTATTGCATGTACTTAACAAAAACGAAAATATTATCAATGCTGGGAACTGGGTACTTTCTGAAAATCGCTAAAATTAATTCCCAGCAAGAAAAACCAGTCTGTTCTAAAGCTCTAAATAAGGATCAGGAACAGGAGTTAAAGAACCTTTTGGACAGTTTTGTTTCTTTTTTGGCTGCATAGTGACCAAAGAACATCCCAAATAGCTTCCAACAGAGCTTTTCACCACAATGAAAAAGATTTTTAGATGTAAAATTACTTCAAGAATTTTTCCAACACAATACATAATTCTTTTGCCAGGCTTAGCATTTTCAGAGAAGCAATTGGATAGTACCCTCGACAAATGCAGGAACCAAACTTTACTCGTGATGTACCACTGATGTACATTAATCACATTACAATACAGGACATCAGAGAGTTCTGAAAATTTTCACTTTGTGACTGAATGTTTTTGCTACAGATCAACACGATTAAAACATTCACTTCACAATAAAGCACTTGTAGAATTTTTGAAAAAAGAAAGAGAAAAATCCAAACTATTATAGTTTTTCCAGAATTTGTCTTTATTTTCTGGACACAGTTTATCCACATCTGGAACACCAGTTTGCAAATTTCAACACTTTTTTTTCTCAGGAATTCAATACTCAGCATGAACCCTGGGTAGAGATCAATCACTGGAGACACAACAAGAGAATTTCTTTTTTCATGACAACAATATACCTCCTCCTGGGCCGGCTTTTCTGTGTAAGCTTCCATCAGATCCATTCCCTTCTCGGAGGATCGCTTTTCTATTTCCTTCAAACGATGTTTCTGTTTTTTCTTCTTCATATCTTTAGCTGCAACTATTTAAAAGAATGTAATGGTAGATTAATTACTAAGTTAATGGACACAAGAATAAAATCAAAGTAAGGTTAAAAGTTACAAGTAGCAAGTTTCTGCAATAAATATTGCTACTTTTAGAAATGGACATTTTGAAGGAAATTATAAGATCCCTTGTTCAGGTTTCCAGAGACTGAGGCTGTCTGAAATCTTCAAAACTGACAGGCAACGGATAATCCACTTTGAAGCAGGCAAATTATTTTTTTGTTTTCATGAACCTTGCTGTACAAATATGTATGAATGGACAAGTTGCAAAAGTAAAACACCTTATGTTATTAAGTAATAAGCAACTGCCACTTTTAAAGCTTCATGAGGAAATACAAAACAAAATTTTAACTGACAAACAGATAAACTATAAACTGGCATACTGTAAAGTGAATTGCATATCAAATGTGGTAAAATTAAGACTGATTTTAATTCTGTTCTAAACTTATGCACTGTTTCAAGTTAGTGTTATAGAAAATTTCAGTTTTAACAAGTAAGCTTACAAAGTTAAAGACTTCTCTATAATCTGGGTATGTTTCATGAAGCTCATAAATTACATTTCCAATTACTTGAGGAATGTACTGCATAACAAGAAGACATAAAGGAATTTGAAAACTGTCATTGAGGTAGCTGTGAAGCACATTAAAAGGAAATAAAACAATGCAGCTAAGTAGCTTTCAAAATGCAAACAGGAAGGTAAGCAAAACTAGACATTTTAAGCTCATCATATTTTCACAAAGCACACAACATATATTAATTACCACAGATGTCTGATACTGGTGCGACAACTTCCACAACCTGCTATATATCTCTCACACTATCTTTCAAGCTACTATCACACTATTTTTCACTACCGATATAAATCAATGCAATAGCTGACTGAAACTTAATCACATTCACTTGCAAGAAAATAGCAATTAACTTACATCAGACCAAAGAGGAGAGAACCTCACCAAACAAACTCCAAAATGGCATTAATTGATTAGGATTTGAAGAAATGCACAAGTTCATGAGCCATTTTTCATGGTTGCATGACATTAACAGTTAATTATAATATGCACAATTGTGAAAAGTTTACTTATAGAGGTAGCTAATGTTAAATCTACAAAGGCAATTATTGTCAGCAAGCACAAGCAACCCTTAAAACTTGCCAAATGGATGAAGAAAACTCTGAGTCTTGCTAGGATATACACAGGAGAGCACAGAGCTGAAATATTGCGCAATTTTGAACATGAAATACTCAGCATGGAATGTGATGACTCAATGACCTCAGGGTTAAATATAATGCAGGTATCAAATTTTTGGCTTGTGTATGAAGCCATGAAAGCAATATAACATTAATGATTAACAATACAGATTAAAAAGTAATTTTAATGAATAACATTGTACAAAGTACGCTTTACACCCTGTTATTTGCAGCCTTTCAAAACTTTACTTGCAATAAACTAGTTAAAAATTTTGAAAATTTGACTTTAAACATCATCCCAACAAAAAAAACCCGAACAAGGATAAATAGCATTTTACAGCAGTAACTGTCATTATACAAATATGTTCCTCAAACCTCACTATGATACTTGCTCTATTTGATGCCCATACTGGGGCTGGCAGAACCAATTGATTGGATTAACCACTCAGGAAAAGCTAATTAACTGGTACAAACTACTTCCACCTGTAATGCTATTCATATACTTAACAGTTGCCTAGTCTCAGTGGAAAGGTGCTTGAGACAAACTTTCCAGTTATACTGGTCATTAATGCACTGTACATCTTTTCAACATGTTAAAGTACCCAAGCCCTTTCCTATAGTTTTACTAGGCTGTTCACTTTACATTTTTAACTTTCGAGTTTTTTAATGAAATACTGTAGTACATGACCACTTAAGTAATAGCTTCTTATTAGTACTTAGTACATGCATACCTCTTTATTACGACATACCATCTGAGTCTGTGTGGCCATTTAAGTGAGAGATACCTTTACTTCCTTAATGATTGTTTTAGCAGAGGTCATACTTCTTGTGCTCTACTATGAAAACTAATTCAGCAATAAGAGATATCACTAATATCTATTCTAGCATATTTCATTTTTTTTTCCTGCAGGAAATGTACAGATACATGTACTTCAACACATCTTTAAGGAAGTCTGGTTATTTTGCACAAGAGATGAAATTTATATTCCTGTAAATTTAGACACTTGCAGAAAGTTGACTTGATAATCTAATCCATCATAATTGATTAACAACTCATCATAAAACAACTAACTCAACTCAATACGGAAACCATTAAACAAGGTATTAGGCAATGAAACTTACTTGGCCCCTCAAAAGCTTTAGGAGTCTTTTTACGCCTACTCATCTTTTAAGGACACAAGGATAGAAATCTAACCACTATTTTAGTCAAACTAAATTTACACTCTTTACAACATTCTTGTTTCTGGGAATTGTACAACACACCCTGGGCCCGGTTTTCTAGGAATCAAACAATGCACTATTGTTGTGTTGAACTTGCAGTTACTGTAATATGAATAGAAGTCATAAATTATTAAACACAAAGCTCTCTGTCCCATAAACTTAACATGTATCCAGTTGCCAGAGAACGATCTGTGTTTTGGCCCAAAAGATTCCATACTGATATGATATGAATCAAATCAATGATGAAATAAATCATATGGTATTCATGAGGTTTCAGATGTAGATTTGTAAGAAGATTCATTTCTCCTAATCATTGTCCATTACATCTCATGTTCTGCTGCAATCACTGGCACCAGCAAAAACAACTAAAATTCTTACAGAGAAAATTCATTCCTACTAAATATCTTCAGTGTGTTGTTGGATGTGTGTAGGGTATTGCTTGCTGTATGTGTTACAAAGTCTAAGTGCACTAGTACACAGCACTAAATCAGACAAAGAATGTTTGTCTGGGCAGTGCACCTTCTTGGTGACCTCATTGGACATGCCATTTAGTCACGTTAAAATAGCCTTGTTTTGCACAACCAAACAGGAAGTAGACAATTGGTTTAGTAAAAGATTATACAGCTTCTGTGCATTTTTTCAAGAAATGTGTTGGACTTGGAGCTTCCCATGACTACATTTGATGCTTCTTCATAATGAAAAGGAAGATATTATCTCTTTGACAGAAAAGACAGAAATGACGAATGTTAACCCACTTAATGCAGGCATCTTAAAAATTGCTAATAATAAGCCTCCTTTTCTTTCTCTTTCCATATTTTGATTATGGCAATAATTCAAATTATTTGCAAGTGGCCATTTCTAAAACTGTCATTCAAATTCAAGTTGACAAGCAATACCAGCAAATTATGTGATACATGCAGATTTTGCAGTTTGCCCTAGAAAAGTATAACAGAACAATCTTTACATTTGAAACATTTCTCAAACAACACCAGTTATTTTAAACAAATGTTAAGCCACCATCAAAATACTACATACTTTTAATGAAAAAAATGAGAGAGAAAGCCCAAGAACAATGCCATGTACCTCATATATTATATCAATCAGTTTGAGCGGTAATATCAGTAATGTGTTTGAAGAGTGCTAATATTGACACTTATCTCTAAGCTCTAATGTTGTACTTGTTCTGACCTTGAAAAATGGTTTCTGTGAGTGTTCTAAATTAATTGTTTTAACTAGAATAGAGTGGATAATTTGAATAGAGAAATTGATCAACATAATTATGCCACCAAAGAAAACCCTACAATGGAAAAACGCATCATTCGATAGTCCAATCTGCAGTCCAGTTTCTGTTCCCCACATTGTAGAAAACTCCTTTCCAGCAATCTACTGTCAGCTGGGAATACACTGAGTACAGCTGTATTCAGTGCCGAACCAATAAAAAGCCACTGAGCTTTGCGTCTATGCAACAAACCAATCATTTGTTTGTAGTTTGTGTATTGTTTTGTATTTCAAGGTCAAATAAAAAACACGCTCTGGTAATTTATGAATAGTCAGTGCCATCACTTAGATTTCAAGATGCTACGTAAATACAACAAGCAGACAGGGGAATCAAAGAAATGGGGATTTCTTTTGGTTGTATTTACCCCACCCAGGGATCCTATTCATAGAAGCCGGGAGAAATCCCTCACCCCACCCAAGAGAACCATGTGTACATAGTGCTCTTTTGCAAAGTAGCACACCATCGTTGATGATACCAACCTGTTGCTTGTGCATCAACAGTATTCTTGGGAGCAGCTGTAGCTGTCTTTAAATCTCCATCAAGACCATTCACCTTTTCACTTGCTACCACATCTTCTACCTTTGAGGCTGTTGGCAAATCCTCTGATTCTTCAGTTTGTTGAGCTGATACCTCAGTCTCACTAACTTGTTGATCAACAGGAACATCTACAGCGGATTCTGTGGGTTCAGTGGTCTCCACAACATTTGCCTGCACCGGTGGTGTATCGACTACAGGCTGACTCTCAACAGTTACAACTTCTTCTGTTTTGTCAGTCTCCTCATTGGTTAGTGCCACAGGTCCATTTAACATCTTTGTCTCTGTGACAGGCATCACATCACTAACAGGTTCTTCTGCAGTTTCCTCTGATTTCTCTTGTCTTTCAGGTTTGACTTCGCCAGCTGCAGCTAAGCTAATTTGTTGCACTTCCTTCTTACGTAGTTCATCTGCAGTAAAGATCTCGACTCTGACATTAGGGATAATACCCTTAGCTGACGTAGTTGCATCCACAGAGCTAACCAAGGACTTTGGGCCGAATGAAATGTCCCCTGAAACTCCCTCACTAAGTTTAGAGCCCTGCACAGCTTCTGTAGGCTGCGTTTTCACAAGTATTTCTTTAGGCTCTGTTTCAAGAGGCTTTTCAACAGGCTTTTCAGCTACCTGGGTATCTATCCCAGTAGTAGGGTTCGTTCTTGTTTCTTTTACCACTTCATTTTTCTGGGTAACTGTTGTCTCTTTTAATTGAACAGTATCTACAACTGCCTTATTATTTACTGGCGCTTTCTGAATAATAACTTCTGGTTTTTTAGGCTTGTCTTCTGAATTAGCTAGTGTTGCTGCGACCTGCGCTGCAAACTGTGCCCTTACATTTGCCTCAGCTTGCTGCTGTAATGTCAAGGGTGGGGTGCTCGAGCTACTACTCTGACCTGAAATGTCTGGAGTAATGTTATTAGGGGTACCACCAGTGCTTCCTGTTAAACTCCCAGAAGGCTGTCGATTGAGAATCTCTTGTGTTACATCCTTGTTACTATTTGGATCCTTTATCTGGATTATTTTTCTTTCCCTTGCACGAGGCTCAAATGTTGGAGTTTGATATTGGGGCATTCCCGTCATGGGCCCTGGAGGAGCTCTAACAATGTACATGGGAGGGTTGGGCTGTCCCACCTGGTAAACAGTTGTCGGTTGAAAATAAGGGGAACCTTGAGGCTGTGAAGGACCAGACATTGGGGCAAATTGTCCTTGCATTGGTTGTTGAGGGCGGTGATACTGCATTTGCCCTGGGTTACCCATGGGAAGAGAGAAATCAACCTGCAAACCACAAAAAATTCTATTAGCTGACTATTTATAGCACACACACTATTAAATTTCAGAAACTTATGTTCGAACATATTATAATTAATGCTTTAAATCTCGCAAAAAATTCATGTTACAAGGCAAAAAATATATGATTGCAGTGAAACTGCCTAACAAAATGGATCCATCAGAAATTTGAATGGAACAAGTATACTGCAAACTGAAAGTATGGGTTAAAAAAAGAATCATTTATCACACTCACAGGTTGTGTCATAAATGGAGGGTGCTGTCCATGAGGCATAAATTGAGTTGTAGCAGGTGGACCAATCATCTGTACAGCCATAGGAGGACCTCCGGGGGGTGAAGAGTACATTGGCTGATTATTTTGGGGCTGATGCCGAGGAATTCTCATGGGTCGCTGGTTTGGGTAGAATGGCTGTTGATTTGGTAGGCGTGGCTGTCCTTGTGGAGGTCCAGGCATCTGCTGCATAACTAGGTTTTGATGCATCTGTCCTGGTGGTATCTGCAGTAATAAAGAGATGCTTAGCTAATTATCACATAATAAACTTGATTCTATAATTATGTAATAATCATTGTTGGGTTTGCAACATTGCCATCCATACCTTGTGTAACCTATAAGCAAAGTCTATAGTAGCCTGAGAATGCAGCTGACATTCTCCAACACCACCACTAGTTTCCCTACCAAATGATGTCTGAGAATCCATACTGATGACATGTCACTACCCATATTAGGGTAGCACTTCTGATTGATGGAAGCACATTTCCCACCTGCCAAGACTAATCAAAAGCACTACCCAGATCTAGGCACTGATGCTTCATTAGTATGGAATTTCTGCACTTGTTTCTCAGGCATCATTTTGTGGGGAAAACCAGTGGTGGAGTCACAAAATGTTGGCTGTTTTCTCAGGCTATCAATATAGCTACTTTGCGTGTACTTCTGTAACGCCTTCACCCCTGAACCACCCATAACCGCCTGTGCAGATCCACGTCCATTCTACTACCTGTGAAGTCATCAGCTTTAATGGTCAAGGACAACTTTGTCATCTAACTTGTGCAGGGTGACAAAGCACAAGTCAGTCAAGAGAAAAAGGCAATAAACCGTGTAATGTTGACCCGAAAATTTCCATGAAAATCTTGTTGTACTACCCATTTACCTTTCTTTTCATCTAACCCTGAGATCCTAAAAATTTTCCCAAAAACTTTTCCCACCAAAATGAAGCCTAGTAAATGCCTACTAAATGAGACAAGAAACGTGAAAAAAGAGGGGAGGAGAAAAGGCGAAAAGAAAATGTCAATACTGCTGTATCACTTTTAAACCCTATCTTCAAATTTTTGCTTTCTGTGCATGCCCGAACTTAACATTTCGCATCTGGATCAGAGGGCTACGAAGTGTATAACTTTCAACTCTTTACAGCCAGACAGTGACCAGAAAACCTCGCAAATAGCATGAAAACGCATTTTCAGCAAAATTTCCAGGAGTGAATGGGTTAACACATTTGAAATTGTAAAATTTTTTTTTTGTTTTCCACATGTTTCCAAAAATTTGTGATCTCCATGACTTCAGGGCACGGTACCAAAAACGTGTTTCCCTAGCATTTCATTATTCTATGAAGGAGGCATAGGATTAAAATTTACCCTCTTAAAACTTTTATGCCTTTGAGTTGTTAAGTTGTTCACAACTACCGGTACCCTTTATGATTAAGTAAAAGTCATTGATAGCTAACTATGTCCTGGAGTATTGTAGTTGTTGATAACATGTTGATAACAAATAATGTCTGCCAAAAACTTGGAAACTAAGATTCATTATGCATGCTTCTAATGAATGTAAATCAAAATGGCAGCGTCCAGGAGAAACACTGGCAGTCAAAAGAGTCGATTTTCAAACTTGAGAAAGGGAAGATATCACCTACATACTAGAAATACGCTATTGCAAAAAAACCTTGCAAGGATCTAAAGGGTCAGCAGCGGGAATAAAGTGAAACAAGCCAAAGGGAAAACTATGATCAAAAAATAAATATATAAATAAATAAACAGGAAAAAAGGATGGAGGGCATAGGGAATAAACACTTGTTAAAGTGAGTTTTTTCATGAAAACTTGCTCTTCACAACAAGATGTGCCAATAATGGCAAGATTATTATCAGCATGAGCTTCCAGTGCTGTGTTGATACTCCAAAGAAAAAAATCTTTTTTGTGTAATTTATTCACCACCTACCTCCAACCATTTATGTTTGCAGAAAAGAACACTGACCACTAACAACAAAGATACAATCAAATACCATAGTTGTCGAAAAGTAATCTATAAATCTCCACACACTAGTATTCCGTTTTTTTTTTTGCTTATAAGGCATTTTTTCAATGAAAGTTTGGTTGATAGCTTTAAATCTGTTGTAATTTTGGGGTGCGTCTTGTAACCAAGTATCCTCGGGCAACAAAACAAAATTGAGTCAAGTTTTTGACTGCAAAAGCTCTAGCTGCTCATCCTCTTCTTTATTACTGGTTTTTAATGACTTCTACATCTTCTAAAGCTGGTATTAAACAACGAAGGAATCATTTTTCATTCGAAACAAATCACCCAGCATCAATTATTTTGAACTGAATGTTTATGCTTGGTAACCAGGCAAACTTTTGAACAACTGCTTGACCCAAGATGGCGGTTTGTTTACAGTCATTTCTACACTGCAATCTTGCACTTGTTTCACATTTATTCTCCAAGGAAAGCTCCCAAATCTGTTAATAAAACTGTAATAGCTCTTTATCACAATTATTTTGATAAACAAGGGCTTAATCTTACCAGATTTGGGAGTTAATTCACAAAATATTCAGGCTCGTGTATTATGCGATACGCTGACCTTTTTTGCTTTTGTTCACATAGGTGAATGGCCATAAAAAAGTGTTGTTGGAAAGCGTGTTGTTGTAGTTGAGGTGAACATCCCCAAAACTCGCAAACACTGGCTTAATTTCCAGTTATAACTCAGAAAAATTGCGTTGTCGACAATTTAAAAGTAAGTGTAGTTGTTGAGAACTAAATGTCTAGTCTGTGGAGGCCCTTAGCTAACTGTTTAAGGAGGGGGGGGGGAGGCATTTAATTGATCATATTCCAGAATACAAATACGCAGAAATTTGGGATGAATCTCTTCAACCACAAATGTTTTGACCACTGAAATGTTTCAACCATCTTTATTATTTTAATGTCTACCTGGTATCTGGACTTTACATTCAATGGAAGTCAAAATATGTGATTTTTAGAGTTTATTCTGTATATTCTAATTCCAGAATATGGTCAATTGAACTCACCCTTAATCTCCTGTAACATCAATTGAGCTCATCTATAACAGGTGCTACATGTTAATGTACTTAATGACAGCCCCTGGTGTGTACATTTCATAAGACCTCTTGAGTGAATCACACACATTAGCTTACTAACTTTCACAGTTCTCAAGAAAACTGAACAGCAGAAAGCTCATGCCCAACTCAAAACACCCCGTGACATGCATGGGGTCCCACAACAGGTGACCTCAATGGCCATTGAACTGCTTCTCGTCATCTTTCAACCCTACAACTAGCCTGAACAGGGGTTTCAATAAACACCCAAGGCCAACGAAACGCGTCAACTACTTTACTCATAGAGGTCCGCTACTTTTTCTAGAAAGAAGAGGCAACTAGTTTGAATAACGTAGTAGACAAAAAATACATCATAAAATCTGAATGAAAATGTAACAGACCTTGTCACAGTTTTTGACGCCATCTTGACAAGTAGGCAAACGCGTGAAAAATTACAGTGTTTGCATGAGAATCTAATGTCGAATAATTTCTGTACAACAGCTGTTCTGAAAAAAACATGAATTGTAAACTAAAGCTTCACTCCTAAGGATTCTACTGAAAAAATTGAGGACATTATATGTGCTAAAAGACCTAGAACCACTTTTTTGAATTTTCTATACATTTGCCTGTAAGAAAGTCGCAGGAAAAATTACAGACACGCACATGGACAATCTAAAGCAAGCCTCTGGAGAAATTTAAGTACAGTTTTGCCCCCCCCCCCCATTTTTTTTTGTACAATTCTTTGTTTTGTAGCTTTAGTTCACAAGTCATATTTTTTTCTGAACAGCCGTTTTATGGAAATAATTTGACATTAGATTCTCATACAAGCACTGTAATTTCTCACTCCTTTGCCTACTCATCAAGATGGTGTCGAAAACTGTGAATTTGTTTACATGCAACAGTACGTGATTCAGTTTTCGTCATTTGTTTATTGCTTGTAGAAATTGATTGTGTGACCGATAAATTGAATGAAAAACATGCTCTTCTGTCCTCAAATCTAGCTCCTTGAACGCACTTTAGGGCTTTGAAATTTCAAAATTTTCTAGGGCATAATGCACCCAGACCCCCGAGAAAGGGGACCAACGGCTCAGTCGGTTACCCACTCTATTCAAACCTGCTGGCTACTTCAATTTTTATTGAAATCCCTGCCTGAAAACACAGCCTGCTTTCCTCGCTCCTTGACGCTTGGGATGTTTCAGTAAGAGGATGTCTGCAGCTCAGCAACAGGAATTCCATACTGATGACAGAAAATCTGTCCCGAATCTGGTCAGGAGCACCGATTGGTTTACGTAGTAGTTAGTTATATTGTTTTATCTATTGTTTAGGCACGACAGACAAAAGACAAACCGTCACAAAAGTCAAATGTTAATGTCATGAATCTACTACAAAACAGTCAATTTTCATGGAATATAAACTTTTTTAGCAGAAGCATTTACGTTTTGCTGGTGCTTCTTCCCTGAAGAACACAAAACTTTACCATAATCGACCAGGAAAAACATAGCATCTAACAAATTTACAGTTGGAACCCATAACTACAGGATTTAGTACGTAGACATTGATTTACGTCATCAGTACAGAATTCCTGTCGTTGAGGCCCAGACACACCTCCTGGCGAAACATCCCTAGCTAGCGATGAGGAGCAAGGAGAGATGGTACCAGTAAGAAAGTATACCTTGCTCAGTTTTCTTTACTGATATTTTTTGCTAACAAGAACTCTAAATGAAAAATTGCTTTACAACAACAACACAAAGAACACTTTGCTATGAGAAATTTGGGGGGAAAGGCTAATTTAAACAATGTAATAGACGGAAAGAATACAAAGTTACAACATTCCCCACATCTAGTAAATACTGTTGACTGATCCATTTTTGAGGTACAGCAAATCACATCTTCTTACCTCTAGTAAAGAAAGACTTAACATTTCTGTGAAAGTCATTCAGTGAGAATTAATGCATCCATATTTACTTTGGGAAAACATGTTTTTTTCCTCTGTCTAGCTGAAGGTGAGTGTAATGGCTAACTAATTAATGAAAAGATAACCTAGCTAACCTTCATGTCAAAGTTCCAAGCCCCTTGTGAAAGACAGCGAATAAAAACATTAAAAGAAAAAGCAATCGATTTGAATTTATCTTTGTCTGTAGCTGTATGCAAAAATACTTTCCTCTTGGTTCAAGGCATATATACATGTACAATATGTTGATAAATAATATGATGACAAACATGAACTGGTTGATCGAAAGTGAAAGCAAATTGCTATGCGAGCTTACTTGAAAATTCCGAAAAGGGAATCCCGATAACACTTCAAAGTAACACTTTCGGCAGTTTCACTTTCACAAAAGTACTTCCCTTTCCACTGAAAATAAACCCTGATCTTTTTATCTATTCTACCACCAGTATATCGCCCCACCCCCGTTTGCTACAAACCAGTCGATTGAGAAAATTCAACAGTTCGTTCAATTACCACGTGAAAAGGATTGAAAAATAATTGAGGGGACAGAGCAAAGCACAAAACTGCACGAAAAAAGACACCTTTGTTTGACAAACAGGGCAGTATTTAGCGCCGAAATCAGTTCCCTGTGAAAACTGTGAAGAGCAAGAACTCTGATCTCGTTGATTCTAAGAAAACGATCATTTAAAAAAACTAGCACGAAGCGAATTTGAACAGCGTTGAAACCAGCAATCAAGACTAAAAACAGATACTATTGCAAAGTCCCATTTCCCCGCAATATCTTTTATTACCCGTTCATCTACACAATGTACAAATATCCTAGATGATCTTTCTGCGGAAAACAAAGGCTACTACTTTAGCGGAAGTAGCACAAACGTTTATATTTCCTAAAACAATCAACTGAGCGAGAAGTTTAGTTAGCTTTCTGAAAGTATCGCGTATATCGTACTCTAGGGCTTACCAGTACGCTTTATAGCAAAATTTGCACTCCTTGGAAACGAAACAAAACATCTGTAAATAGAAATTCATTCATCACGACGAAGGGAGAGTTTGTTACGCAACAAGAAGTCACAGAATTCCACGAGACACGAGAACACCAGCATCAAATCAAGCCTTCGACGACTCGACATAAACAACGCGCAGTTCGAGAGAACTTAAACAGTGATTTTACCTGGTAAGGCTGTGCTTGTCTTGGATTAAAATCGTCTGATCCTAAAGGCAAAAAAGAAAAAAAATTAATTGCGTTTTGAAATTAATTCACGGAAACCCATGTTTTTTCGTACAAGCGTCAGCAGTTTTCCCCGATCGCGTTCAACTCCATCTCTAGATCTGTTTTTCAAAATTAAGAAACAGGAGAGAATCAACACTTACTTTGTTGTGAAGGCGGCGGTCCACGAGCATTTCTAAGATCAAAGAGTCAAAGAATATAACCCACAAACTTGTTCGGGAAATGTACAGCACAAAGACTCACATAGAATTTAGAGGGATCAAATCTGGTTCACTTTCAGTTACAATTAACAGATCTCACGAAAGTCTTCAAAGATATTACAACAAGGATACTGCTGTGGTGTCCTGGTTTGAATAATCATAGCAGGCGGGGAAGCAGCAGCTTTCCCCTTCTGCATTTTGGCGCAAGCGTTCTTACGCTGGCGACAAATGAAGCTTCTCACGAAGGTCTTCCGTTGCTTTGGACTATGAATTTGAAAACAGTTCAAAAACACAAAACAAAGAGTAACAACGTATTTTCAGATGATTAACGCTGTCTTCCTTATCTTCTGGTTTCTTGATGATGTTTACAACGGGTAGATTAGGATGGATAAAAACTTTTTCAATCCAACATGGCTGCTCTTCGGCGAGAAGCCGCAGAGAAATCCGGTAGTGGTGACGTCATGTTAACAAGAACACGCCACGTGATCTGCACATGGAGAAATTTTCAAATTTTCCCGCGAAAATCATCACTTGTATGTGTCGTGAAGACAAAAGTACAGAAATTAATCATACAAAAAAGGAACTTTAGCCAAAAGTAATTTTTTTTACCGTTTGATATTGATTAATTTATTGTTTCAAAACAGCTTACATATATACGAGCCCCCCTTTTAAAATCACTGAATATTATGATCTTCACTTCATCAGCCAAGCAACATCCCCAAACTTTCTCTCTTGAACCAGAGGCGTTGTAGCCTCCTGGGTTCGTAGTCTGCCATGCAGAACAAGGAAAGTGGGGCGGAACACTTTTTCAGCAGGGAAGGTGGGGCGATGACTAGTGTCTTGAAGTGATGAGGCTGAGGAGACTCTCCTCTTCGTAAGTCTTTATTTTTTTGGAAAAAGTTCTTCCTCCAGCTCCACCGTCCCTGCATTTTTTTTACGTCAAATGAAGCCCAGTGGCTGATTCAGAAAATTCAGAGAGAAGGGCAGGGAGGTTTTTCAGTCATTTATTTATTTACAGCCGATTCCCGATAACTAGATCCTTCAAGGGAAATCGAAAAAGTTTCAGTTATCGGGAGTTTAAAAGCCGAATAACCGGAAATAATAAGGAAATAAGCAATGAATGGGGAGGGAATGCAATTAAGCAACAAAGTATATAGCTTGTTCCAAGCGTTCAGATAGTGGAGAGCGGTGCGAAGTAAAGAAAGCGATGAAAAGTAGAGGGGGACTGGAGAGAGAGGTGCGGTTCCCTCTCTCACCTCTCCTCCTCCCTCGCTTTTATTTTTTCGCGCTCTTTTTTACTTCGCACCGCTCCCCACTATCTGAACGCCTGGAACAGGCTACAAAGTATACAGGGATGAACACTGAACTTGAACTGGAGCGACAAAAATAATAAAGACAAAGAATTGACACGGTTGTTTTAAAACAGATTCAATGTTTCGGACTTCAGTACATGTTTTATTCCCCGACTTGGGAACACGGATTTTTTGAAATTTTCGGTTCTGGGTAATCTGACGTGCGCTCAGGAAACTCGATGACTACGTGTTGCGTGGTGAACGCGAGCATTTGAGTCACGCTCATCCAATTGGATAGTTCCAAACACCGCTCACGCACAATCAGTAGACTATCTGAGGGTAAGAAGATGCATGTATGGTCATGCAATATTGATTACCCAGATCCCCTGAGTCTATGTTAGCGTTCACCGCGCAACGCGTAGGTCAGTCCTAGAGGTTCCTCAGCACATGTCAGATTATCAGAACCGAAAACTTTCCAAAAATTTTCCCACAAAAAACACATCGTGATACTTGTTGATGAGGGAAAGAGATAAGAGACTCACCTGGCCTAAAAGGATTTGGCGCTTTCATAGCGAATCAGTGCGCGGTTCTTTGATGCGGGAGCGATTTGTGAGATGAGACTGCACACAGTAACCTGTTTGCTTCGCATTTTTGTAGGAAAAAACACCGTAAAAACAAAGAGCAGCAAAACCGTTTAAAATGGCCATGAATTGAGCCCAGGTTACACAGAAAAAGTAACAACAAACCCAAGTTTGAAGTTAGTGAAATTTATTTCTATATTTATGCCTATATTTCTGCGTTTTAACAACTATATTAAATTTTTCAAACAAAGTCTAAAAATCGTTCGTAATATGCGAACACGCGGTAATTTATGTACCTAGCTTGGGATGCCTGTGCGAAGACAACACCAACAACCCTTTATTCTTTACATCTGCACTGCACAGTTACTCGCTTTTATTATTTAAACGGCTATCCGTGGTTTAATATTACAGTGAGCTGGACACTTAAGACTCAAGGATTTTATTTAAGAAAGTCGACCACCACTGTATCCATTGGTTAAATGATCAATATCAATATTGACCTGTTATTTTCAATCCCTTCACTAGGTTCCTTTCCTCCTACCACCATTCATTCTGTCGGCCAGCCGGTGTTTGTTGTTTATCACTCAGGTACCTGTCAGTAACTGTTCATGCTATGCTAAGGTTGTGAATTGTTCTGATATTTGTTTCCTTCAGTTACGTCTATAGTCGGCAGTGGACCGAGTCAAAAAGTCAGAGAAAAGAAATAAAGGAAAGGTAGGAAAGAGGAGCAAATTGAGAGAAAAGCAATGGTTATTTAAGAGGCTAATTCAAATTTCAACGCAAAGATGAATTTTTTCAAACAGACCGTTAAGACAAATTTATTATGGAGCTTGGTACGAGGGGTGGATTATAGGATTGTTTGTCGTGATGAAGGATGTACTCTGCAGTAATGGAATTGAACTCATTGACATGGTCGAAGCCACTCCCCCACCCCTCCCCCTCGATCGTCATAGAAAGCACAATACACTACTTCTAGCATGCAAATGCCCTTTCAAGCATTCTTTTCACGCTAGATACACCAAGAGGGGCTACGATTTTTTAAACAATTCCCCGAAGCCTCATTTTCTGTATCACCAAACATCCCACAAGCACGTGATCGTACCGAACCCCGGCGTGGTGAACTTCTGAATTTTGACTGCATCAACATGAGGCTGAGAGCAAGGTAAGCTGCTGTTGAAACCAGCTAGGGTTAAGAAAGGAATGTGAAAATGTTCCTGAGTGTAGTGATTACATACCTGGGTCTTGAAGAGTCTTGGAAGTCATCTTGTCTTGAACGCGTAGTCTATATTACCGCCTCTGCTCTCATAAAATTACTGTTACCCTTGGTCTTGTTCTTGTACTACTCTAGATCTGAAAATACACACTTAAAACAATGTCATTAAAAAATCTTTAAAAATATAGATTATAACAAACTTACAAAAAAAAATTGGTGGCAACGAGTGCAAAACGAACGCAACTGCTGTCATTGCTATCGCCATCGATTGCTCGACGATAATAGCAACGACATTTTCTATATAACAGTTGCGCAAAGCCACATCCCTACGGATAAAAAATAGTAATAATGATGATGATGATCACTGGCAGGGCGGTAATATAATAAGCCATATCGACAGCAGCTGTCGAGTTAACGATTACTGTGCCGATAGAAGGAAGAAAAAAACTAGAGAGCTTGAAGTAACCGGGCACTTATCGATCTAACGACAACAGTGTCATACAGGGGATAAACGCCCTCTATTGAAACTGAACCGAAAAAACGATAGTGTTACCGGTGTCTACAACAGAGAATTAAGAAATAATAATAATAATAATAATCATTATAAATAGTCTAAGTAATGGGCTCCTGTCTATTCTAAAATTTATTTAAAAAGACACCCACACAAACAGCTGACACACAACAGAGGCATAGCGGCTAACCCCTCCACGAGGGAGGGGTCAGATGTGGGTTGGGCGGGGTCGCTACTCCCCGAGAGGCGAATGTGACGTTGCTCCACGCAGACTCCGTGGCGCCACCACCTCACCCTGCCCTTATGAGAGGGCCTGGGTAGTACATTTTTAACTGGAAGTTATGTTTGCATCTTTGTCTGTCTGTTGTTAGAGTGA